ACTGAAGCACACCACTAGATGGTGCTGTTTTTCCATTATTACAAATGAGTCTCATCACCCTGTGATGAAGAAAATGTCAAAATGGAGAACCAACCATCAATGGTCACATATTGCCCCCTACCCAATTGAAAAATAAAAGCCCTTTTTCTGTATACGAACCAAACTTTTGAAATAAAGTACAATTATGACAAACCGAAAGTTGAACATAAAGGGCTCCAGCATCAAAATGGAGAATCAACTTCAAATAGCTCCAGAGTGCCAGCTTCAAATTAAAAAAAAAAAGTAAGCCCCGCTCTTGTGTTTGACCAAAACCTTTGGAATTGATGTCACTTATGTTTGACCTCAAGACAAACAAAAATGGGTTCAATGTCAAAATTGAGGTCCTTCAAGAAATAGCTACATAATTTCAAAATGAAACGCCTGCTTCTTTGAGTGACTCAGACCAATGGACTAACAGACACTTAACTTGGATCCAACTGAAAATGGCACGACTGCGTTCTCTACAACATTTCTAAATGAAAGCCCTCCTCTGGTGTGCGTCCAAAACCTGTGGAATTAGTGACACTGAAGTTGAACCTTAACACGAACAAAAACAGTTTGAATATCGAAATGGAGATCCATCAAAACATGGCTCTATGGCGCCACCTTCAAATTTCTTTAATGTGAACCACGCTCCTGTGTTTGACCTAAACCTATGAAATTGATGACACTTATGTTTGACCTCAAGACGAACAAAAAGGGTTTAACTGTCATAATGGATATCCATCATAAAAAGGCCCCATAGCGCCCCCTTCAAAATTTCAAAACGTAAACCCGCTCCTGCGGTCCAGACAAGTGGATTCAATGACACTTATCTTGAACCCCAAGAGGAAAAGAAATGGGTGCCAATGTAAAAATTGGGGACCCATAAAAAAATTCCTTCATTTCTCCCTCTACAAAATTTCAAAATGTAAGTTCAGCTCCTGTGTTTGACCTAAACCGAGGGATTCAATGACACCTACGTTGGACTCAAAGTTAAACAAAAAGTTTTCCACTGTCAAAATGGATTTCCATAAAAATGTGGTCATAGCGCCCTCTACAAAAATTTCAGGACTCAGTGCTGTATTTGAAGTCTGGTGTATACCCTGTCAATAGGAATGGAGCCAGGACCGTCCGTTGTGGAACCCCTGTACTTCTCAATAAGGCCCAGAAACACAGTTCCCCAGCGTGAAGAACTGTGTGATTCCTGTCAGGCAATTTGTGATCCAGGAAACACAGGTAGGATCCACGCCCATCTCTGTGGGCTTGTCTTTGAGTATGATCGGTTGGATGGTGTTGAATGTTATGGTGACCTGTTGTTATGATGACCTGTCAGTTCATTGACCTATTGTTATAAGTGGTATCATGAAAATAAGACCATCTTAAGAAGAGAGACTGATTTTTATTAGAAAACATGACCTGAAACTGGATATCTCTTGCATGGTTTTATAGTCTTGAATTTGTAAAGGATTAGTAATATCATTGACTTTGATGCCTTTGAAGTTTTTTTTGTAGGATCAGATTTCCAAAAAATATTCTTTGTTAACGCTCAGTTGCTAAAAAAAGCCTCTGACATCGACTGCTGTAAAAACATATCGGATTCATATTTTTTCCAGATTTTTTTTCACACATCTCTCAAATAACTTCTGCCCTGATCAAAAATAGTACATTTTTTTATCCAAAAAACAATTTTTTAAGCCTTTGAGAGTCCATTCAAAACAAAACGGCTAATGCCTAAACAAAACAATGGCCCCGCTCCATGTGTGAATACTGAAAAGATGTTTGCAGTCAGCAGCATGTAACCGTAGTGATTTGTAATAATGGAAAAACAGCACCATCTAGTGGTGTGCTTCTGTCACTGCCCTACATAAAAAAGATGTTTGCAGTCGGCACATCACCATAGAAATATTTGATTATGGTATGACAGCCGCATCTAGTGGTGAGCTTCAGTTGCTGCCCTACATATAAATATAAAGAGTGTTACAGAGCTGTAGCTAAAAGCTGTATCAATGCAAAATTATTAAAGTGCTAAATAGGTGGTATTGATCTCAAAAGTATTAAGAGCAGAAGTTTAAAAACTTGAATGAATGTGAAAAATGCTCACGTGAAGACAAAGTTGTAAGACCTGTCAATATTTGTCGATATAGAATTGTTACAGAGCTGTGGTATAAAAAAGGCATATGAATGTAAAATTATGAAAGTATGAAGAAGTGGTATTAATCTTAAAAGTATAGAGAGCAGAAATTTAAATACTTTTATGAATGTAAAAAATGCTCAAGTGAAGAAAAAGTTGTAAGACTTTTGTGAATAAAAATAATTAAAGATCAGTCTAGGTGCTTTGGAAAGACAAGTGCCTAGAGATTTATATATTACAAACTCCCCATGAAATGTTGAAATATTCAAAAGAGGTTTGCAGTCAGCAGCATGTAACCATAGTCACTGGTAGCGGCACAACACTACCCTATAGTGTGCTTCAGTTACTAACTTACCAAGCTGAAGCGCACCGCAAGATGGAGTAGTGCGTGCGGACAGAGTGTGTAGGAAATCGATAAGCACACAACACATGAAAAGTGCTCCACCATGGGTGAAGTGGATACCGTCTGAACTTCTTTACCTGGCGCAGTTTTTCCAAGTGGTATCATGAAAATAAGACCATCTTAAGAATTCTGGCACTCTCATGATCACTTCTAATTGTACCGAAAAAGTGAAATATTGCAAAAAGTATAAATGGTAGAAAGGTGAAAAGTACACACCACTAGATGGTGCTGTCATACCATAATCAAAAATTACTATGGTTACATTCTGACTGTTAACTTCTTTTGAGTACTTCCACATTTCACGGGGAGGTTGTAATACATACATTTTTAGTAGTGATGGTGAAATGAAGCCTCATGAGGCATTGAACCACTTGAGCCAATTGGTTCAAGAAATGGTTCATTTCTCGAAGCTTCATGCACACGAAACCACCTACTGGCCAATTATATAATCACAGGCAGCTGAATCTGAATAACATAATGGGCTCTATTTTCGTTCGCGCCGGTGAGGCGGCGGAGGGCGGCGAGCCCCGCGCAGTTGTATTTTCGTCTGGCGGAGCCCGGCATAAGGCGAGTTTGGTATTTTCGTGGACTGAGTTGCACGGAGGCGAGCCGAGATCCGCCAAGCTGGGCGTGGTGGCGTGGCAGGGGGAGGTGTTGACAGAATCAGCTGGCGCAGTGACATTTTCGTGCTCGCCACTGGCGTGTAACGTGCGCTGAAAGCTCGCCGATTCAAACCTGGTCAGCTTTCAGCGCAAGGCGGAACGCAGCTGGTCCAGTAGTATTTTGGTAGACCGGCGGCGTATCGACATACGTCACTGATGCCTCACCGGCAGGTTTCCACAGTGTCAGGCAGATTTCAGTGCAATAAATAATGATCAACAACTATTAATCTGAGTCAGCACATACATTTAGATCTATATCGATATATTCTGATCTATATCTGATCTGATGAGCGCGTTTGGCACGCGTTTGGACACACAACCTGACCGAATCAATACAGCTGAAACTGCATCAAATTAAATTAAATATCTAGTAAATAAACACACATGATGAAGTTAACAAGATATGTAATGTGTCTCCCTCCTTTTCTTTCTTCCTCTTATTTCTCGCACAGCTCGACCTGGACACGTCTCCGTGTCCTCTGTCCGTCTTCCTGCTGCTGCTGCTGCGGCTGAACAGATGATTTGTTTCAGTGCTCAGATGCGTTATCTACTTTAAGCCGACATACGGATATTATAATATTCAGTTTTGTGAGCCAAATTTATTTTATATGCCAACATCTATGAAAGAAAGAGCCAGGCCACGGAGCGCGATGCGTCATTTACGCACAGATGGTTCCGATTTTAATGCCTTTTTGGAGTTTATGTTGTGATCTGTGCGCTCAACCCACCTTTGTCACGTGAGGTTTGAATATATGCAACTTTATGTGAGTGTCTTTATTTGTGGAAAAGGGTGTTTGTCTTACCAGTGAGTCCAACATTACGCACACCAAATCCATCTGTGCTCATATGAGAGAGTGTGGAGGACACTTGTTGAGCAGCTGCCCTCTGTCGCCATCGTGTGGCATAACTGTCTTCAGACATCTCTTGATCTCTTTGACTACTTCATGAAAATAGTAATACGCCTCGCCTGTGGCGGATTTAAAGGCGAGGAGAGGAGCTAATGTGATTGGTGAAAACAGGTCTCGGCTGTGTTAAACCCCCTATCCTCCCCGTCTATGATTTATGCTGCCGGGAGGAGCTGAGTTAGGGAGGGGGGATACTTACGCCGGGCTGCGCGGCTCACCAAAATACCAAAATGTGCTTGGGAACGCCTTGTCAGCGCGGCGGATCTGATTGACTCTGCGCTTGCGGCAGATCTCCGGCGAAGCACCAAAATAGAGCCCAATGTGTGAAGCATTGAATTTTTGTGTCTGTTATGTCTGATGGGAATGATTATGAATTACAAAAAATGTATGAACAAATAATCTCTGAACATAAATGATCACATATGTGTCTAATAAATTTTGGATGTATTCTGTGTGTAAATTCTCCCAAAATGGTAATATTGTAGTACGGCAGATTGTGCAATGTTTTTCTGGAAATGGCATGGGCATAATCAGGCAGGGGATGGTGAAAGTGCTTGTGGAACTATGAAAGATTATGCTTGTGTTACTTATATGTACAGGACAGGGGAAGTTTCATTCGTTTTTATTAAGGAACAGAAGTTTTTCAACAGTTTTTGGTTTTAGACGATTTCTTTTTTTTGACACAATTTCTCCCGCCTTGGAGAACACCCTCTCACAAGGCACAGAGGATGCTGGTGTGCACAAAAAGGCAAGAGCAAGTTTGTATAGATTTGGGAACATAATTTTTTGCCTCTCCCAGTACTCTAGAGGGTTCGCCAGTCGTCCTAGGTTTGGCTCAGAAAGGTACCGCTGGACCTCCACAGTGGCATCTGCTGTTACATTTTGACACCTCCTTGCTTCCATGACACTAGTGTCCAAATGATGCCACAATTTGCTACCTAAGAGGAAACCACAGATCATGTTAGTAAGTGTTCTTATAGGAATAAATGATGTCAAAATGTTAAGTAACAGATTACCTCCAGTGACATCATGATAGGTAGAAGCCTGCGGGATTTCCTCTCCTCTTTGTTGTTGCCTTACGATGGCAGCACACTCCGATGTAAGTCGCTTCACTGCTTCAGTGGCTTTGTTTGGACTAAAAAATCCAATGACCTTGAATCGGGGGTCCAGGAGTGTTGCAAGGGACATTATGCTCATTGATTGCAGAGTATACAGCTTCTCCCGTAGCTGCCTGATGAGCTGGTCTCCCATTTCCAGTGCCACTGCAGGTGCCGGCTTCGCCATTTCTCCTGAAGGTTTTGCTCCAGCATTTTCATAAGGGGCACAACTTTGGAGGCAGACACAGTTTCTTCCGCCGACAGCTCTGCAGTGGCATAATAAAAGGGAGACAGCAACGAAAAGCACCCTCCAACAATGTTAAACTCATCACATGTGATCATCTGAATGTCATGTTGAAGGCCAGCTAACGCTGCTCCAACCGGCTCCCTCAACTCCACCAAACGTTGCAGCATCAAATATGTACTGTTCCACCGGGTTTCCACTTCTTGTTATGGCTTCATTGTTGCCTTACCCAGCTGAACCTGCACTTGTGTAAGCTTCTCCTTTAAAGACACAGATGAGTAGGCCATTAAATAGCTGCAGAAAGAACACAAACTATTAATGTTGTAATAAATTGGAATAAAGGGAATGACCATACCTTAGCAGTGGTGCTGCTTCTGAAGAAGCCAACCAGCTTCCTTGCTTTAGCCCGGATGCCAGAAAGCACGGGGCTCTGTTCAAGGGCCTTCTTCACGATCAGATTGAGGGTATGTGCTATGCAAATATGGTGCCTAAGCTTCAGCTCTCTCCCACACGCAACCATATTGGGAGCACCATCGGTAACCATACATGTTACCTTATTGGTGATTCCCCATTCCTCCATCAGGGAGGCTTTCACACGAGCTATGTTTTCAGCAGTGTGTGATTGGGGGAATACCTGCACTCCCAACAGCACTGAGCTGAGCCTGGTTTTTTCGTCCACAAAATGGCATGTTACAGCCAGGTAGGCATCCATGTTGATGGATGTCCACATGTCGGAGGTTAGGCTAACGGCAGCCACCTTTTCAAGTTTAGCCTTAGCCTTCTCCTTTGCTGCCTCATGCTTGGCCTCCACCATGGCCTTCAGAGCCTAATGGAAAATATATAAAGTACTTAATCTGTTTGAATTGTGACACATACAATTAAGTACATTTGCTTCATGCATGCACCTATACATACCTGCCTGGTAGGGATAACATAGGTAGGATCCAATTTGGACACAAATGCCCTAAACCCAACATCCTCCACAATGCTGAAGGGCTGTGTGTCCTTCACTATCATGGAGGCCAGGGCATCATCTAGCTCCTGTTTTCTGGTGGCTGGTAAACAGAAAATAAGTACAGTGTTACTTGTCTTTCTTTGCACAATAAACAAAAGTGAACATGGAAAAATTGTGATAGTGTTTTTGTAATATTGTTATGACTTACCTTGGCTAGATAAAGCTCCAGTTCCCTCCTTATTCTCATGCAAGGCACGGTTATGCCTTAGCATGGATGAGGTGTTGTTATTGTATCCCAACTCCTTGGAACACAGTAAACACCTCACCTTTGAATAAAATAAGAAAACGTGAAAAATATTTCTTAATAAGCAAAAATTATGCGTCTGTAAAAATGTTGGATTTAGCATACCTTGTTAGGAGTTATCAAATCAAAGTGTTCCCACACAGGGGAAATCCTCCTCTTCCTCGCTGGCTCCATCCTATCACCTCTCCTCTCCTCTCCTCTCTCTCTCCCTAAACTCTTCAAACTATCTCCAAACTCTCCAAACTATCTAAACTATCTCCAAACTATCCAAACGCTATCCAAAATCTAGTATGCAAACTCTCCAAACTCTCTCCAAACTCTCAACTGACCGCAACTCTCCTTCAACAACCCACATTTTGAATGAAGCCTGAGGGGTCTATATAGCTGTAAAACCTCGCGGCAAAATCCGAACCACTTCCCGAAGCAATCACGTGGTACAGCCGGGCAGCGAGGCTTCGGACGTCATCAATTTTGGCTCCGGCCCTAGATGAAGCAAGCCTCGATACGCGCTTCGCGGAAACGCCCCCTGCATTACTCGACACACGCTCCGAAGCCTCGGCACATCTCGTAACATCACTAATTTTTAGGCATTTGGCTATCCGAAGCACCTCGACTGATCATTTTTCCTTGTAATTCACAGAAGACATACAATTTTGGCAATTTTTTTTATTTTTACCTTCATCCAAGTATTTTAGCTTCAGCTCTGTAATATTTTCTACATTTTTATGTGGGGAAGTCACTGAAGCACACCACTAGATGGTGCTGTTTTTCCATTATTACAAATGAGTCTCATCACCCTGTGATGAAGAAAATGTCAAAATGGAGAACCAACCATCAATGGTCACATATTGCCCCCTACCCAATTGAAAAATAAAAGCCCTTTTTCTGTGTACGAACCAAACTTTTGAAATAAAGTACAATTATGACAAACCGAAAGTTGAACATAAAGGGCTCCAGCATCAAAATGGAGAATCAACTTCAAATAGCTCCAGAGTGCCAGCTTCAAATTAAAAGAAAAAAGTAAGCCCCGCTCCTGTGTTTGACCAAAACCTTTGGAATTGATGTCACTTATGTTTGACCTCAAGACAAACAAAAATGGGTTCAATGTCAAAATTGAGGTCTTTCAAGAAATAGCTACATAGCACCCCCCTTCATAATTTCAAAATGAAACGCCTGCTTCTTTGAGTGACTCAGACCAATGGTCTAACAGACACTTATCTTGGATCCAACTGAAAATGGCACGACTGCGTTCTCTACAACATTTCTAAATGAAAGCCCTGCTCTGGTGTGCGTCCAAAACCTGTGGAATTAGTGACACTGAAGTTGAACCTTAACACGAACAAAAACAGTTTGAATATCAAAATGGAGATCCATCAAAACATGGCTCTATGGCGCCACCTTCAAATTTCTTTAATGTGAACCACGCTCCTGTGTTTGACCTAAACCTATGAAATTGATGACACTTATGTTTGACCTCAAGACAAACAAAAAGGGTTTAACTGTCATAATGGATATCCATCATAAAAAGGCCCCATAGCGCCCCCTTCAAAATTTCAAAACGTAAACCCGCTCCTGCGGTCCAGACAAGTGGATTCAATGACACTTATCTTGAACCCCAAGAGGAAAAGAAATGGGTGCCAATGTAAAAATTGGGGACCCATCAAAAAATTCCTTCATTTCTCCCTCTACAAAATTTCAAAATGTAAGTTCAGCTCCTGTGTTTGACCTAAACCGAGGGATTCAATGACACCTACGTTGGACTCAAAGTTAAACAAAAAGTTTTCCACTGTCAAAATGGATTTCCAACAAAAATGTGGTCATAGCGCCCTCTACAAAAATTTCAGGACTCAGTGCTGTATTTGAAGTCTGGTGTATACCCTGTCAATAGGAATGGAGCCAGGACCGTCCGTTGTGGAACCCCTGTACTTCTCAATAAGGCCCAGAAACACAGTTCCCCAGCGTGAAGAACTGTGTGATTCCTGTCAGGCAATTTGTGATCCAGGAAACACAGGTAGGATCCACGCCCATCTCTGTGGGCTTGTCTTTGAGTATGATCGGTTGGATGGTGTTGAATGTTATGGTGACCTGTTGTTATGATGACCTGTCAGTTCATTGACCTATTGTTATAAGTGGTATCATGAAAATAAGACCATCTTAAGAATAGAGACTGATTTTTATTCGAAAACATAACCTGAAACTGGATATCTCTTGCAGGGTTTTATAGTCTTGAATTTGTAAAGGATTAGTAATATCATTGACTTTGATGCCTTTGAAGTTTTTTTTGTAGGATCAGATTTCCAAAAAATATTCTTTGTTAACGCTCAGTTGCTAAAAAAAGCCTCTGACATCGACTGCTGTAAAAACATATTGGATTCATATTTTTTCCAGATTTTTTTTCACACATCTCTCAAATAACTTCTGCCCTGATCAAAAATAGTACATTTTTTTAATCCAAAAAACAATTTTTTAAGCCTTTGAGAGTCCATTCAAAACAAAACGGCTAATGCCTAAACAAAACAATGGCCCCGCTCCATGTGTGAATACTGAAAAGATGTTTGCAGTCAGCAGCATGTAACCGTAGTGATTTGTAATAATGGAAAAACAGCACCATCTGGTGGTGTGCTTCTGTCACTGCCCTACATAAAAAAGATGTTTGCAGTCGGCACATCACCATAGAAATATTTGATTATGGTATGACAGCCGCATCTAGTGGTGAGCTTCAGTTGCTGCCCTACATATAAATATAAAGAGTGTTACAGAGCTGTAGCTAAAAGCTGTATCAATGCAAAATTATTAAAGTGCTAAATAGGTGGTATTGATCTCAAAAGTATTAAGAGCAGAAGTTTAAAAACTTGTATGAATGTGAAAAATGCTCACGTGAAGACAAAGTTGTAAGACCTGTCAATATTTGTCGATATAGAATTGTTACAGAGCTGTGGTATAAAAAAGGCATATGAATGTAAAATTATGAAAGTATGAAGAAGTGGTATTAATCTTAAAAGTATAGAGAGCAGAAATTTAAATACTTTTATGAATGTAAAAAATGCTCAAGTGAAGAAAAAGTTGTAAGACTTTTGTGAATAAAAATAATTAAAGATCAGTCTAGGTGCTTTGGAAAGACAAGTGCCTAGAGATTTATACATTACAAACTCCCCATGAAATGTTGAAATATTCAAAAGAGGTTTGCAGTCAGCAGCATGTAACCATAGTCACTGGTAGCGGCACAACACTACCCTATAGTGTGCTTCAGTTACTAACTTACCAAGCGCGGACAGAGTGTGTAGGAAATCGATGAGCACACAACACATGAAAAGTGCTCCACCATGGGTGAAGTGGATACCGTCTGAACTTCTTTACCTGGCGCAGTTTTTCCAAGTGGTATCATGAAAATAAGACCATCTTAAGAATTCTGGCACTCTCATGATCACTTCTAATTGTACCGAAAAAGTGAAATATTGCAAAAAGTATAAATGGTAGAAAGGTGAAAAGTACACCCCACTAGATGGTGCTGTCATACCATAATCAAAAATTACTATGGTTACATTCTGACTGTTAACCTCTTTTGAGTACTTCCACATTTCACGGGGAGGTTGTAATACATACATTTTTAGGCATTTGGCTATCCGAAGCACCTCGACTGATCATTTTTCCTTGTAATTCACAGGAGACATACAATTTTAGCAATTTTTTTTATTTTTACCTTCATCCAAGTATTTTAGCTTCAGCTCTGTAATATTTTCTACATTTTTATGTGGGGAAGTCACTGAAGCACACCACTAGATGGTGCTGTTTTTCCATTATTACAAATGAGTCTCATCACTCTGTGATGAGGAAAATGTCAAAATGGAGAACCAACCATCAATGGTCACATATTGCCCCCTTGGGTACCCAATTGAAAAATAAAAGCCCTTTTTCTGTGTACGAACCAAACTTTTGAAATAAAGTACAATTATGACAAACCGAAAGTTGAACATAAAGGGCTCCAGCATCAAAATGGAGAATCAACTTCAAATAGCTCCAGAGTGCCAGCTTCAAATTAAAAGAAAAAAGTAAGCCCCGCTCCTGTGTTTGACCAAAACCTTTGGAATTGATGTCACTTATGTTTGACCTCAAGACAAACAAAAATGGGTTCAATGTCAAAATTGAGGTCTTTCAAGAAATAGCTACATAGCACCCCCCTTCATAATTTCAAAATGAAACGCCTGCTTCTTTGAGTGACTCAGACCAATGGTCTAACAGACACTTATCTTGGATCCAACTGAAAATGGCACGACTGCGTTCTCTACAACATTTCTAAATGAAAGCCCTGCTCTGGTGTGCGTCCAAAACCTGTGGAATTAGTGACACTGAAGTTGAACCTTAACACGAACAAAAACAGTTTGAATATCAAAATGGAGATCCATCAAAACATGGCTCTATGGCGCCACCTTCAAATTTCTTTAATGTGAACCACGCTCCTGTGTTTGACCTAAACCTATGAAATTGATGACACTTATGTTTGACCTCAAGACGAACAAAAAGGGTTTAACTGTCATAATGGATATCCATCATAAAAAGGCCCCATAGCGCCCCCTTCAAAATTTCAAAACGTAAACCCGCTCCTGCGGTCCAGACAAGTGGATTCAATGACACTTATCTTGAACCCCAAGAGGAAAAGAAATGGGTGCCAATGTAAAAATTGGGGACCCATCAAAAAACTCCTTCATTTCTCCCTCTGCAAAATTTCAAAATGTAAGTTCAGCTCCTGTGTTTGACCTAAACCGAGGGATTCAATGACACCTACGTTGGACTCAAAGTTAAACAAAAAGTTTTCCACTGTCAAAATGGATTTCCAACAAAAATGTGGTCATAGCGCCCTCTACAAAAATTTCAGGACTCAGTGCTGTATTTGAAGTCTGGTGTATACCCTGTCAATAGGAATGGAGCCAGGACCGTCCGTTGTGGAACCCCTGTACTTCTCAATAAGGCCCAGAAACACAGTTCCCCAGCGTGAAGAACTGTGTGATTCCTGTCAGGCAATTTGTGATCCAGGAAACACAGGTAGGATCCACGCCCATCTCTGTGGGCTTGTCTTTGAGTATGATCGGTTGGATGGTGTTGAATGTTATGGTGACCTGTTGTTATGATGACCTGTCAGTTCATTGACCTATTGTTATAAGTGGTATCATGAAAATAAGACCATCTTAAGAATAGAGACTGATTTTTATTCGAAAACATAACCTGAAACTGGATATCTCTTGCAGGGTTTTATAGTCTTGAATTTGTAAAGGATTAGTAATATCATTGACTTTGATGCCTTTGAAGTTTTTTTTGTAGGATCAGATTTCCAAAAAATATTCTTTGTTAACGCTCAGTTGCTAAAAAAAGCCTCTGACATCGACTGCTGTAAAAACATATTGGATTCATATTTTTTCCAGATTTTTTTTCACACATCTCTCAAATAACTTCTGCCCTGATCAAAAATAGTACATTTTTTTAATCCAAAAAACAATTTTTTAAGCCTTTGAGAGTCCATTCAAAACAAAACGGCTAATGCCTAAACAAAACAATGGCCCCGCTCCATGTGTGAATACTGAAAAGATGTTTGCAGTCAGCAGCATGTAACCGTAGTGATTTGTAATAATGGAAAAACAGCACCATCTGGTGGTGTGCTTCTGTCACTGCCCTACATAAAAAAGATGTTTGCAGTCGGCACATCACCATAGAAATATTTGATTATGGTATGACAGCCGCATCTAGTGGTGAGCTTCAGTTGCTGCCCTACATATAAATATAAAGAGTGTTACAGAGCTGTAGCTAAAAGCTGTATCAATGCAAAATTATTAAAGTGCTATATAGGTGGTATTGATCTCAAAAGTATTAAGAGCAGAAGTTTAAAAACTTGTATGAATGTGAAAAATGCTCACGTGAAGACAAAGTTGTAAGACCTGTCAATATTTGTCGATATAGAATTGTTACAGAGCTGTGGTATAAAAAAGGCATATGAATGTAAAATTATGAAAGTATGAAGAAGTGGTATTAATCTTAAAAGTATAGAGAGCAGAAATTTAAATACTTTTATGAATGTAAAAAATGCTCAAGTGAAGAAAAAGTTGTAAGACTTTTGTGAATAAAAATAATTAAAGATCAGTTTAGGTGCTTTGGAAAGACAAGTGCCTAGAGATTTATACATTACAAACTCCCCATGAAATGTTGAAATATTCAAAAGAGGTTTGCAGTCAGCAGCATGTAACCATAGTCACTGGTAGCGGCACAACACTACCCTATAGTGTGCTTCAGTTACTAACTTACCAAGCTGAAGCGCACCGCAAGATGGAGTAGTGCGTGCGGACAGAGTGTGTAGGAAATCGATAAGCACACAACACATGAAAAGTGCTCCACCATGGGTGAAGTGGATACCGTCTGAACTTCTTTACCTGGCGCAGTTTTTCCAAGTGGTATCATGAAAATAAGACCATCTTAAGAATTCTGGCACTCTCATGATCACTTCTAATTGTACCGAAAAAGTGAAATATTGCAAAAAGTATAAATGGTAGAAAGGTGAAAAGTACACCCCACTTGATGGTGCTGTCATACCATAATCAAAAATTACTATGGTTACATTCTGACTGTTAACCTCTTTTGAGTACTTCCACATTTCACGGGGAGGTTGTAATACATACATTTTTAGGCATTTGGCTATCCGAAGCACCTCGACTGATCATTTTTCCTTGTAATTCACAGAAGACATACAATTTTAGCAATTTTTTTTATTTTTACCTTCATCCAAGTATTTTAGCTTCAGCTCTGTAATATTTTCTACATTTTTATGTGGGGAAGTCACTGAAGCACACCACTAGATGGTGCTGTTTTTCCATTATTACAAATGAGTCTCATCACTCTGTGATGAGGAAAATGTCAAAATGGAGAACCAACCATCAATGGTCACATATTGCCCCCTACCCAATTGAAAAATAAAAGCCCTTTTTCTGTGTACGAACCAAACTTTTGAAATAAAGTACAATTATGACAAACCGAAAGTTGAACATAAAGGGCTCCAGCATCAAAATGGAGAATCAACTTCAAATAGCTCCAGAGTGCCAGCTTCAAATTAAAAGAAAAAAGTAAGCCCCGCTCCTGTGTTTGACCAAAACCTTTGGAATTGATGTCACTTATGTTTGACCTCAAGACAAACAAAAATGGGTTCAATGTCAAAATTGAGGTCTTTCAAGAAATAGCTACATAGCACCCCCCTTCATAATTTCAAAATGAAACGCCTGCTTCTTTGAGTGACTCAGACCAATGGTCTAACAGACACTTATCTTGGATCCAACTGAAAATGGCACGACTGCGTTCTCTACAACATTTCTAAATGAAAGCCCTGCTCTGGTGTGCGTCCAAAACCTGTGGAATTAGTGACACTGAAGTTGAACCTTAACACGAACAAAAACAGTTTGAATATCAAAATGGAGATCCATCAAAACATGGCTCTATGGCGCCACCTTCAAATTTCTTTAATGTGAACCACGCTCCTGTGTTTGACCTAAACCTATGAAATTGATGACACTTATGTTTGACCTCAAGACGAACAAAAAGGGTTTAACTGTCATAATGGATATCCATCATAAAAAGGCCCCATAGCGCCCCCTTCAAAATTTCAAAACGTAAACCCGCTCCTGCGGTCCAGACAAGTGGATTCAATGACACTTATCTTGAACCCCAAGAGGAAAAGAAATGGGTGCCAATGTAAAAATTGGGGACCCATCAAAAAACTCCTTCATTTCTCCCTCTACAAAATTTCAAAATGTAAGTTCAGCTCCTGTGTTTGACCTAAACCGAGGGATTCAATGACACCTACGTTGGACTCAAAGTTAAACAAAAAGTTTTCCACTGTCAAAATGGATTTCCAACAAAAATGTGGTCATAGCGCCCTCTACAAAAATTTCAGGACTCAGTGCTGTATTTGAAGTCTGGTGTATACCCTGTCAATAGGAATGGAGCCAGGACCGTCCGTTGTGGAACCCCTGTACTTCTCAATAAGGCCCAGAAACACAGTTCCCCAGCGTGAAGAACTGTGTGATTCCTGTCAGGCAATTTGTGATCCAGGAAACACAGGTAGGATCCACGCCCATCTCTGTGGGCTTGTCTTTGAGTATGATCGGTTGGATGGTGTTGAATGTTATGGTGACCTGTTGTTATGATGACCTGTCAGTTCATTGACCTATTGTTATAAGTGGTATCATGAAAATAAGACCATCTTAAGAAGAGAGACTGATTTTTATTCGAAAACATAACCTGAAACTGGATATCTCTTGCAGGGTTTTATAGTCTTGAATTTGTAAAGGATTAGTAATATCATTGACTTTGATGCCTTTGAAGTTTTTTTTGTAGGATCAGATTTCCAAAAAATATTCTTTGTTAACGCTCAGTTGCTAAAAAAAGCCTCTGACATCGACTGCTGTAAAAACATATCGGATTCATATTTTTTCCAGATTTTTTTTCACACATCTCTCAAATAACTTCTGCCCTGATCAAAAATAGTACATTTTTTTATCCAAAAAACAATTTTTTAAGCCTTTGAGAGTCCATTCAAAACAAAACGGCTAATGCCTAAACAAAACAATGGCCCCGCTCCATGTGTGAATACTGAAAAGATGTTTGCAGTCAGCAGCATGTAACCGTAGTGATTTGTAATAATGGAAAAACAGCACCATCTGGTGGTGTGCTTCTGTCACTGCCCTACATAAAAAAGATGTTTGCAGTCGGCACATCACCATAGAAATATTTGATTATGGTATGACAGCCGCATCTAGTGGTGAGCTTCAGTTGCTGCCCTACATATAAATATAAAGAGTGTTACAGAGCTGTAGCTAAAAGCTGTATCAATGCAAAATTATTAAAGTGCTAAATAGGTGGTATTGATCTCAAAAGTATTAAGAGCAGAAGTTTAAAAACTTGAATGAATGTGAAAAATGCTCACGTGAAGACAAAGTTGTAAGACCTGTCAATATTTGTCGATATAGAATTGTTACAGAGCTGTGGTATAAAAAAGGCATATGAATGTAAAATTATGAAAGTATGAAGAAGTGGTATTAATCTTAAAAGTATAGAGAGCAGAAATTTAAATACTTTTATGAATGTAAAAAATGCTCAAGTGAAGAAAAAGTTGTAAGACTTTTGTGAATAAAAATAATTAAAGATCAGTCTAGGTGCTTTGGAAAGACAAGTGCCTAGAGATTTATACATTACAAACTCCCCATGAAATGTTGAAATATTCAAAAGAGGTTTGCAGTCAGCAGCATGTAACCATAGTCACTGGTAGCGGCACAACACTACCCTATAGTGTGCTTCAGTTACTAACTTACCAAGCTGAAGCGCACCGCAAGATGGAGTAGTGCGTGCGGACAGAGTGTGTAGGAAATCGATAAGCACACAACACATGAAAAGTGCTCCACCATGGGTGAAGTGGATACCGTCTGAACTTCTTTACCTGGCGCAGTTTTTCCAAGTGGTATCATGAAAATAAGACCATCTTAAGAATTCTGGCACTCTCATGATCACTTCTAATTGTACCGAAAAAGTGAAATATTGCAAAAAGTATAAATGGTAGAAAGGTGAAAAGTACACCCCACTTGATGGTGCTGTCATACCATAATCAAAAATTACTATGGTTACATTCTGACTGTTAACCTCTTTTGAGTACTTCCACATTTCACGGGGAGGTTGTAATACATACATTTTTAGGCATTTGGCTATCCGAAGCACCTCGACTGATCATTTTTCCTTGTAATTCACAGAAGACATACAATTTTAGCAATTTTTTTTATTTTTACCTTCATCCAAGTATTTTAGCTTCAGCTCTGTAATATTTTCTACATTTTTATGTGGGGAAGTCACTGAAGCACACCACTAGATGGTGCTGTTTTTCCATTATTACAAATGAGTCTCATCACTCTGTGATGAGGAAAATGTCAAAATGGAGAACCAACCATCAATGGTCACATATTGCCCCCTACCCAATTGAAAAATAAAAGCCCTTTTTCTGTGTACGAACCAAACTTTTGAAATAAAGTACAATTATGACAAACCGAAAGTTGAACATAAAGGGCTCCAGCATCAAAATGGAGAATCAACTTCAAATAGCTCCAGAGTGCCAGCTTCAAATTAAAAGAAAAAAGTAAGCCCCGCTCCTGTGTTTGACCAAAACCTTTGGAATTGATGTCACTTATGTTTGACCTCAAGACAAACAAAAATGGGTTCAATGTCAAAATTGAGGTCTTTCAAGAAATAGCTACATAGCACCCCCTTCATAATTTCAAAATGAAACGCCTGCTTCTTTGAGTGACTCAGACCAATGGTCTAACAGACACTTATCTTGGATCCAACTGAAAATGGCACGACTGCGTTCTCTACAACATTTCTAAATGAAAGCCCTGCTCTGGTGTGCGTCCAAAACCTGTGGAATTAGTGACACTGAAGTTGAACCTTAACACGAACAAAAACAGTTTGAATATCAAAATGGAGATCCATCAAAACATGGCTCTATGGCGCCACCTTCAAATTTCTTTAATGTGAACCACGCTCCTGTGTTTGACCTAAACCTATGAAATTGATGACACTTATGTTTGACCTCAAGACGAACAAAAAGGGTTTAACTGTCATAATGGATATCCATCATAAAAAGGCCCCATAGCGCCCCCTTCAAAATTTCAAAACGTAAACCCGCTCCTGCGGTCCAGACAAGTGGATTCAATGACACTTATCTTGAACCCCAAGAGGAAAAGAAATGGGTGCCAATGTAAAAATTGGGGACCCATCAAAAAACTCCTTCATTTCTCCCTCTACAAAATTTCAAAATGAAAGTTCAGCTCCTGTGTTTGACCTAAACCGAGGGATTCAATGACACCTACGTTGGACTCAAAGTTAAACAAAAAGTTTTCCACTGTCAAAATGGATTTCCAACAAAAATGTGGTCATAGCGCCCTCTACAAAAATTTCAGGACTCAGTGCTGTATTTGAAGTCTGGTGTATACCCTGTCAATAGGAATGGAGCCAGGACCGTCCGTTGTGGAACCCCTGTACTTCTCAATAAGGCCCAGAAACACAGTTCCCCAGCGTGAAGAACTGTGTGATTCCTGTCAGGCAATTTGTGATCCAGGAAACACAGGTAGGATCCACGCCCATCTCTGTGGGCTTGTCTTTGAGTATGATCGGTTGGATGGTGTTGAATGTTATGGTGACCTGTTGTTATGATGACCTGTCAGTTCATTGACCTATTGTTATAAGTGGTATCATGAAAATAAGACCATCTTAAGAAGAGAGACTGATTTTTATTCGAAAACATAACCTGAAACTGGATATCTCTTGCAGGGTTTTATAGTCTTGAATTTGTAAAGGATTAGTAATATCATTGACTTTGATGCCTTTGAAGTTTTTTTTGTAGGATCAGATTTCCAAAAAATATTCTTTGTTAACGCTCAGTTGCTAAAAAAAGCCTCTGACATCGACTGCTGTAAAAACATATTGGATTCATATTTTTTCCAGATTTTTTTTCACACATCTCTCAAATAACTTCTGCCCTGATCAAAAATAGTACATTTTTTTATCCAAAAAACAATTTTTTAAGCCTTTGAGAGTCCATTCAAAACAAAACGGCTAATGCCTAAACAAAACAATGGCCCCGCTCCATGTGTGAATACTGAAAAGATGTTTGCAGTCAGCAGCATGTAACCGTAGTGATTTGTAATAATGGAAAAACAGCACCATCTGGTGGTGTGCTTCTGTCACTGCCCTACATAAAAAAGATGTTTGCAGTCGGCACATCACCATAGAAATATTTGATTATGGTATGACAGCCGCATCTAGTGGTGAGCTTCAGTTGCTGCCCTACATATAAATATAAAGAGTGTTACAGAGCTGTAGCTAAAAGCTGTATCAATGCAAAATTATTAAAGTGCTAAATAGGTGGTATTGATCTCAAAAGTATTAAGAGCAGAAGTTTAAAAACTTGTATGAATGTGAAAAATGCTCACGTGAAGACAAAGTTGTAAGACCTGTCAATATTTGTCGATATAGAATTGTTACAGAGCTGTGGTATAAAAAAGGCATATGAATGTAAAATTATGAAAGTATGAAGAAGTGGTATTAATCTTAAAAGTATAGAGAGCAGAAATTTAAATACTTTTATGAATGTAAAAAATGCTCAAGTGAAGAAAAAGTTGTAAGACTTTTGTGAATAAAAATAATTAAAGATCAGTCTAGGTGCTTTGGAAAGACAAGTGCCTAGAGATTTATACATTACAAACTCCCCATGAAATGTTGAAATATTCAAAAGAGGTTTGCAGTCAGCAGCATGTAACCATAGTCACTGGTAGCGGCACAACACTACCCTATAGTGTGCTTCAGTTACTAACTTACCAAGCTGAAGCGCACCGCAAGATGGAGTAGTGCGTGCGGACAGAGTGTGTAGGAAATCGATAAGCACACAACACATGAAAAGTGCTCCACCATGGGTGAAGTGGATACCGTCTGAACTTCTTTACCTGGCGCAGTTTTTCCAAGTGGTATCATGAAAATAAGACCATCTTAAGAATTCTGGCACTCTCATGATCACTTCTAATTGTACCGAAAAAGTGAAATATTGCAAAAAGTATAAATGGTAGAAAGGTGAAAAGTACACCCCACTAGATGGTGCTGTCATACCATAATCAAAAATTACTATGGTTACTGTCAGAATAATGTGTATAAATATATATAGAAGTTATCATCTTACTCAAATTCTTATGTAAGAGTTTGCTATAAGTATGAACTGTTTTAACCTCTTGTTACACATCATACACTGTGTGCAGAATTATTAGGCAAGTTGTATTTTTGAGGATAAACTTTATTTTTCAACAACTGCAGTGCTCTTGGTCAATCCAAAATTTTAATTAACCTCAAACCTGAATATTTAAGGGAGTAAAAGTGAGATTTTGGCTTCCTTAGGAGAATATCTATGTGTGCACACTTATTGGGGGCAGCTATTAGTGTGCAGAATTATTATGCAACTAAATTGAAAATGAAAAATTTTCCATCTCATTTGTTTATTTTCACTGGTTAAAGTGAGAATGATAAACAAACAACTCAATTTACAAATAAAAATTGAAATAAAAAAAAATAATCTGTGACCAATGTTACTACGCTTCTTCTCAATAACAGTCATAAGCCTTCCATTTATGGAGTCTTTCAGTTTCTTGATCTGTTGACGATCAACTTTTTGTGTTGCAGTAACCAAAGCCTTCCAGACACTGTTCCAGACACTGTTCAGAGAGGTGTACTGTCTTCCTTCACTGAAAATTTCCCGTTTAAGAAGGGCTCACAAGTTCTCAACAGGGTTTAGGTCAGGTGAAGAAGGAGGCCATGTCATTATTCTCTTGTTTTTAAGGCCTTTACTGGCGAGCCATATAGTGGAGTACTTCATTGCATGCAATGGAGCATTGTCCTGCATAAAAATCATGGTTTTCTTGAAAGATGCAGACTTTTGCCTGTACCACTGCTTGAAGAAAGTGTCTTCTCAAAACTGGCATTGGATTTGGGAGTTGATTTTAAGTCCATCTTCATCTCGAAAAGGTCCAGCTAGCTCATCTTTAATAATACCAGCCCATACCAGTACCCAGCCTCCACCTTGCTGGTGTCTGATTCGAAGTGGAGCCCTGTGCCCATTACTGATCCAGCCACGGGTCCATCCATCTGGTCCATCAAGAGTCACTCTCATCCCATCAGTCCATAAAACCTTTGAAAAGTCTCTCTTCAGATATTTCTTGGCCCAGTCTTGACGTTTCGACTTGTGTCTTGTTCAGTGGTGGTCAGATTTCAGCCTTCCTTACCTTGGCCATGTCTCTGAGCACTGAACACCTTGTACTTCTGGGCACTCCAGGTAGGTTGCAGTTCTGGAATATGACAGCACTGGAGGATATTGGGTTCCTGGTAGCTTTACGTTTGAGTCTTCTCAAATCTTTGGCAGTTAATTCGCGTCTTTTTTTCTTAACACATTTCTTGCGACCCTGTTGACTATTTGCATCAAAATGTTTGATGGTTCTGTGATCACGCCCAAATATCTAAGAAATTTCAAGAGTGCTGCATCCCTCTGAAAGACTTTTTATATTTTTTGACTTTTCAGAGTCACTTAAACCTCTTTTTTGGCCCATTTTACCTGAGGAAAAGAAGCTGCCTAATAATTATGCACACCTTGATATAGGGTTTTGATCTCCTTAGGCCCCAGCCTCCCTCAATACACATTACCTGATATGCTTATATCCAATAAGCATTCAAGTTTATACAGCTTAGAGTTGGAAAATATGCATAAAAATGATGATATGATCAAAATACTCACTTGCCTAATAATTGTGCACACAGTGTATAAGAGTGTTTTCTAACTTCTCTCTCCAATAGCTTTATTACTCAGCACATAAATGTTTCTTATCTTCTCTGTGACCTTGTTTCTCCTATTAGCAGGTGTGTGTGTGATGTATCCTCCACTGTGAATCGTGGGAAGTAATGAGGAGGATCCGCTCCTATCAGAAGGAGCTTGTTTAATGTCAACAGTGTTGCCTTGACCCTCACATATGTTCTGTTGTTCATAATTATGTTTTATGAGAATGCTAACATTGCTGCACATATTTTTCCCCCATCCTTTAGTACCATTGTGTAACCAGGGACAACCCTAAATAAAGAGACTGTGGTGCTGTTGGTGCTGTTATTCCATTATTGCAAATGAATCTCATCACCCTGTGATGAAGAAAATGTCAAAATGGAGAACCAACCATCAATGGTCACATATTGCCCCCTACCAAAAAATGAAAGCCCTTTTACTGTGTACGAACCAAACTTTTGAAATAAAGAACAATTATGACAAACCGAAAGTTGAACATAAAGGGCTCCAGCATCAAAATGGAGAATCAACTTCAAATAGCTCCAGAGTGCCACCTTCAAATTAAAAAAAAAATGTAAGCCCCGCTCCTATGTTTGACCGAAACCTTTGGAATTGATGTCACTTATGTTTGACCTCAAGACAAACAAAAATGGGTTCAATGTCAAAATTGAGGTCCTTCAAGAAATAGCTACATAGAACCCCCTTCATAATTTCAAAATGAAACCCCTGCTCCTTTGAGTGACTCAGACCAATGGACTAACAGACACTTATCTTGGATCCAACTGAAAATGGCACGACTGCGTTCTCTACAACATTTCTAAATGAAAGCCCTGCTCTGGTACGTCTCCAAAACCTGTGGAATTAGTGACACTGGAGTTGAGCCTTAACACGAACAAAAACATAATGGATATCGATAACCTTCAAACTGGCCAAAACGAACAATGTTCATAACAACAAGCAAAACTCATAAAAAGAACACTAAAACAACAGGTTAACGCATTCATGCCATTACACATGCTCAAAAACGTTCAAACTCGCCAAAACAAACACTTTTCATAACAACAAGCCAAACTCATCAAAAGAACACTAAAACAACAGCTTTACACAAGGGATTACTAATTCAACACATTCATGCCATTACACATGCTAAAAAACCTTCAAACTGGCAAAAACGAACAATGTTCATAACAATAAGCCAAACTCATCAAAAGAACACTAAAACAACAGCTTAACGCATTCATGGCATTACACATGCTCAAAAACGTTCAAACTCGCCAAAACAAACACTTTTCATAACAACAAGCCAAACTCATCAAAAGAACACTAAAACAACGGCTTAACACAAGGGATTACTAATTCAACACATTCATGCCATTACACATGCTAAAAAACCTCCAAACTGGCAAAAACGAACAATGTTCATAACAATAAGCCAAACTCATCAAAAGAACACTAAAACAACAGCTTAACGCATTCATGGCATTACATATGCTCAAAAACGTTCAAACTCGCCAAAACAAACACTTTTCATAACAACAAGCCAAACTCATCAAAAGAACACTAAAACAACGGCTTAACACTAATTCAACACATTCATACCATTACACATTCTAAAAAACCTTCAAACTGGCCAAAACGAACAATGTTCATAACAACAAGCCAAACTCATCAAAAGAACACTGAAAAAACAGCTTAACGCATTCATGCCATTACACATGCTCAAAAACGTTCAAACTCGCCAAAACAAACACTTTTCATAACAACAAGCCAAACTCATCATAAGAACACTAGAACAACAGCTTAACGCATTCATGGCATTACACATGCTCAAAAACGATCAAACTCGCCAAAACAAACACATTTTTTATAACAACAAGCCAAACTCATCAAAAGAACACTAAAACAACGGCTTAACATAAGGGATTACTAATTCAACACATTCATGCCATTACACATGCTAAAAAACCTTCAAATTGGCCAAAACGAACAATGTTCATAACAACAAGTCAAACTCATCAAAAGAACACTAAAACAACAGCTTAACGCATTCATGCCATTACACATGCTCAAAACATTCAAACTCGCCAAAACAAACACTTTTCATAACAACAAGCCAAACTCATCAAAAGAACACTAAAACAACAGCTTTAACGCATTCATGGCATTACACATGCTCAAAGACGTTCAAACTCGCCAAAACAAACACTTTTCATAACAACAAGCCAAACTCATAAAAAGAATACTAAAACAACAGTTTAACACAAGGGATTACTAATTCAACACATTCATGCCATTACACATGCTCAAAAACCTTCAAACTGGCCAAAACGAACAATGTTCATAACAACAAGCCAAACTCATCATAAGAACACTAAAACAACAGCTTAACGCATTCATGCCATTACATATGCTCAAAAACGTTCAAAATCGCCAAAACAAACACTTTTCATAAAAACAAGCAGAACTCATCAAAAGAACACTAAAACAACGGCTTAACACAAGGGATTACTAATTCAACACATTCATGCCATTACACATACTAAAAAACCTTCAAACTGGCCAAAACGAACAATGTTCATAACAACAAGCAAAACTCATCATAAGAACACTAGAACAACAGATTAACGCATTCATGCCATTACACATGCTCAAAAACGTTCAAACTCGCCAAAACAAACGCTTTTCATAACAACAAGCCAAACTCATCAAAAGAACACTAAAACAACAGCTTAACACAAGGGATTACTAATTGAACACATTCATGCCATTACACATACTAAAAAACCTTCAAACTGGCCAAAACGAACAATGTTCATAACAACAAGCAAAACTCATCATAAGAACACTAGAACAACAGATTAACGCATTCATGCCATTACAAATGCTCAAAAACGTTCAAACTCGCCAAAACAAACACTTTTCATAACAACAAGCCAAACTCATCAAAAGAACACTAAAAAAACAGCTTAACACATTCATGCCATTACACATACTAAAAAACCTTCAAACTGGCCAAAACGAACAATGTTCATAACAACAAGCAAAACTCATCATAAGAACACTAGAACAACAGATTAACGCATTCATGCCATTACAAATGCTCAAAAACGTTCAAACTCGCCAAAACAAACACTTTTCATAACAACAAGCCAAACTCATCAAAAGAACACTAAAACAACAGCTTAACGCATTCATGCCATTACACATTCTAAATAACCTTCAAACTGGCCAAAGCGAACAATGTTCATAACAACAAGCCAAACTCATCAAAAGAACACTAAAACAACAGCTTAACGCATTCATGCCATTACAAATGCTCAAAAACGTTCAAACTCGCAGAAACAAACACTTTTCATAACAACAAGCCAAACTCATCAAAAGAACACTAAAAAAACAGCTTAACGCATTCATGCCATTACACATGCTCAAAAACCTTCAAACTCGCCAAAACAAACACTTTTCATAACAACAAGCCAAACTCATCAAAAGAACACTAAAACAACAGCTTAACCCATTCATGCCATTACACATGCTCACAAACGTTCAAACTCGCCAAAACAAACACTTTTCATAACAACAAGCCAAACTCATAAAAAGAATACTAAAACAACAGTTTAACACCAGGGATTACTAATTCAACACATTCATGCCATTACACATGCTCAAAAACCTTCAAACTGGCCATAACGAACAATGTTCATAGCAACAAGCCAAACTCATCAAAAGAACACTAAAACAACAGCTTAACGCATTCGTGCCATTACACATGCTCAAAAACCTTCAAACTCGCCAAAACAAACACTTTTCATAACAACAAGCCAAACTCATCAAAAGAACACTAAAACAACAGCTTAACCCATTCATGCCATTACACATGCTCACAAACGTTCAAACTCGCCAAAACAAACACTTTTCATAACAACAAGCCAAACTCATAAAAAGAATACTAAAACAACAGTTTAACACAAGGGATTACTAATTCAACACATTCATGCCATTACACATGCTCAAAAACCTTCAAACTGGCCAAAACGAACAATGTTCATAACAAAAAGCCAAACTCATCAAAAGAACACTAAAACAACAGCTTAATGCATTCATGCCATTACACATGCTAAAAAACCTTCAAACTGGCCAAAACGAACAATGTTCATAACAACAAGCCAAACTCATCAAAAGAACACTAAAACAACGGCTTAACACAACGGATTACTAATTCAACACATTCATACCAATACACATGCTAAAAAACCTTCAAACTGGCCAAAACGAACAATGTTCATATCAACAAGCCGAACTCATCAAAAGAACACTAAAACAACAGCTTAACGCATTCATGCCATTACACATGCTCAAAAACGTTCAAACTCGCCAAAACAAACACTTTTCATAACAACAAGCCAAACTCATCAAAAGAACACTAAAACAACGGCTTAACACAAGGGATTACTAATTCAACACATTTATGACATTATACATGCTAAAATACCTTCAAACTCGCCAAAACAAACACTTTTCATAACAACAAGCCAAACTCATCAAAAGAACACTAAAACAACAGCTTAACGCATTCATGGCATTACACATGCTTAAAAACGTTCAAACTCGCCTAAACCAACACTTTTCATAACAACAAGCCAAACTCATCAAAAGAACACTAAAACAACGGCTTAACACAAGGGATTACTAATAGAACACATTCCTGCCATTACACATGCTCAAAAACCTTCAAACTGGCCAAAACGAATAATGTTCATAACAAAAAGCCAAACTCATCAAAAGAACAATAAAACAACAGCTTAATGCATTCATGCCATTACACATGCTAAAAAACCTTCAAACTGGCCAAAACGAACAATGTTCATAACAACAAGCCAAACTCATCAAAAGAACACTAAAACAACGGCTTAACACAACGGATTACTAATTCAACACATTCATACCAATACACATGCTAAAAAACCTTCAAACTGGCCAAAACGAACAATGTTCATATCAACAAGCCGAACTCATCAAAAGAACACTAAAACAACAGCTTAACGCATTCATGCCATTACACATGCTCAAAAACGTTCAAACTCGCCAAAACAAACACTTTTCATAACAACAAGCCAAACTCATCAAAAGAACACTAAAACAACGGCTTAACACAAGGGATTACTAATTCAACACATTTATGACATTACACATGCTAAAATACCTTCAAACTCGCCAAAACAAACACTTTTCATAACAACAAGCCAAACTCATCAAAAGAACACTAAAACAACAGCTTAACGCATTCATGCCATTACACATGCTTAAAAACGTTCAAACTCGCCTAAACCAACACTTTTCATAACAACAAGCCAAACTCATCAAAAGAACACTATAACAACGGCTTAACACAAGGGATTACTAATAGAACACATTCCTGCCATTACACATGCTCAAAAACCTTCAAACTGGCCAAAACGAATAATGTTCATAACAAAAAGCCAAACTCATCAAAAGAACAATAAAACAACAGCTTAATGCATTCATGCCATTACACATGCTAAAAAACCTTCAAACTGGCCAAAACGAACAATGTTCATAACAACAAGCCAAACTCATCAAAAGAACACTAAAACAACGGCTTAACACAACGGATTACTAATTCAACACATTCATACCATTACACATGCTAAAAAAACCTTCAAACTGGCCAAAACGAACAATGTTCATATCAACAAGCCGAACTCATCAAAAGAACACTAAAACAACAGCTTAACGCATTCATGCCATTACACATGCTCAAAAACGTTCAAACTCGCCAAAACAAACACTTTTCATAACAACAAGCCAAACTCATCAAAAGAACACTAAAACAACGGCTTAACACAAGGGATTTCTAATTCAACACATTTATGACATTACACATGCTAAAATACCTTCAAACTCGCCAAAACAAACACTTTTCATAACAACAAGCCAAACTCATCAAAAGAACACTAAAACAACGGCTTAACACAAGGGATTACTAATAGAACACATTCATGCCATTACACATGCTCAAAAACCTTCAAACTGGCCAAAACGAACAATGTTCATAACAAAAAGCCAAACTCATCAAAAGAACACTAAAACAGCAGCTTAATGCATTCATGCCATTACACATGCTCAAAAACGTTCAAACTCGCCTAAACCAACACTTTTCATAACAACAAGCCAAACTCATCAAAAGAACACTAAAACAACGGCTTAACACAACGGATTACTAATTCAACACATTCATACCATTACACATGCTAAAAAACCTTCAAACTGGCCAAAACGAACAATGTTCATATCAACAAGCCGAACTCATCAAAAGAACACTAAAACAACAGCTTAACGCATTCATGGCATTACACATGCTCAAAAACGTTCAAACTCGCCAAAACAAACACTTTTCATAACAACAAGCCAAACTCATCAAAAGAACACCAAAACAACAGCTTAACACAAGGGATTACTAATTCAACACTTTCATGCCATTACACATGCTCAAAAACCTTCAAACTGGCCAAAACGAACAATGTTCATAACAAAAAGCCAAACTCATCAAAAGAACACTAAAACAACAGCTTAATGCGTTCATGCCATTACACATGCTAAAAAACCTTCAAACTGGCCAAAACGAACAATGTTCATAACAACAAGCCAAACTCATCAAAAGAACACTAAAACAACGGCTTAACACAACGGATTACTAATTCAACACATTCATACCATTACACATGCTAAAAAACCTTCAAACTGGCCAAAACGAACAATGTTCATATCAACAAGCCGAACTCATCAAAAGAACACTAAAACAACATCTTAACGCATTCATGCCATTACACATGCTCAAAAACGTTCAAACTCGCCAAAACAAACACTTTTCATAACAACAAGCCAAACTCATCAAAAGAACACTAAAACAACGGCTTAACACAAGGGATTACTAATTCAACACATTTATGACATTACACATGCTAAAATACCTTCAAACTCGCCAAAACAAACACTTTTCATAACAACAAGCCAAACTCATCAAAAGAACACTAAAACAACAGCTTAACGCATTCATGCCATTACACATGCTTAAAAACGTTCAAACTCGCCTAAACCAACACTTTTCATAACAACAAGCCAAACTCATCAAAAGAACACTAAAACAACGGCTTAACACAAGGGATTACTAATAGAACACATTCCTGCCATTACACATGCTCAAAAACCTTCAAACTGGCCAAAACGAATAATGTTCATAACAAAAAGCCAAACTCATCAAAAGAACAATAAAACAACAGCTTAATGCATTCATGCCATTACACATGCTAAAAAACCTTCAAACTGGCCAAAACGACCAATGTTCATAACAACAAGCCAAACTCATCAAAAGAACACTAAAACAACGGCTTAACACAACGGATTACTAATTCAACACATTCATACCATTACACATGCTAAAAAACCTTCAAACTGGCCAAAACGAACAATGTTCATATCAACAAGCCGAACTCATCAAAAGAACACTAAAACAACAGCTTAACGCATTCATGCCATTACACATGCTCAAAAACGTTCAAACTCGCCAAAACAAACACTTTTCATAACAACAAGCCAAACTCATCAAAAGAACACTAAAACAACGGCTTAACACAAGGGATTTCTAATTCAACACATTTATGACATTACACATGCTAAAATACCTTCAAACTCGCCAAAACAAACACTTTTCATAACAACAAGCCAAACTCATCAAAAGAAAACTAAAACAACGGCTTAACACAAGGGATTACTAATAGAACACATTCATGCCATTACACATGCTCAAAAACCTTCAAACTGGCCAAAACGAACAATGTTCATAACAAAAAGCCAAACTCATCAAAAGAACACTAAAACAACAGCTTAATGCATTCATGCCATTACACATGCTCAAAAACGTTCAAACTCGCCTAAACCAACACTTTTCATAACAACAAGCCAAACTCATCAAAAGAACACTAAAACAACGGCTTAACACAACGGATTACTAATTCAACACATTCATACCATTACACATGCTAAAAAACCTTCAAACTGGCCAAAACGAACAATGTTCATAACAACATGCCAAAATCATCAAAAGAACACTAGAACAACAGCTTAACGCATTCATGGCATTACACATGCTCAAAAACGTTCAAACTCGCCAAAACAAACACTTTTCATAACAACAAGCCAGACTCATCAAAAGAACACTAAAACAACAACTTAAGGCATTCATGCCATTACACATGCTCAAAAACGTTCAAACTCGCCAAAACAAACACTTTTCATAACAACAAGCCAAACTCATCAAAAGAACACTAGAACAACAGCTTAACGCATTCATGGCATTACACATGCTCAAAAACGATCAAACTCGCCAAAACAAACACATTTTTTATATCAACAAGCCAAACTCATCAAAAGAACACTAAAACAACGGCTTAACATAAGGGATTACTAATTCAACACATTCATGCCATTACACATGCTAAAAAACCTTCAAATTGGCCAAAACGAACAATGTTCATAACAACAAGTCAAACTCATCAAAAGAACACTAAAACAACAGCTTAACGCATTCATGCCATTACACATGCTCAAAACATTCAAACTCGCCAAAACAAACACTTTTCATAACAACAAGCCAAACTCATCAAAAGAACACTAAAACAACAGCTTAACGCATTCATGCCATTACACATGCTCAAAGACGTTCAAACTCGCCAAAACAAACACTTTTCATAACAACAAGCCAAACTCATAAAAAGAATACTAAAACAACAGTTTAACACAAGGGATTACTAATTCAACACATTCATGCCATTACACATGCTCAAAAACCTTCAAACTGGCCAAAACGAACAATGTTCATAACAACAAGCCAAACTCATCATAAGAACACTAAAACAACAGCTTAACGCATTCATGCCATTACATATGCTCAAAAACGTTCAAAATCGCCAAAACAAACACTTTTCATAAAAACAAGCAGAACTCATCAAAAGAACACTAAAACAACGGCTTAACACAAGGGATTACTAATTCAACACATTCATGCCATTACACATACTAAAAAACCTTCAAACTGGCCAAAACGAACAATGTTCATAACAACAAGCAAAACTCATCATAAGAACACTAGAACAACAGATTAACGCATTCATGCCATTACACATGCTCAAAAACGTTCAAACTCGCCAAAACAAACACTTTTCATAACAACAAGCCAAACTCATCAAAAGAACACTAAAACAACAGCTTAACACAAGGGATTACTAATAGAACACATTCATGCCATTACACATGCTCAAAAACCTTCAAACTGGCCAAAACGAACAATGTTCATAACAAAAAGCCAAACTCATCAAAAGAACACTAAAACAACTGCTTAACGCATTCATGCCATTACAAATGCTCAAAAACGTTCAAACTCGCCAAAACAAACACTTTTCATAACAACAAGCCAAACTCATCAAAAGAACACTAAAAAAACAGCTTAACACAAGGGATTACTAATAGAACACATTCATGCCATTACACATGCTCAAAAACCTTCAAACTGGCCAAAACGAACAATGTTCATAACAAAAAGCCAAACTCATCAAAAGAACACTAAAACAACTGCTTAACGCATTCATGCCATTACAAATGCTCAAAAACGTTCAAACTCGCCAAAACAAACACTTTTCATAACAACAAGCCAAACTCATCAAAAGAACACTAAAAAAACAGCTTAACGCATTCATGCCATTACACATTCTAAATAACCTTCAAACTGGCCAAAACGAACAATGTTCATAACAACAAGCCAAACTCATCAAAAGAACACTAAAACAACAGCTTAACGCATTCATGCCATTTCACATGCTCAAAAACGTTCAAACTCGCCAAAACAAACACTTATCATAACAACAAGCCAAACTCATCAAAAGAACACTAAAACAACAGCTTAACGCATTCATGCCATTACACATGCTCAAAAACGTTCAAATTCGCCAAAACAAACACTTTTCATAACAACAAGCCAAACTCATCAAAAGAACACTAAAACAACGGCTTCACATAAGGGATTACTAATTCAACACATTCATGCCATTACACATGCTCAAAAACGTTCAAACTCGCCAAAACAAACACTTTTCATAACAACAAGCCAAACTCATCAAAAGAACACTAAAACAACGGCTTAACACAAGGGATTAGTAATTCAACACATTCATGCCATTACACATGCTAAAAAAACTTCAAAATGGCCAAAACGAACAATGTTCATGACAACAAGCCAAACTCATCAAAAGAACAATAAAACAACAGCTTAACGCATTCATGCCATTACACATGCTTAAAAACGTTCAAACTCGCCAAAACAAACACTTTTCATAACAACAAGCCAAACTCATCAAAAGAACACTAAAACAACGGCTTAACACAAGGGATTACTAAAAGAACACATTCATCCCATCACACATGCTCAAAAACCTTCAAACTCGCCAAAACGAACAATGTTCATAACAAAAAGCCAAACTCATCAAAAGAACACTAAAACAACAGCTTAACGCATTCATGCCATTACACATGCTCAAAAACGTTCAAACTCACCAAAACAAACACTTTTCATAACAACAAGCCAGACTCATCAAAAGAACACTAAAACAACAACTTAACGCATTCATGCCATTACACATGCTCAAAAACGTTGAAACTCGCCAAAACAAACACTTTTCATAACAACAAGCATAACTCATCAAAAGAACACTAAAACAACAGCTTAACGCATTCATGCCATTACACATGCTCAAAAACGTTCAAACTCGCCAAAACAAACACTTTTCATAACAACAAGCCAAACTCATCAAAAGAACACTAAAACCACGGCTTAACACAAGGGATTACTAATTTAACACATTCATGCCATTACACATGCTAAAAAAACTTCAAAATGGCCAAAACGAACAATGTTCATAACAACAAGCCAAACTCATCAAAAGAACACTAAAACAACAGCTTAACGCATTCATGCCATTACACATGCTCAAAAACGTTCAAACTCGCCAAAACAAACACTTTTCATAACAACAAGCCAAACTCATCAAAAGAACACTAAAACAACAGCTTAACGCATTCATGCCATTACACATGCTCAAAAACGTTCAAATTCGCCAAAACAAACACTTTTCATAACAACAAGCCAAACTCATCAAAAGAACACTAAAACAACGGCTTAACACAAGGGATTACTAATCCAACACATTCATACCATTACACATGCTAAAAAACCTTCAAACTGGCCAAAACGAACAATGTTCATAACAACAAGCCAAACTCATCAAAAGAAAACTAAAACAACAGCTTAACGCATTCATGCCATTACACATGCTCAAAAACGTTCAAACTCGCCAAAACAAACACTTTTCATAACAACAAGCCAAACTCATCAAAAGAACACTAAAACAACGTCTTAACACAAGGGATTACTAATTCAACACATTCATAACATTACCCATGCTAAAAAACCTTCAAACTGGCCAAAAAGAACAATGTTCTTAACAACAAGCCAAACTCATCAAAAGAACACTAAAACAACAGCTTAACACAAGGGATTACTAATTCAACAATTTCATGCCATTACACATGCTCAAAAACCTTCAAACTGGCCATAACGAACAATGTTCATATCAACAAGCCAAACTCATCAAAAGAACACTAAAACAACAGCTTAAGGCATTCTTGCCATTACACATGCTCAAAAACGTTCAAACTCGCCAAAACGAACACTTTTTATAACAACAAGCCAAACTCATCAAAAGAACATTAAAACAACAGCTTAACACAAGGGATTACTAATTCAACACATTCATGCCATTACAGATGCTAAAACACGTTCAAACTGGCCAAAACGAACAATGTTCATAACAACAAGCCAAACTCATCAAAAGAACACTAAAACAACAGCTTAACGCATTCATGCCATAACACATGCTCAAAAACGTTCAAACTCGCCAAAACAAACACTTTTCATAACAACAAGCCAAACTCATCAAAAGAACACTAAAACAACAGCTTAACGCATTCATGCCATTACACATGCTCAAAAACGTTCATACTCGCCAAAACAAACACTTTTCATAACAACAAGCCAGACTCATCAAAAGAACACTAAAACAACAGCTTAACGCATTCATGCCATTACACATGCTCAAAAACGTTCAAACTCGCCAAAACAAACACTTTTCATAACAACAAGCCAAACTCATAAAAAGAACACTAAAACAACAGCTTAACGCATTCATGCCATTACACATGCTCAAAAACGTTCAAACTCGCCAAAACAAACACTTTTCATAACAACAAGCCAAACTCATCAAAAGAACACTAAAACAACAGCTTAACGCATTCATGCCATTACACATGCTCAAAAACGTTCAAATCTGCCAAAACAAACACTTTTCATAACAACAAGCCAAACTCATTAAAAGAACACTAAAACAACGGCTTAACACAAGGGATTACTAATTCAACACATTCATGACATTACACATGCTAAAAAACCTTCAAACTGGCCAAAACGAACAATGTTCATAACAACAAGCCAAAGTCATCATAAGAACACTAAAACAACATCTTAACGCATTCATGCCATTACATATGCTCAAAAACCTTCAAACTCGCCAAAACAAACACTTTTCATAACAACAAGCCAAACTCATCAAAAGAACACTACAACAACAGCTTAACGCATTCATGGCATTACACATGCTCAAAAACGTTCAAACTCGCCAAAACAAACACTTTTCATAACAACAAGCCAGACTCATCAAAAGAACACTAAAACAACAGCTTAACGCATTCATGCCATTACACATGCTCAAAAACGTTCAAACTCGCCAAAACAAACACTTTTCATAACAACAAGCCAAACTCATCAAAAGAACACTAAAACAACGGCTTAACACAAGGGATTAGTAATTCAACACATTCATGCCATTACACATGCTAAAAAAACTTCAAAATGGCCAAAACGAACAATGTTCATGACAACAAGCCAAAGTCATCATAAGAACACTAAAACAACAGCTTAACGCATTCATGCCATTACATATGCTCAAAAACGTTCAAACTCGCCAAAACAAACACTTTTCATAACAACAAGCCAAACTCATCAAAAGAACACTAAAACAAAAGCTTAACGCATTCATGCAATTACAAATGCTCAAAAACGTTCAAACTCGCCAAAACAAACACTTTTCATAACAACAAGCCAAACTCATCAAAACAACACTAAAACAACGGCTTAACACAAGGGATTACTTATTCAACACATTTATGACATTACACATGCTAAAATACCTTCAAACTCGCCAAAACAAACACTTTTCATAACAACGAGCCAAACTCATCAAAAGAACAATAAAACAACAGCTTAACGCATTCATGCCATTACACATGCTCAAAAACGTTCAAACTCGCCTAAACCAACACTTTTCATAACAACAAGCCAAACTCATCAAAAGAACACTAGAACAACGGCTTAACACAAGGGATTACTAATAGAACACATTCATCCCATTACACATGCTCAAAAACCTTCAAACTGGCCAAAACGAACAATGTTCATAACAAAAAGCCAAACTCATCAAAAGAACACTAAAACAACAGCTTAACGCATTCATGCCATTACACATGCTCAAAAACGTTCAAACTCACCAAAACAAACACTTTTCATAACAACAAGCCAGACTCATCAAAAGAACACTAAAACAACAACTTAACGCATTCATGCCATTACACATGCTCAAAAACGTTGAAACTCGCCAAAACAAACACTTTTCATAACAACAAGCCAAACTCATCAAAAGAACACTAAAACAACAGCTTAACGCATTCATGCCATTACACATGCTCAAAAACGTTCAAACTCGCCAAAACAAACACTTTTCATAACAACAAGCCAAACTCATCAAAAGAACACTAAAACCACGGCTTAACACAAGGGATTACTAATTTAACACATTCATGCCATTACACATGCTAAAAAAACTTCAAAATGGCCAAAACGAACAATGTTCATAACAACAAGCCAAACTCATCAAAAGAACACTAAAACAACAGCTTAACGCATTCATGCCATTACACATGCTCAAAAACGTTCAAACTCGCCAAAACAAACACTTTTCATAACAACAAGCCAAACTCATCAAAAGAACACTAAAACAACAGCTTAACGCATTCATGCCATTACACATGCTCAAAAACGTTCAAACTCGCCAAAACAAACACTTTTCATAACAACAAGCCAAACTCATCAAAAGAACACTAAAACAACAGCTTAACGCATTCATGCCCATTACACATGCTCAAAAACGTTCAAATTCGCCAAAACAAACACTTTTCATAACAACAAGCCAAACTCATCAAAAGAACACTAAAACAACGGCTTAATACAAGGGATTACTAATCCAACACATTCATACCATTACACATGCTAAAAAACCTTCAAACTGGCCAAAACGAACAATGTTCATAACAACAAGCCAAACTCATCAAAAGAAAACTAAAACAACAGCTTAACGCATTCATGCCATTACACATGCTCAAAAACGTTCAAACTCGCCAAAACAAACACTTTTCATAACAACAAGCCAAACTCATCAAAAGAACACTAAAACAACGTCTTAACACAAGGGATTACTAATTCAACACATTCATAACATTACCCATGCTAAAAAACCTTCAAACTGGCCAAAAAGAACAATGTTCTTAACAACAAGCCAAACTCATCAAAAGAACACTAAAACAACAGCTTAACACAAGGGATTACTTATTCAACAATTTCATGCCATTACACATGCTCAAAAACCTTCAAACTGGCCATAACGAACAATGTTCATATCAACAAGCCAAACTCATCAAAAGAACACTAAAACAACAGCTTAAGGCATTCTTGCCATTACACATGCTCAAAAACGTTCAAACTCGCCAAAACGAACACTTTTTATAACAACAAGCCAAACTCATCAAAAGAACATTAAAACAACAGCTTAACACAAGGGATTACTAATTCAACACATTCATGCCATTACAGATGCTAAAACACGTTCAAACTGGCCAAAACGAACAATGTTCATAACAACAAGCCAAACTCATCAAAAGAACACTAAAACAACAGCTTAACGCATTCATGCCATAACACATGCTCAAAAACGTTCAAACTCGCCAAAACAAACACTTTTCATAACAACAAGCCAAACTCATAAAAAGAACACTAAAACAACAGCTTAACGCATTCATGCCATTACACATGCTCAAAAACGTTCAAACTCGCCAAAACAAACACTTTTCATAACAACAAGCCAAACTCATCAAAAGAACACTAAAACAACAGCTTAACGCATTCATGCCATTACACATGCTCAAAAACGTTCAAATCTGCCAAAACAAACACTTTTCATAACAACAAGCCAAACTCATTAAAAGAACACTAAAACAACGGCTTAACACAAGGGATTACTAATTCAACACATTCATGACATTACACATGCTCAAAAACCTTCAAACTGGCCAAAACGAACAATGTTCATAACAACAAGCCAAAGTCATCATAAGAACACTAAAACAACATCTTAACGCATTCATGCCATTACATATGCTCAAAAACCTTCAAACTCGCCAAAACAAACACTTTTCATAACAACAAGCCAAACTCATCAAAAGAACACTAAAACAACAGCTTAACGCATTCATGCCATTACACATGCTCAAAAACGTTCAAACTCGCCAAAACAAACACTTTTCATAACAACAAGCCAAACTCTTCAAAGGAACACTAAAACAACAGCTTAACACAAGGGATTACTAATTCAACACATTCATGCCATTACACATGCTAAAACACGTTCAAACTGGCCAAAACGAACAATGTTCATAACAACAAGCCAAACTCATCAAAAGAACACTAAAACAACAGCTTAACGCATTCATGCCATAACACATGCTCAAAAACGTTCAAACTCGCCAAAACAAACACTTTTCATAACAACAAGCCAAACTCATCAAAAGAACACTAAAACAACAGCTTAACGCATTCATGCCATTACACATGCTCAAAAACGTTCATACTCGCCAAAACAAACACTTTTCATAACAACAAGTCAAACTCATCAAAAGAACACTAAAACAACGGCTTAACACAAGGGATTACTAATTCAACACATTCATGCCATTACACATGCTAAAATACCTTCAAACTCGCCAAAACAAACACTTTTCATAACAACAAGCCAAACTCATCAAAAGAACACTACAACAACAGCTTAACACAAGGGATTACTAATTCAACATATTCATGCCATTACACATGCTAAAAAAACTTCAAAATGGCCAAAACGAACAATGTTCATAACAACAAGCCAAACTCATCAAAAGAACACTAAAACAACAGCTTAACGCATTCATGCCATTACACATGCTCAAAAGCGTTCAAACTCGCCAAAACAAACACTTTTCATAACAACAAGCCAAACTCATCAAAAGAACACTAAAAAAACAGCTTAACGCATTCATGCCATTACACATGCTCAAAAACGTTCAAATTCGCCAAAACAAACACTTTTCATAACAACAAGCCAAACTCATCAAAAGAACACTAAAACAACGGCTTAACATAAGGGATTACTAATTCACCACATTCATGCCATTACACATGCTAAAAAACGTTCAAACTCGCCAAAACGAACAATGTTCATAACAACATGCCAAAATCATCAAAAGAACACTAGAACAACAGCTTAACGCATTCATGGCATTACACATGCTCAAAAACGTTCAAACTCGCCAAAACAAACACTTTTCATAACAACAATCCAGACTCATCAAAAGAACACTAAAACAATTGCTTAACGCATTCATGCCATTACACATGCTCAAAAACGTTGAATCTCGCCAAAACAAACACTTTTCATAACAACGAGCCAAACTCATCAAAAGAACACTAAAACAACAGCTAAACACAAGGGATTACTAATTCAACACATTCATGCCATTACACATGCTCAAAAACGTTCAAACTCGCCAAAACAAACTCTTTTCACAACAACAAGCCAAACTCATCAAAAGAACACTAAAACAACAGCTTAACGCATTCATGCCATTACACATGCTCAAAAACGTTCAAATCTGCCAAAACAAACACTTTTCATAACAACAAGCCAAACTCATTAAAAGAACACTAAAACAACGGCTTAACACAAGGGATTACTAATTCAACACATTCATGCCATTACACATGCTAAAAAACCTTCAAACTGGCCAAAACGAACAATGTTCATAACAACAAGCCAAAGTCATCATAAGAACACTAAAACAACAGCTTAACGCATTCATGCCATTACATATGCTCAAAAACGTTCAAACTCGCCAAAACAAACACTTTTCATAACAACAAGCCAAACTCATCAAAAGAACACTAAAACAACGGCTTAACACAAGGGATTACTAATTCAACACATTCATGCCATTACACATGCTAAAATACCTTCAAACTCGCCAAAACAAACACTTTTCATAACAACAAGCCAAACTCATCAAAAGAACACTACAACAACAGCTTAACACAAGGGATTACTAATTCAACACATTCATGCCATTACACATGCTCAAAAACGTTCAAACTGGCCAAAACGAACAATGTTCATAACAACAAGCCAAACTCATCAAAAGAACACTAAAACAACAGCTTAACGCATTCATGCCATTACACATGCTCAAAAAACGTTCAAACTCGCCAAAACAAACACTTTTCATAACAACAAGCCAAACTCATCAAAAGAACACTAAAAAAACAGCTTAATGCATTCATGCCATTACACATGCTCAAAAACGTTCAAATTCGCCAAAACAAACACTTTTCATAACAACAAGCCAAACTCATCAAAAGAACACTAAAACAACGGCTTAACATAAGGGATTACTAATTCACCACATTCATGCCATTACACATGCTAAAAAACGTTCAAACTCGCCAAAACGAACAATGTTCATAACAACATGCCAAAATCATCAAAAGAACACTAGAACAACAGCTTAACGCATTCATGGCATTACACATGCTCAAAAAACGTTCAAACTCGCCAAAACAAACACTTTTCATAACAACAATCCAGACTCATCAAAAGAACACTAAAACAATTGCTTAACGCATTCATGCCATTACACATGCTCAAAAACGTTGAATCTCGCCAAAACAAACACTTTTCATAACAACGAGCCAAACTCATCAAAAGAACACTAAAACACCAGCTAAACACAAGGGATTACTAATTCAACACATTCATGCCATTACACATGCTCAAAAACGTTCAAACTCGCAAAAACAAACTCTTTTCACAACAACAAGCCAAACTCATCAAAAGAACACTAAAACAACAGCTTAACGCATTCATGCCATTACACATGCTCAAAAACGTTCAAATCTGCCAAAACAAACACTTTTCATAACAACAAGCCAAACTCATTAAAAGAACACTAAAACAACGGCTTAACACAAGGGATTACTAATTCAACACATTCATGCCATTACACATGCTAAAAAACCTTCAAACTGGCCAAAACGAACAATGTTCATAACAACAAGCCAAAGTCATCATAAGAACACTAAAACAACAGCTTAACTCATTCATGCCATTACATATGCTCAAAAACGTTCAAACTCGCCAAAACAAACACTTTTCATAACAACAAGCCAAACTCATCAAAAGAACACTAAAACAACAGCTTAACGCATTCATGCCATTACACATGCTCAAAAACGTTCAAACTCGCCAAAACAAACACTTTTCATAACAACAAGCCAAACTCATCAAAAGAACACTAAAACAACGGCTTAACACAAGGGATTTCTAATTCAACACATTTATGACATTACACATGCTAAAATACCTTCAAACTCGCCAAAACAAACACTTTTCATAACAACAAGCCAAACTCATCAAAAGAAAACTAAAACAACGGCTTAACACAAGGGATTACTAATAGAACACATTCATGCCATTACACATGCTCAAAAACCTTCAAACTGGCCAAAACGAACAATGTTCATAACAAAAAGCCAAACTCATCAAAAGAACACTAAAACAACAGCTTAATGCATTCATGCCATTACACATGCTCAAAAACGTTCAAACTCGCCTAAACCAACACTTTTCATAACAACAAGCCAAACTCATCAAAAGAACACTAAAACAACGGCTTAACACAACGGATTACTAATTCAACACATTCATACCATTACACATGCTAAAAAACCTTCAAACTGGCCAAAACGAACAATGTTCATATCAACAAGCCGAACTCATCAAAAGAACACTAAAACAACAGCTTAACGCATTCATGCCATTACACATGCTCAAAAACGTTCAAACTCGCCAAAACAAACACTTTTCATAACAACAAGCCAAACTCATCAAAAGAACACTAAAACAACAGCTTAACGCATTCATGCCATTTCACATGCTCAAAAACGTTCAAACTCGCCAAAACAAACACTTTTCATAACAACAAGCCAAACTCATCAAAAGAACACTAAAACAACAGCTTTACACAAGGTATTACTAATTCAACACATTCATGCCATTACACATGCTCAAAAACGTTCAAACTCGCCAAAACAAACACTTTTCATAACAACAAGCCAAACTCATCAAAAGAACACTAAAACAACGGCTTAACACAAGGGATTACTAATTCAACACATTCATGCCATTACACATGCTAAAAAACCTTCAAACTGGCTAAAACGAACAATGTTCATAACAACAAGCCAAACTCATCAAAAGAACACTAAAACAACGGCTTAACACAAGGGATTACTAATTCAACACATTCATATCATTACACATGCTAAAAAACCTTCAAACTGGCCAAAACGAACAATGTTCATAACAACAAGCCAAACTCATCAAAAGAACACTAAAACAACGGCTTAACACAAGGGATTACTAATTCAACACATTCATGCCATTACACATGCTAAAAAACGTTCAAACTCGCCAAAACGAACAATGTTCATAACAACATGCCAAACTCATCAAAAGAACACTAGAACAACAGCTTAACGCATTCATGGCATTACACATGCTCAAAAACGTTCAAACTCGCCAAAACAAACACTTTTCATAACAACAAGCCAGACTCATCAAAAGAACACTAAAACAACAACTTAACGCATTCATGCCATTACACATGCTCAAAAACGTTCAAACTCGCCAAAACAAACACTTTTCATAACAACAAGCCAAACTCATCAAAAGAACACTAAAACAACAACTTAACGCATTCATGCCATTACACATGCTCAAAAACGTTCAAACTCGCCAAAACAAACACTTTTCATAACAACAAGCCAAACTCATCAAAAGAACACTAGAACAACAGCTTAACGCATTCATGGCATTACACATGCTCAAAAACGATCAAACTCGCCAAAACAAACACATTTTTTATAACAACAAGCCAAACTCATCAAAAGAACACTAAAACAACGGCTTAACATAAGGGATTACTAATTCAACACATTCATGCCATTACACATGCTAAAAAACCTTCAAATTGGCCAAAACGAACAATGTTCATAACAACAAGTCAAACTCATCAAAAGAACACTTAAACAACAGCTTAACGCATTCATGCCATTACACATGCTCAAAACATTCAAACTCGCCAAAACAAACACTTTTCATAACAACAAGCCAAACTCATCAAAAGAACACTAAAACAACAGCTTAACGCATTCATGGCATTACACATGCTCAAAGACGTTCAAACTCGCCAAAACAAACACTTTTCATAACAACAAGCCAAACTCATAAAAAGAATACTAAAACAATAGTTTAACACAAGGGATTACTAATTCAACACATTCATGCCATTACACATGCTCAAAAACCTTCAAACTGGCCAAAACGAACAATGTTCATAACAACAAGCCAAACTCATCATAAGAACACTAAAACAACAGCTTAACGCATTCATGCCATTACATATGCTCAAAAACGTTCAAAATCTCCAAAACAAACACTTTTCATAAAAACAAGCAGAACTCATCAAAAGAACACTAAAACAACGGCTTAACACAAGGGATTACTAATTCAACACATTCATGCCATTACACATACTAAAAAACCTTCAAACTGGCCAAAACGAACAATGTTCATAACAACAAGCAAAAATCATCATAAGAACACTAGAACAACAGATTAACGCATTCATGCCATTACACATGCTCAAAAACGTTCAAACTCGCCAAAACAAACACTTTTCATAACAACAAGCCAAACTCATCAAAAGAACACTAAAACAACAGCTTAACACAATGGATTACTAATAGAACACATTCATGCCATTACACATGCTCAAAAACCTTCAAACTGGCCAAAACGAACAATGTTCATAACAAAAAGCCAAACTCATCAAAAGAACACTAAAACAACAGCTTAACGCATTCATGCCATTACAAATGCTCAAAAACGTTCAAACTCGCCAAAACAAACACTTTTCATAACAACAAGCCAAACTCATCAAAAGAACACTAAAACAACAGCTTAACCCATTCATGCCATTACACATGCTCACAAACGTTCAAACTCGCCAAAACAAACACTTTTCATAACAACAAGCCAAACTCATCAAAAGAACACTAAAACAACAGCTTAACACAAGGGATTACTAATTCAACACATTCCTGCAGTTACACATACTAAAAAACCTTCAAACTGGCCAAAACGAACAATGTTCATAACAACAAGCCAACCTCATCATAAGAACACTAAAACAACAGCTTAATGCATTAGTGCCATTACACATGCTCAAAAACGTTCAAACTCGCCAAAACAAACACTTTTCATAACAACAAGCCAAACTCATCAAAAGAACACCAAAACAACAGCTTAACACAAGGGATTACTAATTCAACACTTTCATGCCATTACACATGCTCAAAAACCTTCAAACTGGCCAAAACGAACAATGTTCATAACAACAAGGCAAACTCATCAAAAGAACACTAAAACAACGGCTTAACACAACGGATTACTAATTCAACACATTCATACCATTACACATGCTAAAAAACCTTCAAACTGGCCAAAACGAATAATGTTCATAACAAAAAGCCAAACTCATCAAAAGAACACTAAAACAACAGCTTAATGCATTCATGCCATTACACATGCTCAAAAACGTTCAAACTCGCCTAAACCAACACTTTTCATAACAACAAGCCAAACTCATCAAAAGAACACTAAAACAACGGCTTAACACAACGGATTACTAATTCAACACATTCATACCATTACACATGCTAAAAAACCTTCAAACTGGCCAAAACGAACAATGTTCATATCAACAAGCCGAACTCTTCAAAAGAACACTAAAACAACAGCTTAACGCATTCATGCCATTACACATGCTCAAAAACGTTCAAACTCGCCAAAACAAACACTTTTCATAACAACAAGCAAAACTCATCAAAAGAACACTAAAACAACGGCTTAACACAAGGGATTACTAATTCAACACATTTATGACATTACACATGCTAAAATACCTTCAAACTCGCCAAAACAAACACTTTTCATAACAACAAGCCAAACTCATCAAAAGAACACTAAAACAACGGCTTAACACAAGGGATTACTAATAGAACACATTCATGCCATTACACATGCTCAAAAACCTTCAAACTGGCCAAAACGAACAATGTTCATAACAAAAAGCCAAACTCATCAAAAGAACACTAAAACAACAGCTTAATGCATTCATGCCATTACACATAGTCAAAAACGTTCAAATCCGCCTAAACCAACACTTTTCATAACAACAAGCCAAACTCATCAAAAGAACACTAAAACAACGGCTTAACACAACGGATTACTAATTCAACACATTCATACCATTACACATGCTAAAAAACCTTCAAACTGGCCAAAACGAACAATGTTCATATCAACAAGCCGAACTCATCAAAAGAACACTAAAACAACAGCTTAACGCATTCATGCCATTAAACATGCTCAAAAATGTTCAAACTCGCCAAAACAAACACTTTTCATAACAACAAGCCAAACTCATCAAAAGAACACTAAAACAACAGCTTAACGCATTCATGCCATTTCACATGCTCAAAAACGTTCAAACTCGCCAAAACAAACACTTTTCATAACAACAAGCCAAACTCATCAAAAGAACACTAAAACAACAGCTTAACGCATTCATGCCATTTCACATGCTCAAAAACGTTCAAACTCGCCAAAACAAACACTTATCATAACAACAAGCCAAACTCATCAAAAGAACACTAAAACAACAGCTTAACGCATTCATGCCATTACACATGCTCAAAAACGTTCAAATTCGCCAAAACAAACACTTTTCATAACAACAAGCCAAACTCATCAAAAGAACACTAAAACAACGGCTTCACATAAGGGATTACTAATTCAACACATTCATGCCATTACACATGCTAAAAAACGTTCAAACTCGCCAAAACGAACAATGTTCATAACAACATGCCAAAATCATCAAAAGAACACTACAACAACAGCTTAACGCATTCATGGCATTACACATGCTCAAAAACGTTCAAACTCGCCAAAACAAACACTTTTCATAACAACAAGCCAGACTCATCAAAAGAACACTAAAACAACAGCTTAACGCATTCATGCCATTACACATGCTCAAAAACGTTCAAACTCGCCAAAACAAACACTTTTCATAACAACAAGCCAAACTCATCAAAAGAACACTAAAACAACGGCTTAACACAAGGGATTAGTAATTCAACACATTCATGCCATTACACATGCTAAAAAAACTTCAAAATGGCCAAAACGAACAATGTTCATGACAACAAGCCAAAGTCATCATAAGAACACTAAAACAACAGCTTAACGCATTCATGCCATTACACATGCTTAAAAACGTTCAAACTCGCCTAAACCAACACTTTTCATAACAACAAGCCAAACTCATCAAAAGAACACTAGAACAACGGCTTAACACAAGGGATTACTAATAGAACACATTCATCCCATTACACATGCTCAAAAACCTTCAAACTGGCCAAAACGAACAATGTTCATAACAAAAAGCCAAACTCATCAAAAGAACACTAAAACAACAGCTTAATGCATTCATGCCATTACACATGCTCAAAAACGTTCAAACTCGCCAAAACAAACTTTTTTCATAACAACAAGCCAAACTCATCAAAAGAACACTAAAACAACAGCTTAACGCATTCATGCCATTACACATGCTCAAAAACGTTCAAACTCACCAAAACAAACACTTTTCATAACAACAAGCCAGACTCATCAAAAGAACACTAAAACAACAACTTAACGCATTCATGCCATTACACATGCTCAAAAACGTTGAAACTCGCCAAAACAAACACTTTTCATAACAACAAGCCAAACTCATCAAAAGAACACTAAAACAACAGCTTAACGCATTCATGCCATTACACATGCTCAAAAACGTTCAAACTCGCCAAAACAAACACTTTTCATAACAACAAGCCAAACTCATCAAAAGAACACTAAAACCACGGCTTAACACAAGGGATTACTAATTTAACACATTCATGCCATTACACATGCTAAAAAAACTTCAAAATGGCCAAAACGAACAATGTTCATAACAACAAGCCAAACTCATCAAAAGAACACTAAAACAACAGCTTAACGCATTCATGCCATTACACATGCTCAAAAACGTTCAAACTCGCCAAAACAAACACTTTTCATAACAACAAGCCAAACTCATCAAAAGAACACTAAAACAACAGCTTAACGCATTCATGCCATTACACATGCTCAAAAACGTTCAAATTCGCCAAAACAAACACTTTTCATAACAACAAGCCAAACTCATCAAAAGAACACTAAAACAACGGCTTAACACAAGGGATTACTAATTCAACACATTCATACCATTACACATGCTAAAAAACCTTCAAACTGGCCAAAACGAACAATGTTCATAACAACAAGCCAAACTCATCAAAAGAAAACTAAAACAACAGCTTAACGCATTCATGCCATTACACATGCTCAAAAACGTTCAAACTCGCCAAAACAAACACTTTTCATAACAACAAGCCAAACTCATCAAAAGAACACTAAAACAACGTCTTAACACAAGGGATTACTAATTCAACACATTCATAACATTACCCATGCTAAAAAACCTTCAAACTGGCCAAAAAGAACAATGTTCTTAACAACAAGCCAAACTCATCAAAAGAACACTAAAACAACAGCTTAACACAAGGGATTACTAATTCAACAATTTCATGCCATTACACATGCTCAAAAACCTTCAAACTGGCCATAACGAACAATGTTCATATCATCAAGCCAAACTCATCAAAAGAACACTAAAACAACAGCTTAAGGCATTCTTGCCATTACACATGCTCAAAAACGTTCAAACTCGCCAAAACGAACACTTTTTATAACAACAAGCCAAACTCATCAAAAGAACATTAAAACAACAGCTTAACACAAGGGATTACTAATTCAACACATTCATGCCATTACAGATGCTAAAACACGTTCAAACTGGCCAAAACGAACAATGTTCATAACAACAAGCCAAACTCATCAAAAGAACACTAAAACAACAGCTTAACGCATTCATGCCATAACACATGCTCAAAAACGTTCAAACTCGCCAAAACAAACACTTTTCATAACAACAAGCCAAACTCATTAAAAGAACACTAAAACAACAGCTTAACGCATTCATGCCATTACACATGCTCAAAAACGTTCATACTCGCCAAAACAAACACTTTTCATAACAACAAGCCAGACTCATCAAAAGAACACTAAAACAACAGCTTAACGCATTCATGCCATTACACATGCTCAAAAACGTTCAAACTCGCCAAAACAAACACTTTTCATAACAACAAGCCAAACTCATCAAAAGAACACTAAAACAACAGCTTAACGCATTCATGCCATTACACATGCTCAAAAACGTTCAAATCTGCCAAAACAAACACTTTTCATAACAACAAGCCAAACTCATCAAAAGAACACTAAAACAACGGCTTAACACAAGGGATTACTAATTCAACACATTCATGCATTACACATGCTAAAAACCTTCAAACTGGCCAAAACGAACAATGTTCATAACAACAAGCCAAACTCATCATAAGAACACTAAAACAACATCTTAACGCATTCATGCCATTACACATGCTCAAAAACCTTCAAACTCGCCAAAACAAACACTTTTCATAACAACAAGCCAAACTCATCAAAAGAACACTAAAACAACAGCTTAACGCATTCATGCCATCACACATGCTCAAAAACGTTCAAACTCGCCAAAACAAACACTTTTCATAACAACAAGCCAAACTCATCAAAAGAACACTAAAACAACAGCTTAACACAAGGGATTACTAATTCAACACATTCATGCCATTACACATGCTAAAAACGTTCAAACTGGCCAAAACGAACAATGTTCATAACAACAAGCCAAACTCATCAAAAGAACACTAAAACAACAGCTTAACGCATTCATGCCATAACACATGCTCAAAAACGTTCAAACTCGCCAAAACAAACACTTTTCATAACAACAAGCCAAACTCATCAAAAGAACACTAAAACAACAGCTTAACGCATTCATGCCATTACACATGCTCAAAAACGTTCATACTCGCCAAAACAAACACTTTTCATAACAACAAGCCAAACTCATCAAAAGAACACTAAAACAACGGCTTAACACAAGGGATTACTAATTCAACACATTCATGCCATTACACATGCTAAAATACCTTCAAACTCGCCAAAACAAACACTTTTCATAACAACAAGCCAAACTCATCAAAAGAACACTAAAACAACAGCTTAACACAAGGGATTACTAATTCAACACATTCATGCCATTACACATGCTAAAAAAACTTCAAAATGGCCAAAACGAACAATGTTCATAACAACAAGCCAAACTCATCAAAAGAACACTAAAACAACAGCTTAACGCATTCATGCCATTACACATGCTCAAAAGCGTTCAAACTCGCCAAAACAAACACTTTTCATAACAACAAGCCAAACTCATCAAAAGAACACTAAAAAAACAGCTTAACGCATTCATGCCATTACACATGCTCAAAAACGTTCAAACTCGCCAAAACAAACACTTTTCATAACAACAAGCCAAACTCATCAAAAGAACACTAAAACAACAGCTTAACATAAGGGATTACTAATTCAAACATTCATGCCATTACACATGCTAAAAAACGTTCAAACTGCCAAAACGAACAATGTTCATAACAACATGCCAAAATCATCAAAAGAACACTAAACAACAGCTTAACGCATTCATGCCATTACACATGCTCAAAAACGTTCAAACTCGCCAAAACAAACACTTTTCATAACAACAAGCCAAACTCATCAAAAGAACACTAAAACAACAGCTTAACGCATTCATGCCATTACACATGCTCAAAAACGTTCAAACTCGCCAAAACAAACACTTTTCATAACAACAAGCCAAACTCATCAAAAGAACACTAAAACAACAGCTTAACACAAGGGATTACTAATTCAACACATTCATGCCATTACACATGCTCAAAAACGTTCAAACTCGCCAAAACAAACCTTTTCATAACAACAAGCCAAACTCATCAAAAGAACACTAAAACAACAGCTTAACGCATTCATGCCATTACACATGCTCAAAAACGTTCAAACTGCCAAAACAAACACTTTTCATAACAACAAGCCAAACTCATCAAAAGAACACTAAAACAACAGCTTAACACAAGGGATTACTAATTCAACACATTCATGCCATTACACATGCTAAAAAACCTTCAAACTGGCCAAAACGAACAATGTTCATAACAACAAGCCAAACTCATCAAAAGAACACTAAAACAACAGCTTAACGCATTCATGCCATTACACATCTCAAAAACGTTCAAACTCGCCAAAACAAACACTTTTCATAACAACAAGCCAAACTCATCAAAAGAACACTAAAACAACAGCTTAACGCATTCATGCCATTACACATGCTCAAAAACGTTCAAACTCGCCAAAACAAACACTTTTCATAACAACAAGCCAAACTCATCAAAAGAACACTAAAACAACGGCTTAACACAAGGGATTACTAATTCAACACATTCATACCATTACACATGCTAAAAAACGTTCAAACTGGCCAAAACGAACAATGTTCATAACAACAAGCCAAACTCATCAAAAGAACACTAAAACAACAGCTTAACGCATTCATGCCATTACATATGCTCAAAAACGTTCAAACTCGCCAAAACAAACACTTTTCATAACAACAAGCCAAACTCATCAAAAGAACACTAAAACAACGGCTTAACACAAGGGATTACTAATTCAACACATTCATACCATTACACATGCTAAAAAACCTTCAAACTGGCCAAAACGAACAATGTTCATAACAACATGCCAAAATCATCAAAAGAACACTAGAACAACAGCTTAACGCATTCATGGCATTACACATGCTCAAAAACGTTCAAACTCGCCAAAACAAACACTTTTCATAACAACAATCCAGACTCATCAAAAGAACACTAAAACAATTGCTTAACGCATTCATGCCATTACACATGCTCAAAAACGTTGAATCTCGCCAAAACAAACACTTTTCATAACAACGAGCCAAACTCATCAAAAGAACACTAAAACAACAGCTAAACACAAGGGATTACTAATTCAACACATTCATGCCATTACACATGCTCAAAAACGTTCAAACTCGCCAAAACAAACTCTTTTCACAACAACAAGCCAAACTCATCAAAAGAACACTAAAACAACAGCTTAACGCATTCATGCCATTACACATGCTCAAAAACGTTCAAATCTGCCAAAACAAACACTTTTCATAACAACAAGCCAAACTCATTAAAAGAACACTAAAACAACGGCTTAACACAAGGGATTACTAATTCAACACATTCATGCCATTACACATGCTAAAAAACCTTCAAACTGGCCAAAACGAACAATGTTCATAACAACAAGCCAAAGTCATCATAAGAACACTAAAACAACAGCTTAACGCATTCATGCCATTACATATGCTCAAAAACGTTCAAACTCGCCAAAACAAACACTTTTCATAACAACAAGCCAAACTCATCAAAAGAACACTAAAACAACAGCTTAACGCATTCATGCCATTACACATGCTCAAAAACGTTCAAACTCGCCAAAACAAACACTTTTCATAACAACAAGCCAAACTCATCAAAAGAACACTAAAACAACGGCTTAACACAAGGGATTACTAATTCAACACATTCATACCATTACACATGCTAAAAAACGTTCAAACTGGCCAAAACGAACAATGTTCATAACAACAAGCCAAACTCATCAGAAGAAAACTAAAACAACAGCTTAACGCATTCATGCCATTACATATGCTCAAAAACGTTCAAACTCGCCAAAACAAACACTTTTCATAACAACAAGCCAAACTCATCAAAAGAACACTAAAACAACGGCTTAACACAAGGGATTACTAATTCAACACATTCATACCATTACACATGCTAAAAAACCTTCAAACTGGCCAAAACGAACAATGTTCATAACAACAAGCCAAACTCATCAAAAGAAAACTAAAACAACAGCTTAACGCATTCATGCCATTACACATGCTCAAAAACGTTCAAATCTGCCAAAACAAACACTTTTCATAACAACAAGCCAAACTCATTAAAAGAACACTTAAACAACGGCTTAACACAAGGGATTACTAATTCAACAATTTCATGCCATTACACATGCCCAAAAACCTTCAAACTGGCCATAACGAACAATGTTCATAACAACAAGCCAAACTCATCAAAAGAACACTAAAACAACAGCTTAACGTATTCATACCATTACACATGCTAAAAAACCTTCAAACTGGCCAAAACGAACACTTTTTATAACAACAAGCCAAACTCTTCAAAAGAACACTAAAACAACAGCTTAACACAAGGGATTACTAATTCAACACATTCATGCCATTACACATGCTAAAACACGTTCAAACTGGCCAAAACGAACAATGTTCATAACAACAAGCCAAACTCATCAAAAGAACACTAAAACAACAGCTTAACACAAGGCATTACTAATTCAACACATTCATGCCATTACACATGCTAAAACACGTTCAAACTGGCCAAAACGAACAATGTTCATAACAACAAGCCAAACTCATCAAAAGAACACTAAAACAACAGCTTAACGCATTCATGCCATTACACATGCTCAAAAACGTTCAAACTCGCCAAAACAAACACTTTTCATAACAACAAGCCAAACTCATCAAAAGAACACTAAAACAAGAGCTTAACCCTTCCGGAACCTTCGGGCTTTTAACAGCAAATTTATGATAGAGCTAGAGACTAATTTGGATATAACTTTTTTTTTACTGCAGCAAATGTGATGAATTTTTTTTTCTAAGCTTAATTTGAAATTTTATTTGAAAACATGAATTCAAAATTTTCACCAAGTCAATAATAAAGCCAGGACAGAAAAACGTCCTCTAAAGTCCCTCGTGGCTGTTGAAAGCCACTTGTTTTGTCGGCTGTAAAATCATATTGGATTAATATTTTTTTCTGATTTTTTTTCACAAATCTCTTATTTTACTTCTGCCCTGTTCGAAACTAGCAAATGTTTCATTAAAAACAGTTTTTTTAACCCTTTAAGTGCCAATTTAAGACAAAAAGTCACAAATTTAGCAAAAATTGAGGGAAAATGACCCATTTTTTTAATAAAACATGATCAGAAACTGGTAATCTCTTGCAGGGTATTAAAGTCTTGAATATGTCAGAGATTAGTAATATAATTTACTTATATGCATTTTCAGTTTTTCTGTAGCATCAGATTTAATGAAAAACTGCCTTTGGCGCCTCCCAGTGGCCAAAACTACTTTGTCTGCTGTAAAATCATATTGGATTGATATTTTTTTCTGATTTTTTTTCATACATTTCTTATTTTACTTCTGCCCTGTTCAAAACTAGCAAATGTTTCATTGAAAATAAAAATTTTAACCCTTTAAGGGCCAATTTAAGACATAAAGTCACTTAAAAAGCAAAAAAAAATGGAAGGAAAAATTTAAGGAAAATGACCCATTTTTTAAATAAAACATGATCAGAAACTGGTAATCTCTTGCAGGGTATTAAAGTCTTGAATATGTCAGCGATTAGTGATATAATTGAATTCAATGCATTTTAAGTTTTTCTGTAGCATCAGATTTGATGAAAGAGTGCCTTTGGCGCCTCCCAGTGGCCAAAACTGCCTTTTCTGCTGTAAAATCATATTGCATTAATATTTTTTTCAGATTTTTTTTCATACATTTCTTATTTTCATTCTGCCCTGTTCAAAACTAGCAAATGTTTCATTGAAAATAAAAATTTTAACCCTTTAAGGGCCAATTTAAGACATAAAGTCACTTAAAAAGCAAATAAAATGGAAGGAAAATGAAGGAAAATGACCCATTTTTTTAATAAAACATGATCAGAAACTGGTAATCTCTTGCAGGGTATTAAAGTCTTGAATATGTCAGAGATTAGTAATATAATTTACTTATATGCATTTTCAGTTTTTCTGTAGCATCAGATTTAATGAAAAACTGCGTTTGGCGCCTCCCAGTGGCCAAAACCACTATTTCTGCTGTAAAATCATATTGGATTAATATTTTTTTCAGATTTCTTTTCATACAGCTCTTATTTTACTTCTACCCTGTTCAAAACTAGCAAATGTTTCTTTGAAAATAAAAATTTTAACCTTTTAAGGGCCAATTTAAGACATAAAGTCTCTTATGGAGCAAAGAGGTCATTTTCCTTCCATTTTCCTTCCATTTTTTTGCTTCATAAGAGACTTTATGTCTTAAATTGGCCGTTAAAGGGTTAAAATTTTTATTTTTAATGAAACATTTGATAGTTTTGAACAGGGCAGAATTAAAATAAGAAATGTATGAAAAAAAATCTGAAAAAAATATTAATCCAATATGATTTTACAGCAGACAAAGTAGCTTTGGCCACTCGGAGGCGCCAAAGGCAGTTTTTCATTAAATCTGATGCTACAGAAAAACTGAAAATGCATATAAGTAAATTATATTACTAATCTCTGACATATTCAAGACTTTAATACCCTGCAAGAGATTACCAGTTTTTGATCATGTTTTATTTAAAAAATGGGTCATTTTCCTTCTTTTTCCTTCCATTTTTTTGCTTTTTAAGTGACTTTATGTCTTAAATTGGCTCTTAAAGGGTTAAAATTTTTATTTTCAATGAAACATTTGCTAGTTTTGAACAGGGCAGAAGTAAAATAAGAAATGTATAAAAAAAAATCTGAAAAAAATATTAATCCAATATGATTTTACAGCAGAAATAGTGGTTTTGGCCACTGGGAGGCGCCAAAGGCAGTTTTCATTAAATCTGATGCTACAGAAAAACTGAAAATGCATATAAGTAAATTATATTACTAATCTCTGACATATTCAAGACTTTAATACCCTGCAAGAGATTACCAGTTTCTGATCATGTCTTATAAAAAAAATGGGTCATTTTCCTTCAATTTTTGCTAAATTTGTGACTTTTTGTCTTAAATTGGCACTTAAAGGGTTAAAAAAAATGTTTTCAATGAAACATTTGCTAGTTTCGAACAGGGCAGAAGTAAAATAAGAAATTTGTGAAAAAAAATCTGAAAAAAATATTAATCCAATATCATTTTACAGCCGACAGAAAAAGTGGCTTTTAACAGCCACGAGGGACTTTAGAGGGAGGAAAATCTAAAGGTCCCGGAAGGGTTAACACAAGGGATTACTAATTCAACACATTCATGCCATTACACGTGCTAAAAAACCTTCAAACTGGCCAAAACGAACAATGTTCATAACAACAAGCCAAACTCATCAAAAGAACACTAAAACAACAGCTTAACGCATTCATGCCATTACACATGCTCAAAAACGTTCAAACTCACCAAAACAAACACTTTTCATAACAACAAGCCAAACTCATCAAAAGAACACTAAAACAACGGCTTTACACATGGGATTACTAATTCAACATATTCATGCCATTACACATGCTAAAAAACCTTCAAACTGATCAAAACGAACAATGTTCATAACAACAAGCCAAACTCATCAAAAGAACACTAAAACAACAGCTTAACGCATTCATGCCATTACACATGCTCAAAAACGTTCAAACTCGCCAAAACAAACACTTTTCATAACAACAAGCCAAACTCATCAAAAGAACACTAAAACAACGGCTTAAGACAAGGGATTACTAATTCAACACATTCATACCATTACATATGCTAAAAAACCTTCAAACTGGCCAAAACGAACAATGTTCATAACAACAAGCCAAACTCATCAAAAGAACACTAAAACAACAGCTTAACGCATTCATGCTATTACACATGCTCAAAAACGTTCAAACTGGCCAAAACAAAAACTTTTCATAACAAGCCAAACTCATCAAAAGAACACTAAAACAACATCTTTACACAAGGGATTACTTATTCAACACATTCATGCCATTACACATGCTAAAAAACCTTCAAACTGGCCAAAACGAACAATGTTCATAACAACAAGCCAAACTCATCAAAAGAAAACTAAAACAACAGCTTAACGCATTCATGCCATTACACATGCTCAAAAACGTTCAAACTGGCCAAAACAAAAACTTTTCATAACAAGCCAAACTCATCAAAAGAACACTAAAACAACAGCTTAACGCATTCATGCCATTACACATGCTCAAAAACGTTCAAACTCGCCAAAACAAACACTTTTCATAACAACAAGCCAAACTCATCAAAAGAACACTAAAACAACGGCTTAACACATGGGGTTACTAATTCAACACATTCATGCCATTACACATGCTCAAAAACGTTCAAACTCGCCAAAACAAACACTTTTTATAACAACAAGCCAAACTCATCAAAAGAACACTAAAACAACAGCTTAACACAAGGGATTACTAATTCAACACTTTCATGCCATTACACATGCTCAAAAACCTTCAAACTGGCCAAAACGAACAATGTTCATAACAACAAGCCAAACTCATCAAAAGAACACTAAAACAACGGCTTAACGCATTCATGCCATTACACATGCTCAAAAACGTTCAAACTGGCCAAAACAAAAACTTTTCATAACAAGCCAAACTCATCAAAAGAACACTAAAACAACAGCTTAACACAAGGGATTACTAATTCAACACTTCCATGCCATTACACATGCTCAAAAACCTTCAAACTGGCCAAAACGAACAATGTTCATAACAACAAGCCAAACTCATCAAAAGAACACTAAAACAACGGCTTAACGCATTCATGCCATTACACATGCTCAAAAGCGTTCAAACTCGCCAAAACAAACCCTTTTTATAACAACAAGCCAAACTCATCAAAAGAACACTAAAACAACGGCTTAAGACAAGGGATTACTAATTCAACACATTCATACCATTACATATGCTAAAAAACCTTCAAACTGGCCAAAACGAACAATGTTCATAACAACAAGCCAAACTCATCAAAAGAACACTAAAACAACAGCTTAACGCATTCATGCTATTACACATGCTCAAAAACGTTCAAACTGGCCAAAACAAAAACTTTTCATAACAAGCCAAACTCATCAAAAGAACACTAAAACAACATCTTTACACAAGGGATTACTTATTCAACACATTCATGCCATTACACATGCTAAAAAACCTTCGAACTGGCGAAAACGAACAATGTTCATAACAACAAGCCAAACTCATCAAAAGAAAACTAAAACAACAGCTTAACGCATTCATGCCATTACACATGCTCAAAAACGTTCAAACTGGCCAAAACAAAAACTTTTCATAACAAGCCAAACTCATCAAAAGAACACTAAAACAACAGCTTAACGCATTCATGCCATTACACATGCTCAAAAACGTTCAAACTCGCCAAAACAAACACTTTTCACAACAACAAGCCAAACTCATCAAAAGAACACTAAAACAACGGCTTAACACATGGGGTTACTAATTCAACACATTCATGCCATTACACATGCTCAAAAACGTTCAAACTCGCCAAAACAAACACTTTTTATAACAACAAGCCAAACTCATCAAAAGAACACTAAAACAACAGCTTAACACAAGGGATTACTAATTCAACACTTTCATGCCATTACACATGCTCAAAAACCTTCAAACTGGCCAAAACGAACAATGTTCATAACAACAAGCCAAACTCATCAAAAGAACACTAAAACAACGGCTTAACGCATTCATGCCATTACACATGCTCAAAAACGTTCAAACTCGCCAAAACAAACACTTTTCATAACAACAAGCCAAACTCATCAAAAGAACACTAAAACAACATCTTTACACAAGGGATTACTTTTTCAACACATTCATGCCATTACACATGCTAAAAAACCTTCAAACTGGCGAAAACGAACAATGTTCATAACAACAAGCCAAACTCATCAAAAGAAAACTAAAACAACAGCTTAACGCATTCATGCCATTACACATGCTCAAAAACGTTCAAACTGGCCAAAACAAAAACTTTTCATAACAAGCCAAACTCATCAAAAGAACACTAAAACAACAGCTTAACACAAGGGATTACTAATTCAACACTTCCATGCCATTACACATGCTCAAAAACCTTCAAACTGGCCAAAACGAACAATGTTCATAACAACAAGCCAAACTCATCAAAAGAACACTAAAACAACGGCTTAACGCATTCATGCCATTACACATGCTCAAAAGCGTTCAAACTCGCCAAAACAAACCCTTTTTATAACAACAAGCCAAACTCATCAAAAGAACACTAAAACAACGGCTTAACACAAGGGATTACTAATACAACACATTCATACCATTACATATGCTAAAAAACCTTCAAACTGGCCAAAACGAGCAAAGTTCATAACAACAAGCCAAACTCATCAAAAGAACACTAAAACAACAGCTTAACGCATTCATGCTATTACACATGCTCAAAAACGTTCAAACTGGCCAAAACAAAAACTTTTCATAACAAGCCAAACTCATCAAAAGAACACCAAAACAACATCTTTACACAAGGGATTACTTATTCAACACATTCATGCCATTACACATGCTAAAAAACCTTCGAACTGGCGAAAACGAACAATGTTCATAACAACAAGCCAAACTCATCAAAAGAACACTAAAACAACGGCTTAACACAAGGGATTACTAATTCAACACATTCATGCCATTACACATGCTCAAAAACGTTCAAACTCGCCAAAACAAACACTTTTCATAACAACAAGTCAAACTCATCAAAAGAACACTAAAACAACAGCTTAACACAAGGGATTACTAATTCAACACTTTCATGCCATTACACATGCTCAAAAACGTTCAAACTCGCCAAAACAAACACTTTTCATAACAACAAGCCAAACTCATCAAAAGAACACTAAAACAACGCTTACACAGGGATTACTAATTCAACACATTCATGCCATTACACATGCTAAAAAACCTTCAAACTGCCAAAACGAACAATGTTCATAACAACAAGCCAAACTCATCAAAAGAACACTAAAACAACAGCTTAACGCATTCATGCCATTACACATGCTCAAAAACGTTCAAACCGCCAAAACAAACACTTTTCATAACAACAAGCCAAACTCATCAAAAGAACACTAAAACAACAGCTTAACACAAGGGATTACTAATTCAACACATTCATGCCATTACACGTGCTAAAAAACCTTCAAACTGGCCAAAACGAACAATGTTCATAACAACAAGCCAAACTCATCAAAAGAACACTAAAACAACAGCTAAACACAAGTGATTACTAATTCAACACATTCATGCCATTACACATGCTCAAAAACGTTCAAACTCGCCAAAACAAACACTTTTCATAACAACAAGCCAAACTCATCAAAAGAACACTAAAACAACAGCTTAAATCAAGGGATTACTAATTCAACATATTCATGCCATTACACATGCTAAAAAACCTTCAAACTGATCAAAACGAACAATGTTCATAACAACAAGCCAAACTCATCAAAAGAACACTAAAACAACAGCTTAACGCATTCATGCCATTACACATGCTCAAAAACGTTCAAACTCGCCAAAACAAACACTTTTCATAACAACAAGCCAAACTCATCAAAAGAACACTAAAACAACAGCTTAAGCATTCATGCCATTACATATGCTCAAAAACGTTCAAACTCGCCAAAACAAACACTTTTCATAACAACAAGCCAAACTCATCAAAAGAACACTAAAACAACATCTTTACACAAGGGATTACTTATTCAACACATTCATGCCATTACACATGCTAAAAAACCTTCAAACTGGTGAAAACGAACAATGTTCGTAACAACAAGCCAAACTCATCAAAAGAACACTAAAACAACAGCTTAACGCATTCATGCCATTACACATGCTCAAAAACGTTCAAACTGGCCAAAACAAAATCTTTTCATAACAAGCCAAACTCATCAAAAGAACACTAAAACAACAGCTTAACGCATTCATGCCATTACACATGCTCAAAAACGTTCAAACTCGCCAAAACAAACACTTTTCATAACAACAAGCCAAACTCATCAAAAGAACACTAAAACAACAGCTTAACGCATTCATGCCATTACACATGCTCTCAAAAACGTTGAAACTCGCCAAAACAAACACTTTTCATAACAACGAGCCAAACTCATCAAAAGAAAACTAAAACAACAGCTTAACACAAGGGATTACTAATTCAACACATTCATGCCATTACACATGCTCAAAAACGTTCAAACTCGCCAAAACAAACTCTTTTCACAACAACAAGCCAAACTCATCAAAAGAACACTAAAACAACAGCTTAACGCATTCATGCCATTACACATGCTCAAAAACGTTCAAACTCGCCCAAACAAACAGTTTTCATAACAACAAGCCAAACTCATCAAAAGAACACTAAAACAACATCTTTACACAAGGGATTACTAATTCAACACATTCATGCCATTACACATGCTAAAAAACCTTCAAACTGGCGAAAACGAACAATGTTCATAACAACAAGCCAAACTCATCAAAAGAACACTAAAACAACAGCTTAACGCATTCATGCCATTACACATGCTCAAAAACGTTCAAACTCGCCAAAACAAACAGTTTTCATAACAACAAGCCAGACTCATAAAAAGAACACTAAAACAACAGCTTAACACAAGGGATTACTAATTCAACACATTCATGCCATTACACATGCTCAAAAACGTTCAAACTCGCCAAAACAAACTCTTTTCACAACAACAAGCCAAACTCATCAAAAGAACACTAAAACAACAGCTTAACGCATTCATGCCATTACACATGCTCAAAAACGTTCAAACTCGCCAAAACAAACACTTTTCATAACAACAAGCCAAACTCATCAAAAGAACACTAAAACAACAGCTTAACACAAGGGATTACTAATTCAACACATTCATGCCATTACACATGCTCAAAAACGTTCAAACTCGCCCAAACAAACAGTTTTCATAACAACAAGCCAAACTCATCAAAAGAACACTAAAACAACATCTTTACACAAGGGATTACTAATTCAACACATTCATGCCATTACACATGCTAAAAAACCTTCAAACTGGCGAAAACGAACAATGTTCATAACAACAAGCCAAACTCATCAAAAGAACACTAAAACAACAGCTTAACGCATTCATGCCATTACACATGCTCAAAAACGTTCATACTCGCCAAAACAAACACTTTTCATAACAACAAGCCAGACTCATCAAAAGAACACTAAAACAACAGCTTAACGCATTCATGCCATTACACATGCTCAAAAACGTTCAAACTCGCCAAAACAAACACTTTTCATAACAACAAGCCAAACTCATCAAAAGAACACTAAAACAACAGCTTAACGCATTCATGCCATTACACATGCTCAAAAACGTTCAAATCTGCCAAAACAAACACTTTTCATAACAACAAGCCAAACTCATCAAAAGAACACTAAAACAACGGCTTAACACAAGGGATTACTAATTCAACACATTCATGACCATTACACATGCTAAAAAACCTTCAAACTGGCCAAAACGAACAATGTTCATAACAACAAGCCAAAGTCATCATAAGAACACTAAAACAACAGCTTAACGCATTCATGCCATTACACATGCTCAAAAACCTTCAAACTCGCCAAAACAAACACTTTTCATAACAACAAGCCAAACTCATCAAAAGAACACTAAAACAACAGCTTAACGCATTCATGCCATCACACATGCTCAAAAACGTTCAAACTCGCCAAAACAAACACTTTTCATAACAACAAGCCAAACTCATCAAAGGAACACTAAAACAACAGCTTAACACAAGGGATTACTAATTCAACACATTCATGCCATTACACATGCTAAAACACGTTCAAACTGGCCAAAACGAACAATGTTCATAACAACAAGCCAAACTCATCAAAAGAACACTAAAACAACAGCTTAACGCATTCATGCCATTACACATGCTCAAAAACGTTCAAACTCGCCAAAACAAACACTTTTCATAACAACAAGCCAAACTCATCAAAAGAACACTAAAACAACAGCTTAACGCATTCATGCCATTACACATGCTCAAAAACGTTCAAACTCGCCAAAACAAACACTTTTCATAACAACAAGCCAAACTCATCAAAAGAACACTAAAACAACGGCTTAACACAAGGGATTACTAATTCAACACATTCATGCCATTACACATGCTAAAATACCTTCAAACTCGCCAAAACAAACACTTTTCATAACAACAAGCCAAACTCATCAAAAGAACACTAAAACAACAGCTTAACACAAGGGATTACTAATTCAACACATTCATGCCATTACACATGCTAAAAAAACTTCAAAATGGCCAAAACGAACAATGTTCATAACAACAAGCCAAACTCATCAAAAGAACACTAAAACAACAGCTTAACGCATTCATGCCATTACACATGCTCAAAAAACGTTCAAACTCGCCAAAACAAACACTTTTCATAACAACAAGCCAAACTCATCAAAAGAACACTAAAAAAACAGCTTAACGCATTCATGCCATTACACATGCTCAAAAACGTTCAAATTCGCCAAAACAAACACTTTTCATAACAACAAGCCAAACTCATCAAAAGAACACTAAAACAACGGCTTAACATAAGGGATTACTAATTCACCACATTCATGCCATTACACATGCTAAAAAACGTTCAAACTCGCCAAAACGAACAATGTTCATAACAACAAGCCAAACTCATCAAAAGAACACTAAAACAACAGCTTAACGCATTCATGCCATTACACATGCTCAAAAACGTTCAAACTCGCCAAAACAAACACTTTTCATAACAACAAGCCAAACTCATCAAAAGAACACTAAAACAATTCAGTTAACGCATTCATGCCATTACACATGCTCAAAAACGTTCAAACTCGCCAAAACAAACACTTTTCATAACAACAAGCCAAACTCATCAAAAGAACACTAAAACAACAGCTAAACACAAGGGATTACTAATTCAACACATTCATGCCATTACACATGCTCAAAAACGTTCAAACTCGCCAAAACAAACTCTTTTCATAACAACAAGCCAAACTCATCAAAAGAACACTAAAACAACAGCTTAACGCATTCATGCCATTACACATGCTCAAAAACGTTCAAATCTGCCAAAACAAACACTTTTCATAACAACAAGCCAAACTCATCAAAAGAACACTAAAACAACGGCTTAACACAAGGGATTACTAATTCAACACATTCATGCCATTACACATGCTAAAAAACCTTCAAACTGGCCAAAACGAACAATGTTCATAACAACAAGCCAAACTCATCATAAGAACACTAAAACAACAGCTTAACGCATTCATGCCATTACACATGCTCAAAAACGTTCAAACTCGCCAAAACAAACACTTTTCATAACAACAAGCCAAACTCATCAAAAGAACACTAAAACAACGGCTTAACACAAGGGATTACTAATTCAACACATTCATGCCATTACACATGCTAAAAAACCTTCAAACTGGCCAAAACGAACAATGTTCATAACAACAAGCCAAACTCATCAAAAGAACACTAAAACAACAGCTTAACGCATTCATGCCATTACACATGCTCAAAAACGTTCAAATCTGCCAAAACAAACACTTTTCATAACAACAAGCCAAACTCATTAAAAGAACACTAAAACAACGGCTTAACACAAGGGATTACTAATTCAACAATTCATCATGCCATTACACATGCTCAAAAACCTTCAAACTGGCCATAACGAACAATGTTCATAACAACAAGCCAAACTCATCAAAAGAACACTAAAACAACAGCTTAACGTATTCATGCCATTACACATGCTAAAAAACCTTCAAACTGGCCAAAACGAACACTTTTCATAACAACAAGCCAAACTCATCAAAAGAACACTAAAACAACAGCTTAACACAAGGGATTACTAATTCAACACATTCATGCCATTACACATGCTAAAACACGTTCAAACTGGCCAAAACGAACAATGTTCATAACAACAAGCCAAACTCATCAAAAGAACACTAAAACAACTGCTTTACACATGGGATTACTAATTCAACACATTCATGCCATTACACATGCTAAAAACACCTTCAAACTGATCAAAACGAACAATGTTCATAACAACAAGCCAAACTCATCAAAAGAACACTAAAACAACAGCTTAACGCATTCATGCCATTACACATGCTCAAAAACGTTCAAACACGCCAAAACAAACACTTTTCATAACAACAAGCCAAACTCATCAAAAGAACACTAAAACAATAGCTTAACACAAGGGATTACTAATTCAACACATTCATGCCATTACACATGCTAAAAAACCTTCAAACTGGCCAAAACGAACAATGTTCATAACAACAAGCCAAACTCATCAAAAGAACACTAAAACAACAGCTAAACACAAGTGATTACTAATTCAACACATTCATGCCATTACACATGCTCAAAAACGTTCAAACTCGCCAAAACAAACACTTTTCATAACAACAAGCCAAACTCATCAAAAGAACACTAAAACAACAGCTAGCTTAAATCAAGGGATTACTAATTCAACACATTCATGCCATTACACATGCTAAAAAACCTTCAAACTGATCCAAAACGAACAATGTTCATAACAACAAGCCAAACTCATCAAAAGAACACTAAAACAACAGCTTAACGCATTCATGCCATTACATATGCTCAAAAACGTTCAAACTCGCCAAAACAAACACTTTTCATAACAACAAGCCAAACTCATCAAAAGAACACTAAAACAACAGCTTAACGCATTCATGCCATTACACATGCTCAAAAACGTTCAAACTCGCCAAAACAAACACTTTTCATAACAACAAGCCAAACTCATCAAAAGAACACTAAAACAACATCTTTACACAAGGTATTACTTATTCAACACATTCATGCCATTACACATGATAAAAAATTTCAAACTGGCGAAAACGAACAATGTTCATAACAACAAGCCAAACTCATCAAAAGAACACTAAAACAACAGCTTAACGCATTCATGCCATTACACATGCTCAAAAACGTTCAAACTGGCCAAAACAAACACTTTTCATAACAACAAGCCAAACTCATCAAAAACAACACTAAAACAACAGCTTAACGCATTCATGCCATTACACATGCTCAAAAACGTTCAAACTCGCCAAAACAAACAGTTTTCATAACAACAAGCCAAACTCATCAAAAGAACACTAAAACAACAGCTTAACGCATTCATGCCATTACACATGCTCAAAAACGTTCAAACTCGCCAAAACAAACACTTTTCATAACAACAAGCCAAACTCATCAAAAGAACACTAAAACAACAGCTTAACACAAGGGATTACTAATTCAACACATTCATGCCATTACACATGCTCAAAAACGTTCAAACTCGCCAAAACAAACACTTTTCATAACAACAAGCCAAACTCATCAAAAGAACACTAAAACAACAGCTTAACGCATTCATGCCATTACACATGCTCAAAAACGTTCAAACTCGCCAAAACAAACATTTTCATAACAACAAGCCAAACTCATCAAAAGAACACTAAAACAACAGCTTAACACAAGGGATTACTAATTCAACACATTCATGCCATTACACATGCTAAAAACCTTCAAACTGGCCAAAACGAACAATGTTCATAACAACAAGCCAAACTCATCAAAAGAACACTAAAACAACAGCTTAACGCATTCATGCCATTACACATGCTCAAAAACGTTCAAACTCGCCAAAACAAACAGTTTTCATAACAACAAGCCAAACTCATCAAAAGAACACTAAAACAACAGCTTAACACAAGGGATTACTAATTCAACACATTCATGCCATTACACATGCTCAAAAACGTTCAAACTCGCCAAAACAAACAATTTTCATAACAACAAGCCAAACTCATCAAAAGAACACTAAAACAACAGCTTAACGCATTCATGCCATTACACATGCTCAAAAACGTTCAAACTCGCCAAAACAAACACTTTTCATAACAACGAGCCAAACTCATCAAAAGAACACTAAAACAACAGCTTAACACAAGGGATTACTAATTCAACACATTCATGCCATTACACATGCTCAAAAACGTTCAAACTCGCCAAAACAAACAGTTTTCATAACAACAAGCCAAACTCATCAAAAGAACACTAAAACAACATCTTTACACAAGGGATTACTAATTCAACACATTCATGCCATTACACATGCTAAAAAACCTTCAAACTGGCGAAAACGAACAATGTTCATAACAACAAGCCAAACTCATCAAAAGAACACTAAAACAACAGCTTAACGCATTCATGCCATTACACATGCTCAAAAACGTTCAAACACGCCAAAACAAACACTTTTCATAACAACAAGCCAGACTCATCAAAAGAACACTAAAACAACAGCTTAACGCATTCATGCCATTACACATGCTCAAAAACGTTCAAACTCGCCAAAACAAACACTTTTCATAACAACAAGCCAAACTCATCAAAAGAACACTAAAACAACAGCTTAACGCATTCATGCCATTACACATGCTCAAAAACGTTCAAATCTGCCAAAACAAACACTTTTCATAACAACAAGCCAAACTCATTAAAAGAACACTAAAACAACGGCTTAACACAAGGGATTACTAATTCAACACATTCATGACATTACACATGCTAAAAAACCTTCAAACTGGCCAAAACGAACAATGTTCATAACAACAAGCCAAAGTCATCATAAGAACACTAAAACAACATCTTAACGCATTCATGCCATTACATATGCTCAAAAACCTTCAAACTCGCCAAAACAAACACTTTTCATAACAACAAGCCAAACTCATCAAAAGAACACTAAAACAACAGCTTAACGCATTCATGCCATCACACATGCTCAAAAACGTTCAAACTCGCCAAAACAAACACTTTTCATAACAACAAGCCAAACTCTTCAAAGGAACACTAAAACAACAGCTTAACACAAGGGATTACTAATTCAACACATTCATGCCATTACACATGCTAAAACACGTTCAAACTGGCCAAAACGAACAATGTTCATAACAACAAGCCAAACTCATCAAAAGAACACTAAAACAACAGCTTAACGCATTCATGCCATAACACATGCTCAAAAACGTTCAAACTCGCCAAAACAAACACTTTTCATAACAACAAGCCAAACTCATCAAAAGAACACTAAAACAACAGCTTAACGCATTCATGCCATTACACATGCTCAAAAACGTTCATACTCGCCAAAACAAACACTTTTCATAACAACAAGCCAAACTCATCAAAAGAACACTAAAACAACGGCTTAACACAAGGGATTACTAATTCAACACATTCATGCCATTACACATGCTAAAATACCTTCAAACTCGCCAAAACAAACACTTTTCATAACAACAAGCCAAACTCATCAAAAGAACACTAAAACAACAGCTTAACACAAGGGATTACTAATTCAACACATTCATGCCATTACACATGCTAAAAAAACTTCAAACTGGCCAAAACGAACAATGTTCATAACAACAAGCCAAACTCATCAAAAGAACACTAAAACAACAGCTTAACGCATTCATGCCATTACACATGCTCAAAAACGTTCAAACTCGCCAAAACAAACACTTTTCATAACAACAAGCCAAACTCATCAAAAGAACACTAAAAAAACAGCTTAACGCATTCATGCCATTACACATGCTCAAAAACGTTCAAACTCGCCAAAACAAACACTTTTCATAACAACAAGCCAAACTCATCAAAAGAACACTAAAACAACGGCTTAACATAAGGGATTACTAATTCACCACATTCATGCCATTACACATGCTAAAAAACGTTCAAACTCGCCAAAATGAACAATGTTCATAACAACATGCCAAAATCATCAAAAGAACACTAGAACAACAGCTTAACGCATTCATGGCATTACACATGCTCAAAAACGTTCAAACTCGCCAAAACAAACACTTTTCATAACAACAATCCAGACTCATCAAAAGAACACTAAAACAATTGCGTAACGCATTCATGCCATTACACATGCTCAAAAACGTTGAATCTCGCCAAAACAAACACTTTTCATAACAACGAAGCCAAACTCATCAAAAGAACACTAAAACAACAGCTAAACACAAGGGATTACTAATTCAACACATTCATGCCATTACACATGCTCAAAAACGTTCAAACTCGCCAAAACAAACTCTTTTCACAACAACAAGCCAAACTCATCAAAAGAACACTAAAACAACAGCTTAACGCATTCATGCCATTACACATGCTCAAAAACGTTCAAACTGGCCAAAACAAACACTTTTCATAACAACAAGCCAAACTCATTAAAAGAACACTAAAACAACGGCTTAACACAAGGGATTACTAATTCAACACATTCATGCCATTACACATGCTAAAAAACCTTCAAACTGGCCAAAACGAACAATGTTCATAACAACAAGCCAAAGTCATCATAAGAACACTAAAACAACAGCTTAACGCATTCATGCCATTACACATGCTCAAAAACGTTCAAACTCGCCAAAACAAACACTTTTCATAACAACAAGCCAAACTCATCAAAAGAACACTAAAACAACGGCTTAACACAAGGGATTACTAATTCAACACATTCATACCATTACACATGCTAAAAAACCTTCAAACTGGCCAAAACGAACAATGTTCATAACAACAAGCCAAACTCATCAAAAGAACAACTAAAACAACAGCTTAACGCATTCATGCCATTACACATGCTCAAAAACGTTCAAATCTGCCAAAACAAACACTTTTCATAACAACAAGCCAAACTCATTAAAAGAACACTTAAACAACGGCTTAACACAAGGGATTACTAATTCAACAATTTCATGCCATTACACATGCCCAAAAACCTTCAAACTGGCCATAACGAACAATGTTCATAACAACAAGCCAAACTCATCAAAAGAACACTAAAACAACAGCTTAACGTATTCATACCATTACACATGCTAAAAACCTTCAAACTGGCCAAAACGAACACTTTTCATAACAACAAGCCAAACTCATCAAAAGAACACTAAAACAACAGCTTAACACAAGGGATTACTAATTCAACACATTCATGCCATTACACATGCTAAAACACGTTCAAACTGGCCAAAACGAACAATGTTCATAACAACAAGCCAAACTCATCAAAAGAACACTAAAACAACAGCTTAACACAAGGCATTACTAATTCAACACATTCATGCCATTACACATGCTAAAACACGTTCAAACTGGCCAAAACGAACAATGTTCATAACAACAAGCCAAACTCATCAAAAGAACACTAAAACAACAGCTTAACGCATTCATGCCATTACACATGCTCAAAAACGTTCAAACTCGCCAAAACAAACACTTTTCATAACAACAAGCCAAACTCATCAAAAGAACACTAAAACAAGAGCTTAACCCTTCCGGAACCTTCGGGCTTTTAACAGCAAATTTATGATAGAGCTAGAGACTAATTTGGATATAACTACTGCAGCAAATGTGATGAATTTTTTTTTCTAAGCTTAATTTGAAATTTTATTTGAAAACATGAATTCAAAATTTTCACCAAGTCAATAATAAAGCCAGGACAGAAAAACGTCCTCTAAAGTCCCTCGTGGCTGTTGAAAGCCACTTGTTTTGTCGGCTGTAAAATCATATTGGATTAATATTTTTTTCTGATTTTTTTCACAAATCTCTTATTTTACTTCTGCCCTGTTCGAAACTAGCAAATGTTTCATTAAAAACAATTTTTTTAACCCTTTAAGTGCCAATTTAAGACAAAAAGTCACAAATTTAGCAAAAATTGAAGGAAAATGACCCATTTTTTTAATAAAACATGATCAGAAACTGGTAATCTCTTGCAGGGTATTAAAGTCTTGAATATGTCAGAGATTAGTAATATAATTTACTTCACTTTCAGTTTTTGTGTAGCATCAGATTTAATGAAAAACTGCCTTTGGCGCCTCCCAGTGGCCAAAACTACTTTGTCTGCTGTAAAATCATATTGGATTGATATTTTTTTCTGATTTTTTTTCATACATTTCTTATTTTACTTCTGCCCTGTTCAAAACTAGCAAATGTTTCATTGAAAATAAAAATTTTAACCCTTTAAGGGCCAATTTAAGACATAAAGTCACTTAAAAAGCAAAAAAAAATGGAAGGAAAAATTTAAGGAAAATGACCCATTTTTTAAATAAAACATGATCAGAAACTGGTAATCTCTTGCAGGGTATTAAAGTCTTGAATATGTCAGCGATTAGTGATATAATTGAATTCAATGCATTTTAAGTTTTTCTGTAGCATCAGATTTGATGAAAGAGTGCCTTTGGCGCCTCCCAGTGGCCAAAACTGCCTTTTCTGCTGTAAAATCATATTGCATTAATATTTTTTTCAGATTTTTTTTCATACATTTCTTATTTTCATTCTGCCCTGTTCAAAACTAGCAAATGTTTCATTGAAAATAAAAATTTTAACCCTTTAAGGGCCAATTTAAGACATAAAGTCACTTAAAAAGCAAATAAAATGGAAGGAAAATGAAGGAAAATGACCCATTTTTTTAATAAAACATGATCAGAAACTGGTAATCTCTTGCAGGGTATTAAAGTCTTGAATATGTCAGAGATTAGTAATATAATTTACTTATATGCATTTTCAGTTTTTCTGTAGCATCAGATTTAATGAAAAACTGCGTTTGGCGCCTCCCAGTGGCCAAAACCACTATTTCTGCTGTAAAATCATATTGGATTAATATTTTTTTCAGATTTCTTTTCATACAGCTCTTATTTTACTTCTACCCTGTTCAAAACTAGCAAATGTTTCTTTGAAAATAAAAATTTTAACCCTTTAAGGGCCAATTTAAGACATAAAGTCTCTTATGAAGCAAAGAGGTCATTTTCCTTCCATTTTCCTTCCATTTTGCTTCATAAGAGACTTTATGTCTTAAATTGGCCGTTAAAGGGTTAAAATTTTTATTTTTAATGAAACATTTGATAGTTTTGAACAGGGCAGAATTAAAATAAGAAATGTATGAAAAAAAATCTGAAAAAAATATTAATCCAATATGATTTTACAGCAGACAAAGTAGCTTTGGCCACTCGGAGGCGCCAAAGGCAGTTTTTCATTAAATCTGATGCTACAGAAAAACTGAAAATGCATATAAGTAAATTATATTACTAATCTCTGACATATTCAAGACTTTAATACCCTGCAAGAGATTACCAGTTTTTGATCATGTTTTATTTAAAAAATGGGTCATTTTCCTTCTTTTTCCTTCCATTTTTTTGCTTTTAAAGTGACTTTATGTCTTAAATTGGCTCTTAAAGGGTTAAAATTTTTATTTTCAATGAAACATTTGCTAGTTTTGAACAGGGCAGAAGTAAAATAAGAAATGTATAAAAAAAAATCTGAAAAAAATATTAATCCAATATGATTTTACAGCAGAAATAGTGGTTTTGGCCACTGGGAGGCGCCAAAGGCAGTTTTCATTAAATCTGATGCTACAGAAAAACTGAAAATGCATATAAGTAAATTATATTACTAATCTCTGACATATTCAAGACTTTAATACCCTGCAAGAGATTACCAGTTTCTGATCATGTCTTATAAAAAAAATGGGTCATTTTCCTTCAATTTTTGCTAAATTTGTGACTTTTTGTCTTAAATTGGCACTTAAAGGGTTAAAAAAAATGTTTTCAATGAAACATTTGCTAGTTTCGAACAGGGCAGAAGTAAAATAAGAAATTTGTGAAAAAAAATCTGAAAAAAATATTAATCCAATATCATTTTACAGCCGACAGAAAAAGTGGCTTTTAACAGCCACGAGGGACTTTAGAGGGAGGAAAATCTAAAGGTCCCGGAAGGGTTAACACAAGGGATTACTAATTCAACACATTCATGCCATTACACGTGCTAAAAAACCTTCAAACTGGCCAAAACGAACAATGTTCATAACAACAAGCCAAACTCATCAAAAGAACACTAAAACAACAGCTTAACGCATTCATGCCATTACACATGCTCAAAAACGTTCAAACTCGCCAAAACAAACACTTTTCATAACAACAAGCCAAACTCATCAAAAGAACACTAAAACAACGGCTTTACACATGGGATTACTAATTCAACATATTCATGCCATTACACATGCTAAAAAACCTTCAAACTGATCAAAACGAACAATGTTCATAACAACAAGCCAAACTCATCAAAAGAACACTAAAACAACAGCTTAACGCATTCATGCCATTACACATGCTCAAAAACGTTCAAACTCGCCAAAACAAACACTTTTCATAACAACAAGCCAAACTCATCAAAAGAACACTAAAACAACGGCTTAACACAAGGGATTACTAATTCAACACATTCATGCCATTACAAATGCTAAAAAACCTTCAAACTGGCCAAAACGAACAATGTTCATAACAACAAGCCAAACTCATCAAAAGAACACTAAAACAACAGCTTAACGCATTCATGCCATTACACATGCTCAAAAACGTTCAAACTGGCCAAAACAAAAACTTTTCATAACAAGCCAAACTCATCAAAAGAACACTAAAACAACATCTTTACACAAGGGATTACTTATTCAACACATTCATGCCATTACACATGCTAAAAACCTTCAAACTGGCGAAAACGAACAATGTTCATAACAACAAGCCAAACTCATCAAAAGAACACTAAAACAACAGCTTAACGCATTCATGCCATTACACATGCTCAAAAACGTTCAAACTGGCCAAAACAAAAACTTTTCATAACAAGCCAAACTCATCAAAAGAACACTAAAACAACAGCTTAACGCATTCATGCCATTACACATGCTCAAAAACGTTCAAACTCGCCAAAACAAACACTTTTCATAACAACAAGCCAAACTCATCAAAAGAACACTAAAACAACGGCTTAACACATGGGGTTACTAATTCAACACATTCATGCCATTACACATGCTCAAAAACGTTCAAACTCGCCAAAACAAACACTTTTCATAACAACAAGCCAAACTCATCAAAAGAACACTAAAACAACAGCTTAACACAAGGGATTACTAATTCAACACTTTCATGCCATTACACATGCTCAAAAACCTTCAAACTGGCCAAAACGAACAATGTTCATAACAACAAGCCAAACTCATCAAAAGAACACTAAAACAACAGCTTAACGCATTCATGCCATTACACATGCTCAAAAACGTTCAAACTGGCCAAAACAAAAACTTTTCATAACAACAAGCCAAACTCATCAAAAGAACACTAAAACAACAGCTTAACACAAGGGATTACTAATTCAACACTTCCATGCCATTACACATGCTCAAAAACCTTCAAACTGGCCAAAACTAACAATTTTCATAACAACAAGCCAAACTCATCAAAAGAACACTAAAACAACAGCTTAACGCATTCATGCCATTACACATGCTCAAAAACGTTCAAACTCGCCAAAACAAACACTTTTCATAACAACAAGCCAAACTCATCAAAAGAACACTAAAACAACGGCTTAACACAAGGGATTACTAATACAACACATTCATGCCATTACATATGCTAAAAACCTTCAAACTGGCCAAAACGAGCAAAGTTCATAACAACAAGCCAAACTCATCAAAAGAACACTAAAACAACAGCTTAACGCATTCATGCCATTACACATGCTCAAAAACGTTCAAACTGGCCAAAACAAAAACTTTTCATAACAACAAGCAAAACTCATCAAAAGAACACCAAAACAACATCTTTACACAAGGGATTACTTATTCAACACATTCATGCCATTACACATGCTAAAAAACCTTCGAACTGGCGAAAACGAACAATGTTCATAACAACAAGCCAAACTCATCAAAAGAAAACTAAAACAACGGCTTAACGCATTCATGCCATTACACATGCTCAAAAACGTTCAAACTGGCCAAAACAAAAACTTTTCATAACAACAAGCCAAACTCATCAAAAGAACACTAAAACAACAGCTTAACGCATTCATGCCATTACACATGCTCAAAAACGTTCAAACTCGCCAAAACAAACACTTTTCATAACAACAAGCCAAACTCATCAAAAGAACACTAAAACAACAGCTTAACACATGGGGTTACTAATTCAACACATTCATGCCATTACACATGCTCAAAAACGTTCAAACTCGCCAAAACAAACACTTTTTATAACAACAAGCCAAACTCATCAAAAGAACACTAACACAACGGCTTAACGCATTCATGCCATTACACATGCTCAAAAACGTTCAAACTCGCCAAAACAAACACTTTTCATAACAACAAGCCAAACTCATCAAAAGAACACTAAAACAACATCTTTACACAAGGGATTACTTATTCAACACATTCATGCCATTACACATGCTAAAAAACCTTCAAATTGGCGAAAACGAACAATGTTCATAACAAGCCAAACTCATCAAAAGAAAACTAAAACAACAGCTTAACGCATTCATGCCATTACACATGCTCAAAAACGTTCAAACTGGCCAAAACAAAAACTTTTCATAACAAGCCAAACTCATCAAAAGAACACTAAAACAACTGCTTTACACATGGGATTACTAATTCAACACATTCATGCCATTACACATGCTAAAAACACCTTCAAACTGATCAAAACGAACAATGTTCATAACAACAAGCCAAACTCATCAAAAGAACACTAAAACAACAGCTTAATGCATTCATGCCATTACATATGCTCAAAAACGTTCAAACTCGCCAAAACAAACACTTTTCATAACAACAAGCCAAACTCATCAAAAAAACACTAAAACAACATCTTTACACAAGGGATTACTAATTCAACACATTCATGCCATTACACATGCTAAAAAACCTTCAAACTGGCGAAAACGAACAATGTTCATAACAACAAGCCAAACTCATCAAAAGAACACTAAAACAACAGCTTAACGCATTCATGCCATTACATATGCTCAAAAACGTTCAAACTCGCCAAAACAAACACTTTTCATAACAACAAGCCAAACTCATCAAAAGAACACTAAAACAACAGCTTAACGCATTCATGCCATTACACATGCTCAAAAACGTTCAAACACGCCAAAACAAAAACTTTTCATAACAACAAGCCAAACTCATCAAAAGAACACTAAAACAACGGCTTAACACAAGGGATTACTAATTCAACACATTCATGCCATTACACATGCTCAAAAACGTTCAAACTCGCCAAAACAAACACTTTTCATAACAACAAGCCAAACTCATCAAAAGAACACTAAAACAACAGCTTAACACAAGGGATTACTAATTCAACACTTTCATGCCATTACACATGCTCAAAAACGTTCAAACTCGCCAAAACAAACACTTTTCATAACAACAAGCCAAACTCATCAAAAGAACACTAAAACAACAGCTTACACATGGATTACTAATTCAACACATTCATGCCATTACACATGCTCAAAAACGTTCAAACTGACCAAAACAACAATGTTCATAACAACAAGCCAAACTCATCAAAAGAACACTAAAACAACAGCTTAACGCATTCATGCCATTACACATGCTCAAAAACGTTCAAACTCGCCAAAACAAACACTTTTCATAACAACAAGCCAAACTCATCAAAAGAACACTAAAACAACAGCTTAACACAAGGGATTACTAATTCAACACATTCATGCCATTACACATGCTCAAAAACCTTCAAACTGGCCAAAACGAACAATTTCATAACAACAAGCCAAACTCATCAAAAGAACACTAAAACAACAGCTTATTACTAATTCAACACATTCATGCCATTACACATGCTCAAAAACGTTCAAACTCGCCAAAACAAACACTTTTCATAACAACAAGCCAAACTCATCAAAAGAACACTAAAACAACAGCTTAACACAAGGGATTACTAATTCAACACATTCATGCCATTACATGCCATTACACATGCTCAAAAAACCTTCAAACTGCAAAACGAACAATGTTCATAACAACAAGCCAAACTCATCAAAAGAACACTAAAACAACAGCTTAACGCATTCATGCCATTACACATGCTCAAAAACGTTCAAACTCGCCAAAACAAACACTTTTCATAACAACAAGCCAAACTCATCAAAAGAACACTAAAACAACAGCTTAACGCATTCATGCCATTACACATGCTCAAAAACGTTCAAACTCGCCAAAACAAACACTTTTCATAACAACAAGCCAAACTCATCAAAAGAACACTAAAACAACATCTTTACACAAGGGATTACTATTCAACACATTCATGCCATTACACATGCTAAAAAACCTTCAAACTGGTGAAAACGAACAATGTTCGTAACAACAAGCCAAACTCATCAAAAGAACACTAAAACAACAGCTTAACGCATTCATGCCATTACACATGCTCAAAAACGTTCAAACTGGCCAAAACAAAATCTTTTCATAACAAGCCAAACTCATCAAAAGAACACTAAAACAACAGCTTAACGCATTCATGCCATTACACATGCTCAAAAACGTTCAAACTCGCCAAAACAAACAGTTTTCATAACAACAAGCCAAACTCATCAAAAGAACACTAAAACAACAGCTTAACGCATTCATGCCATTACACATGCTCAAAAACGTTGAAACTCGCCAAAACAAACACTTTTCATAACAACAAGCCAAACTCATCAAAAGAACACTAAAACAACAGCTTAACACAAGGGATTACTAATTCAACACATTCATGCCATTACACATGCTCAAAAACGTTCAAACTCGCCAAAACAAACACTTTTCATAACAACAAGCCAAACTCATCAAAAGAACACTAAAACAACAGCTTAACGCATTCATGCCATTACACATGCTCAAAAACGTTCAAACTCGCCAAAACAAACACTTTTCATAACAACAAGCCAAACTCATCAAAAGAACACTAAAACAACAGCTTAACACAAGGGATTACTAATTCAACACATTCATGCCATTACACATGCTAAAAAACCTTCAAACTGGCCAAAACGAACAATGTTCATAACAACAAGCCAAACTCATCAAAAGAACACTAAAACAACAGCTTAACGCATTCATGCCATTACACATGCTCAAAAACGTTCAAACTCGCCAAAACAAACACTTTTCATAACAACAAGCCAAACTCATCAAAAGAACACTAAAACAACAGCTTAACACAAGGGATTACTAATTCAACACATTCATGCCATTACACATGCTCAAAAACGTTCAAACTCGCCAAAACAAACAATGTTTTCATAACAACAAGCCAAACTCATCAAAAGAACACTAAAACAACAGCTTAACGCATTCATGCCATTACACATGCTCAAAAACGTTCAAACTCGCCAAAACAAACACTTTTCATAACAACAAGCCAAACTCATCAAAAGAACACTAAAACAACAGCTTAACACAAGGGATTACAATTCAACACATTCATGCCATTACACATGCTCAAAAACGTTCAAACTCGCCAAAACAAACACTTTTCATAACAACAAGCCAAACTCATCAAAAGAACACTAAAACAACAGCTTAACACAAGGGATTACTAATTCAACACATTCATGCCATTACACATGCTAAAAACCTTCAAACTGGCCAAAACGAACAATGTTCATAACAACAAGCCAAACTCATCAAAAGAACACTAAAACAACAGCTTAACGCATTCATGCCATTACACATGCTCAAAAACGTTCAAACTCGCCAAAACAAACACTTTTCATAACAACAAGCCAAACTCATCAAAAGAACACTAAAACAACAGCTTAACGCATTCATGCCATTACACATGCTCAAAAACCTCAAAACACGCCAAAACAAACACTTTTCATAACAACAAGCCAAACTCATCAAAAGAACACTAAAACAACAGCTTAACACAAGTGATTACTAATTCAACACATTCATGCCATTACACATGCTCAAAAACGTTCAAACTCGCCAAAACAAACACTTTTCATAACAACAAGCCAAACTCATCAAAAGAACACTAAAACAACAGCTTACACAGGGATTACTAATTCAACACATTCATGCCATTACACATGCTAAAAACACCTTCAAACTGATCCAAAACGAACAATGTTCATAACAACAAGCCAAACTCATCAAAAGAACACTAAAACAACAGCTTAACGCATTCATGCCATTACACATGCTCAAAAACGTTCAAACTCGCCAAAACAAACACTTTTCATAACAACAAGCCAAACTCATCAAAAGAACACTAAAACAACAGCTTAACGCATTCATGCCATTACACATGCTAAAAAACGTTCAAACTGGCCAAAACAAAAACTTTTCATAACAACAAGCCAAACTCATCAAAAGAACACTAAAACAACAGCTAAACACAAGGGATTACTAATTCAACACATTCATGCCATTACACATGCTCAAAAACGTTCAAACTCGCCAAAACAAACTCTTTTCATAACAACAAGCCAAACTCATCAAAAGAACACTAAAACAACTGCTTTACACATGGGATTACTAATTCAACATATTCATGCCATTACACATGCTAAAAAACCTTCAAACTGATCAAAACGAACAATGTTCATAACAACAAGCCAAACTCATCAAAAGAACACTAAAACAACAGCTTAAAACATTCATGCCATTACACATGCTCAAAAACGTTCAAACTCGCCAAAACAAACACTTTTCATAACAACAAGCCAAACTCATCAAAAGAACACTAAAACAACAGCTTAACGCATTCATGCCATTACACATGCTCAAAAACGTTCAAACACGCCAAAACAAACACTTTTCATAACAACAAGCCAAACTCATCAAAAGAACACTAAAACAACAGCTTAACACAAGGGATTACTAATTCAACACATTCATGCCATTACACGTGCTAAAAAACCTTCAAACTGGCCAAAACGAACAATGTTCATAACAACAAGCCAAACTCATCAAAAGAACACTAAAACAACAGCTTAACGCATTCATGCCATTACACATGCTCAAAAACGTTCAAACTCGCCAAAACAAACACTTTTCATAACAACAAGCCAAACTCATCAAAAGAACACTAAAACAACAGCTTAACGCATTCATGCCATTACACATGCTCAAAAACGTTCAAACTCGCCAAAACAAACACTTTTCATAACAACAAGCCAAACTCATCAAAAGAACACTAAAACAACAGCTTAACACAAGGGATTACTAATTCAACACTTCATGCCATTACACATGCTCAAAAACGTTCAAACTCGCCAAAACAAACACTTTTCATAACAACAAGCCAAACTCATCAAAAGAACACTAAAACAACGCTTACACAGGGATTACTAATTCAACACATTCATGCCATTACACATGCTCAAAAACCTTCAAACTGGCCAAAACGAACAATGTTCATAACAACAAGCCAAACTCATCAAAAGAACACTAAAACAACAGCTTAACGCATTCATGCCATTACACATGCTCAAAAACGTTCAAACTCGCCAAAACAAACACTTTTCATAACAACAAGCCAAACTCATCAAAAGAACACTAAAACAACAGCTTAACGCATTCATGCCATTACACATGCTCAAAAACGTTCAAACTGGCCAAAACAAACAATTTTCATAACAACAAGCCAAACTCATCAAAAGAACACTAAAACAACAGCTTAACGCATTCATGCCATTACACATGCTCAAAAACGTTCAAACTCGCCAAAACAAACACTTTTCATAACAACAAGCCAAACTCATCAAAAGAACACTAAAACAACAGCTTAACACAAGGGATTACTAATTCAACACATTCATGCCATTACACATGCTAAAAACACCTTCAAACTGATCAAAACGAACAATGTTCATAACAACAAGCCAAACTCATCAAAAGAACACTAAAACAACAGCTTAATGCATTCATGCCATTACACATGCTCAAAAACGTTCAAACTCGCCAAAACAAACACTTTTCATAACAACAAGCCAAACTCATCAAAAGAACAATAAAACAACAGCTTAACGCATTCATGCCATTACACATGCTAAAAACACCTTCAAACTGATCAAAACGAACAATGTTCATAACAACAAGCCAAACTCATCAAAAGAACACTAAAACAACAGCTTAATGCATTCATGCCATTACATATGCTCAAAAACGTTCAAACTCGCCAAAACAAACACTTTTCATAACAACAAGCCAAACTCATCAAAAAAACACTAAAACAACATCTTTACACAAGGGATTACTAATTCAACACATTCATGCCATTACACATGCTAAAAAACCTTCAAACTGGCGAAAACGAACAATGTTCATAACAACAAGCCAAACTCATCAAAAGAACACTAAAACAACAGCTTAACGCATTCATGCCATTACATATGCTCAAAAACGTTCAAACTCGCCAAAACAAACACTTTTCATAACAACAAGCCAAACTCATCAAAAGAACACTAAAACAACAGCTTAACGCATTCATGCCATTACACATGCTCAAAAACGTTCAAACACGCCAAAACAAACACTTTTCATAACAACAAGCCAAACTCATCAAAAGAACACTAAAACAACGGCTTAACACAAGGGATTACTAATTCAACACATTCATGCCATTACACATGCTCAAAAACGTTCAAACTCGCCAAAACAAACACTTTTCATAACAACAAGTCAAACTCATCAAAAGAACACTAAAACAACAGCTTAACACAAGGGATTACTAATTCAACACTTTCATGCCATTACACATGCTCAAAAACGTTCAAACTCGCCAAAACAAACACTTTTCATAACAACAAGCCAAACTCATCAAAAGAACACTAAAACAACTGCTTTACACATGGGATTACTAATTCAACACATTCATGCCATTACACATGCTAAAAACACCTTCAAACTGATCAAAACGAACAATGTTCATAACAACAAGCCAAACTCATCAAAAGAACACTAAAACAACAGCTTAACGCATTCATGCCATTACACATGCTCAAAAACGTTCAAACACGCCAAAACAAACACTTTTCATAACAACAAGCCAAACTCATCAAAAGAACACTAAAACAATAGCTTAACACAAGGGATTACTAATTCAACACATTCATGCCATTACACGTGCTAAAAAACCTTCAAACTGGCCAAAACGAACAATGTTCATAACAACAAGCCAAACTCATCAAAAGAACACTAAAACAACAGCTAAACACAAGTGATTACTAATTCAACACATTCATGCCATTACACATGCTCAAAAACGTTCAAACTCGCCAAAACAAACTTTTTTCACAACAAGCCAAACTCATCAAAAGAACACTAAAACAATAGCTTAACACAAGGGATTACTAATTCAACATATTCATGCCATTACACATGCTAAAAAACCTTCAAACTGATCAAAACGAACAATGTTCATAACAACAATCCAAACTCATCAAAAGAACACTAAAACAACAGCTTAATGCATTCATGCCATTACATATGCTCAAAAACGTTCAAACTCGCCAAAACAAACACTTTTCATAACAACAAGCCAAACTCATCAAAAGAACACTAAAACAACAGCTTAATGCATTCATGCCATTACATATGCTCAAAAACGTTCAAACTCGCCAAAACAAACACTTTTCATAACAACAAGCCAAACTCATCAAAAGAACACTAAAACAACATCTTTACACAAGGGATTACTTATTCAACACATTCATGCCATTACACATGCTAAAAAACCTTCAAACTGGTGAAAACGAACAATGTTCGTAACAACATGCCAAACTCATCAAAAGAACACTAAAACAACAGCTTAACGCATTCATGCCATTACACATGCTCAAAAACGTTCAAACTGGCCAAAACAAAATCTTTTCATAACAAGCCAAACTCATCAAAAGAACACTAAAACAACAGCTTAACGCATTCATGCCATTACACATGCTCAAAAACGTTCAAACTCGCCAAAACAAACAGTTTTCATAACAACAAGCCAGACTCATCAAAAGAACACTAAAACAACAGCTTAACGCATTCATGCCATTACACATGCTCAAAAACGTTGAAACTCGCCAAAACAAACACTTTTCATAACAACGAGCCAAACTCATCAAAAGAAAACTTAAACAACAGCTTAACACAAGGGATTACTAATTCAACACATTCATGCCATTACACATGCTCAAAAACGTTCAAACTCGCCAAAACAAACTCTTTTCACAACAACAAGCCAAACTCATCAAAAGAACACTAAAACAACAGCTTAACGCATTCATGCCATTACACATGCTCAAAAACGTTCAAACTCGCCCAAACAAACAGTTTTCATAACAACAAGCCAAACTCATCAAAAGAACACTAAAACAACATCTTTACACAAGGGATTACTAATTCAACACATTCATGCCATTACACATGCTAAAAAACCTTCAAACTGGCCAAAACGAACAATGTTCATAACAACAAGCCAAACTCATCAAAAGAACACTAAAACAACAGCTTAACGCATTCATGCCATTACACATGCTCAAAAACGTTCAAACTCGCCAAAACAAACAGTTTTCATAACAACAAGCCAGACTCATAAAAAGAACACTAAAACAACAGCTTAACACAAGGGATTACTAATTCAACACATTCATGCCATTACACATGCTCAAAAACGTTCAAACTCGCCAAAACAAACTCTTTTCACAACAACAAGCCAAACTCATCAAAAGAACACTAAAACAACAGCTTAACGCATTCATGCCATTACACATGCTCAAAAACGTTGAAACTCGCCAAAACAAACACTTTTCATAACAACGAGCCAAACTCATCAAAAGAACACTAAAACAACAGCTTAACACAAGGGATTACTAATTCAACACATTCATGCCATTACACATGCTCAAAAACGTTCAAACTCGCCCAAACAAACAGTTTTCATAACAACAAGCCAAACTCATCAAAAGAACACTAAAACAACATCTTTACACAAGGGATTACTAATTCAACACATTCATGCCATTACACATGCTAAAAAACCTTCAAACTGGCGAAAACGAACAATGTTCATAACAACAAGCCAAACTCATCAAAAGAACACTAAAACAACAGCTTAACGCATTCATGCCATTACACATGCTCAAAAACGTTCAAACTCGCCAAAACAAACACTTTTCATAACAACAAGCCAAACTCATCAAAAGAACACTAAAACAACAGCTTAACGCATTCATGCCATTACACATGCTCAAAAACCTTAAAACACGCCAAAACAAACACTTTTCATAACAACAAGCCAAACTCATCAAAAGAACACTAAAACAACAGCTTAACACAAGGGATTACTAATTCAACACTTTCATGCCATTACACATGCTCAAAAACGTTCAAACTCGCCAAAACAAACACTTTTCATAACAACAAGCCAAACTCATCAAAAGAACACTAAAACAACTGCTTTACACATGGGATTACTAATTCAACACATTCATGCCATTACACATGCTAAAAACACCTTCAAACTGATCAAAACGAACAATGTTCATAACAACAAGCCAAACTCATCAAAAGAACACTAAAACAACAGCTTAATGCATTCATGCCATTACATATGCTCAAAAACGTTCAAACTCGCCAAAACAAACACTTTTCATAACAACAAGCCAAACTCATCAAAAGAACACTAAAACAACAGCTTAACGCATTCATGCCATTACACATGCTAAAAAACGTTCAAACTGGCCAAAACAAAAACTTTTCATAACAAGCCAAACTCATCAAAAGAACACTAAAACAACAGCTAAACACAAGGGATTACTAATTCAACACATTCATGCCATTACACATGCTCAAAAACGTTCAAACTCGCCAAAACAAACTCTTTTCACAACAACAAGCCAAACTCATCAAAAGAACACTAAAACAACTGCTTTACACATGGGATTACTAATTCAACACATTCATGCCATTACACATGCTAAAAACACCTTCAAACTGATCAAAACGAACAATGTTCATAACAACAATCCAAACTCATCAAAAGAACACTAAAACAACAGCTTAATACATTCATGCCATTACATATGCTCAAAAACGTTCAAACTCGCCAAAACAAACACTTTTCATAACAACAAGCCAAACTCATCAAAAGAACACTAAAACAACAGCTTAACGCATTCATGCCATTACACATGCTCAAAAACGTTCAAACACGCCAAAACAAACACTTTTCATAACAACAAGCCAAACTCATCAAAAGAACACTAAAACAACAGCTTAACACAAGGGATTACTAATTCAACACATTCATGCCATTACACATGCTAAAAACCTTCAAACTGGCCAAAACGAACAATGTTCATAACAACAAGCCAAACTCATCAAAAGAACACTAAAACAACAGCTTAACGCATTCATGCCATTACACATGCTCAAAAACGTTCAAACTCGCCAAAACAAACACTTTTCATAACAACAAGCCAAACTCATCAAAAGAACACTAAAACAACAGCTTAACGCATTCATGCCATTACACATGCTCAAAAACCTTCAAACACGCCAAAACAAACACTTTTCATAACAACAAGCCAAACTCATCAAAAGAACACTAAAACAACAGCTTAACACAAGGGATTACTAATTCAACACATTCATGCCAATACACATGCTCAAAAACGTTCAAACTCGCCAAAACAAACACTTTTCATAACAACAAGCCAAACTCATCAAAAGAACACTAAAACAACAGCTTTACACATGGGATTACTAATTCAACACATTCATGCCATTACACATGCTCAAAAACCTTCAAACTGCCAAAACGAACAATGTTCATAACAACAAGCCAAACTCATCAAAAGAACACTAAAACAACAGCTTAACGCATTCATGCCATTACACATGCTCAAAAACGTTCAAACTCGCCAAAACAAACACTTTTCATAACAACAAGCCAGACTCATCAAAAGAACACTAAAACAACAGCTTAACGCATTCATGCCATTACACATGCTAAAAAACGTTCAAACTGGCCAAAACAAAAACTTTTCATAACAAGCCAAACTCATCAAAAGAACACTAAAACAACAGCTAAACACAAGGGATTACTAATTCAACACATTCATGCCATTACACATGCTCAAAAACGTTCAAACTCGCCAAAACAAACTCTTTTCACAACAACAAGCCAAACTCATCAAAAGAACACTAAAACAACTGCTTTACACATGGGATTACTAATTCAACACATTCATGCCATTACACATGCTAAAAACACCTTCAAACTGATCAAAACGAACAATGTTCATAACAACAATCCAAACTCATCAAAAGAACACTAAAACAACAGCTTAATGCATTCATGCCATTACATATGCTCAAAAACGTTCAAACTCGCCAAAACAAACACTTTTCATAACAACAAGCCAAACTCATCAAAAGAACAATAAAACAACAGCTTAACGCATTCATGCCATTACACATGCTCAAAAACGTTCAAACACGCCAAAACAAACACTTTTCATAACAACAAGCCAAACTCATCAAAAGAACACTAAAACAACAGCTTAACACAAGGGATTACTAATTCAACACATTCATGCCATTACACGTGCTAAAAAACCTTCAAACTGGCCAAAACGAACAATGTTCATAACAACAAGCCAAACTCATCAAAAGACCACTAAAACAACAGCTTAAGCATTCATGCCATTACACATGCTCAAAAACGTTCAAACTGGCCAAAACAAACACTTTTCAGAACAACAAGCCAGACTCATCAAAAGAACACTAAAACAACAGCTTAACGCATTCATGCCATTACACATGCTCAAAAACGTTCAAACTCGCCAAAACAATCACTTTTCATAACAACGAGCCAAACTCATCAAAAGAACACTAAAACAACAGCTAAACACAAGGGATTACCAATTCAACACATTCATGCCATTACACATGCTCAAAAACGTTCAAACTTGCCAAAACAAACTCTTTTCACAACTACAAGCCAAACTCATCAAAAGAACACTAAAACAACAGCTTAACGCATTCATGCCAATACACATGCTCAAAAACGTTCAAACTCGCCCAAACAAACACTTTTCATAACAACAAGCCAAACTCATCAAAAGAACACTAAAACAACAGCTTAACGCATTCATGCCATTACACATGCTCAAAAACGTTCGAACTCGCCAAAACAAACACTTTTCATAACAACAAGCCGAACTCATCAAAAGAACACTAAAACAACGGCTTTACACATGGGATTACGAATTCAACATATTCATGCCATTACACATGCTAAAAAACCTTCAACCTGATCAAAACGAACAATGTTCATAACAACAATCCAAACTCATCAAAAGAACACTAAAACAACAGCTTAATGCATTCATGCCATTACATATGCTCAAAAACGTTCAAACTCACCAAAACAAACACTTTTCGCAACAACAAGCCAAACTCATCAAAAGAACACTAAAACAACATCTTTACACAAGGGATTACTAATTCAACACATTCATGCCATTACACATGCTAAAAAACCTTCAAACTGGCCAATCGAACAATGCTCATAACAACAAGCCAAACTCATCAAAAGAACACTAAAACAACAGCTTAACGCATTCATGCCATTACACATGCTCAAAAACGTTCAAACTGGCCAAAACAAAAACTTTTCATAACAAGCCAAACTCATCAAAAGAATACTAAAACAACAGCTTAACGCATTCATGCCATTACACATGCTCAAAAACGTTCAAACTCACCAAAACAAACTCTTTTCATAACAACAATCCAAACTCATCAAAAGAACACTAAAACAACAGCTTAATGCATTCATGCCATTACATATGCTCAAAAACGTTCAAACTCGCCAAAACAAACACTTTTCATAACAACAAGCCAAACTCATCAAAAGAACACTATAACAACAGCTAAACACAAGGGATTACTAATTCAACACATTCATGCCATTACACATGCTCAAAAACGTTCAAACTCGCCAAAACAAACTCTTTTCACAACAACAAGCCAAACTCATCAAAAGAACACTAAAACAACAGCTTAACGCATTAATGCCATTACACATGCTCAAAAACGTTGAAACTCGCCAAAACAATCACTTTTCATAACAACGAGCCAAACTCATCAAAAGAACACTAAAACAACAGCTAAACACAAGGGATTACTAATTCAACACATTCATGCCATTACACATGCTCAAAAACGTTCAAACTCGCCAAAACAAACTCTTTTCACAACAACAAGCCAAACTCATCAAAAGAACACTAAAACAACGGCTTTACCCAAGGGATTACTAATTCAACATATTCATGCCATTACACATGCTAAAAAACCTTCAACCTGATCAAAACGAACAATGTTCATAACAACAATCCAAACTCATCAAAAGAACACTAAAACAACATCTTAATGCATTCATGCCATTACATATGCTCAAAAACGTTCAAACTGGCCAAAACAAAAACTTTTCATAACAAGCCAAACTCATCAAAAGAACACTAAAACAACAGCTTAACGCATTCATGCCATTACACATGCTCAAAAACGTTCAAACACGCCAAAACAAAAACTTTTCATAACAACAAGCCAAACTCATCAAAAGAACACTAAAACAACTGCTTAACACAAGGGATTACTAATTCAACACATTCATGCCATTACACGTGCTAAAAAACCTTCAAACTGGCCAAAACGAACAATGTTCATAACAACAAGCCAAACTCATCAAAAGAACACTAAAACAACAGCTTAACGCATTCATGCCATTACACATGCTCAAAAACGTTCAAACTCGCCAAAACAAACACTTTTCATAACAACAAGCCAAACTCATCAAAAGAACACTAAAACAACAGCTTAACGCATTCATGCCATTACACATGCTCAAAAACCTTCAAACACGCCAAAACAAACACTTTTCATAACAACAAGCCAAACTCATCAAAAGAACACTAAAACAACAGCTAAACACAAGGGATTACTAATTCAACACATTCATGCCATTACACATGCTCAAAAACGTTCAAACTCGCCAAAACAAACTCTTTTCACAACAACAAGCCAAACTCATCAAAAGAACACTAAAACAACTGCTTTACACATGGGATTACTAATTCAACACATTCATGCCATTACACATGCTAAAAACACCTTCAAACTGATCAAAACGAACAATGTTCATAACAACAATCCAAACTCATCAAAAGAACACTAAAACAACAGCTTAAAATATACATTCATGCCATTACAATGCTCAAAAACGTTCAAACTCGCCAAAACAAACACTTTTCATAACAACAAGCCAAACTCATCAAAAGAACACTAAAACAACAGCTTAACGCATTCATGCCATTACACATGCTCAAAAACGTTCAAACTCGCCAAAACAAACACTTTTCATAACAACAAGCCAAACTCATCAAAAGAACACTAAAACAACAGCTTAACACAAGGGATTACTAATTCAACACATTCATGCCATTACACATGCTAAAAACCTTCAAACTGGCCAAAACGAACAATGTTCATAACAACAAGCCAAACTCATCAAAAGAACACTAAAACAACAGCTTAACGCATTCATGCCATTACACATGCTCAAAAACGTTCAAACTCGCCAAAACAAACACTTTTCATAACAACAAGCCAAACTCATCAAAAAGAACACTAAAACAACAGCTTAACGCATTCATGCCATTACACATGCTCAAAAACGTTCAAACTCGCCAAAACAAACACTTTTCATAACAACAAGCCAAACTCATCAAAAGAACACTAAAACAACAGCTTAACACAAGGGATTACTAATTCAACACATGCCATTACACATGCTCAAAAACGTTCAAACTCGCCAAAACAAACACTTTTCATAACAACAAGCCAAACTCATCAAAAGAACACTAAAACAACGCTTAACACAAGGGATTACTAATTCAACACATTCATGCCATTACACATGCTCAAAAACCTTCAAACTGCCAAAACGAACAATGTTCATAACAACAAGCCAAACTCATCAAAAGAACACTAAAACAACAGCTTAACGCATTCATGCCATTACACATGCTCAAAAACGTTCAAACTCGCCAAAACAAACACTTTTCATAACAACAAGCCAAACTCATCAAAAGAACACTAAAACAACAGCTTAACGCATTCATGCCATTACACATGCTCAAAAACGTTCAAACTGGCCAAAACAAACAACTTTTCATAACAACAAGCCAAACTCATCAAAAGAACACTAAAACAACAGCTTAACACAAGGATTACAATTCAACACATTCATGCCATTACACATGCTCAAAAACGTTCAAACTCGCCAAAACAAACACTTTTCATAACAACAAGCCAAACTCATCAAAAGAACACTAAAACAACAGCTTACACAGGGATTACTAATTCAACACATTCATGCCATTACACATGCTAAAAAACCTTCAAACTGATCCAAAACGAACAATGTTCATAACAACAAGCCAAACTCATCAAAAGAACACTAAAACAACAGCTTAATGCATTCATGCCATTACATATGCTCAAAAACGTTCAAACTCGCCAAAACAAACACTTTTCATAACAACAAGCCAAACTCATCAAAAGAACACTAAAACAACAGCTTAACGCATTCATGCCATTACACATGCTCAAAAACGTTCAAACACGCCAAAACAAACACTTTTCATAACAACAAGCCAAACTCATCAAAAGAACACTAAAACAACAGCTTAACACAAGGGATTACTAATTCAACACATTCATGCCATTACACGTGCTCAAAAACCTTCAAACTGGCCAAAACGAACAATGTTCATAACAACAAGCCAAACTCATCAAAAGAACACTAAAACAACAGCTTAACGCATTCATGCCATTACACATGCTCAAAAACGTTCAAACTGGCCAAAACAAACACTTTTCATAACAACAAGCCAAACTCATCAAAAGAACACTAAAACAACAGCTTAACGCATTCATGCCATTACACATGCTCAAAAACGTTGAAACTCGCCAAAACAATCACTTTTCATAACAACGAGCCAAACTCATCAAAAGAACACTAAAACAACAGCTAAACACAAGGGATTACTAATTCAACACATTCATGCCATTACACATGCTCAAAAACGTTCAAACTGCCAAAACAAACACTTTTCATAACAACAAGCCAAACTCATCAAAAGAACACTAAAACAACAGCTTAACGCATTCATGCCATTACACATGCTCAAAAACGTTCAAACTCGCCCAAAACAAACACTTTTCATAACAACAAGCCAAACTCATCAAAAGAACACTAAAACAACAGCTTAACGCATTCATGCCATTACACATGCTCAAAAACGTTCAAACTCGCCAAAACAAACACTTTTCATAACAACAAGCCAAACTCATCAAAAGAACACTAAAACAACGGCTTTACACATGGGATTACTAATTCAACATATTCATGCCATTACACATGCTAAAAAACCTTCAACCTGATCAAAACGAACAATGTTCAAACAACAAGCCAAACTCATCAAAAGAACACTAAAACAACAGCTTAACGCATTCATGCCATTACACATGCTCAAAAACGTTCAAACTCGCCAAAACAAACACTTTTCATAACAACAAGCCAAACTCATCAAAAGAACACTAAAACAACAGCTTACACAAGGGATTACTAATTCAACACATTCATGCCATTACACATGCTCAAAAACCTTCAAACTGGCCAAAACGAACAATGTTCATAACAACAAGCCAAACTCATCAAAAGAACACTAAAACAACAGCTTAACGCATTCATGCCATTACACATGCTCAAAAACGTTCAAACTGGCCAAAACAAACACTTTTCATAACAACAAGCCAAACTCATCAAAAGAACACTAAAACAACAGCTTAACGCATTCATGCCATTACACATGCTCAAAAACGTTCAAACTGCCAAAACAAACACTTTTCATAACAACAAGCCAAACTCATCAAAAGAACACTAAAACAACAGCTTAACGCATTCATGCCATTACACATGCTCAAAAACGTTCAAACTCGCCAAAACAAACACTTTTCATAACAACAAGCCAAACTCATCAAAAGAACACTAAAACAACAGCTTAACACAAGGGATTACTAATTCAACACATTCATGCCATTACACATGCTCAAAAACGTTCAAACTCGCCAAAACAAACACTTTTCATAACAACAAGCCAAACTCATCAAAAGAACACTAAAACAACAGCTTAACGCATTCATGCCATTACACATGCTCAAAAACGTTCAAACTCGCCAAAACAATCACTTTTCATAACAACAAGCCAAACTCATCAAAAGAACACTAAAACAACAGCTTAACACAAGGGATTACTAATTCAACACATTCATGCCATTACACATGCTCAAAAACGTTCAAACTCGCCAAAACAAACACTTTTCATAACAACAAGCCAAACTCATCAAAAGAACACTAAAACAACGGCTTTACACAAGGGATTACTAATTCAACATATTCATGCCATTACACATGCTAAAAAACCTTCAACCTGATCAAAACGAACAATGTTCATAACAACAATCCAAACTCATCAAAAGAACACTAAAACAACATCTTAATGCATTCATGCCATTACATATGCTCAAAAACGTTCAAACTGGCCAAAACAAAAACTTTTCATAACAAGCCAAACTCATCAAAAGAACACTAAAACAACAGCTTAACGCATTCATGCCATTACACATGCTCAAAAACGTTCAAACTGGCCAAAACAAAAACTTTTCATAACAAGCCAAACTCATCAAAAGAACACTAAAACAACAGCTTAACGCATTCATGCCATTACACATGCTCAAAAACGTTCAAACTGGCCAAAACAAAAACTTTTCATAACAACAAGCCAAACTCATCAAAAGAACACTAAAACAACAGCTTAACGCATTCATGCCATTACACATGCTCAAAAACGTTCAAACTCACCAAAACAAACACTTTTCATAACAACAAGCCAAACTCATCAAAAGAACACTAAAACAACGGCTTTACACATGGGATTACTAATTCAACACATTCATGCCATTACACATGCTCAAAAACCTTCAAACTGGCCAAAACGAACAATGTTCATAACAACAAGCCAAACTCATCAAAAGAACACTAAAACAACAGCTTAACGCATTCATGCCATTACACATGCTCAAAAACGTTCAAACTCGCCAAAACAAACACTTTTCATAACAACAAGCCAAACTCATCAAAAGAACACTAAAACAACAGCTTAACGCATTCATGCCATTACACATGCTCAAAAACGTTCAAACTCGCCAAAACAACAACTTTTCATAACAACAAGCCAAACTCATCAAAAGAACACTAAAACAACAGCTTTACACAAGGGATTACTAATTCAACACATTCATGCCATTACACATGCTCAAAAACGTTCAAACTCGCCAAAACAAACTCTTTTCATAACAACAAGCCAAACTCATCAAAAGAACACTAAAACAACAGCTTAACGCATTCATGCCATTACACATGCTCAAAAACGTTCAAACTCGCCCAAAGAAACACTTTTCATAACAACAAGCCAAACTCATCAAAAGAAAACTAAAACAACAGCTTAACGCATTCATGCCATTACACATGCTCAAAAACGTTCAAACTCGCCAAAACAAACACGTTTCATAACAACAAGCCAAACTCATCAAAAGAACACTAAAACAACGGCTTTACACAAGGGATTACTAATTCAACATATTCATGCCATTACACATGCTAAAAAACCTTCAACCTGATCAAAACGAACAATGTTCATAACAACAAGCCAAAGTCATCAAAAGAACACTAAAACAACAGCTTAACGCATTCATGCCATTACACATGCTCAAAAACGTTCAAACTCACCAAAACAAACACTTTTCATAACAACAAGCCAAACTCATCAAAAGAACACTAAAACAACAGCTTACACAGGGATTACTAATTCAACAATTCATGCCATTACACATGCTCAAAAACCTTCAAACTGCCAAAACGAACAATGTTCATAACAACAAGCCAAACTCATCAAAAGAACACTAAAACAACAGCTTAATGCATTCATGCCATTACACATGCTCAAAAACGTTCAAACTGACCAAAACAAAAACTTTTCATAACAACAAGCCAAACTCATCAAAAGAACACTAAAACAACAGCTTAACGCATTCATGCCATTACACATGCTCAAAAACGTTCAAACTCGCCAAAACAAACACTTTTCATAACAACAAGCCAAACTCATCAAAAGAACACTAAAACAACAGCTTAACGCATTCATGCCATTACACATGCTCAAAAACGTTCAAACTCGCCAAAACAAACACTTTTCATAACAACAAGCCAAACTCATCAAAAGAACACTAAAACAACGGCTTTACACAAGGGATTACTAATTCAACATATTCATGCCATTACACATGCTAAAAAACCTTCAAACTTGCCAAAACGAACAATGTTCATAACAACAAGCCAAACTCATCAAAAGAACACTAAAACAACAGCTTAATGCATTCATGCCATTACACATGCTCAAAAACGTTCAAACTGGCCAAAACAAAAACTTTTCATAACAACAAGCCAAACTCATCAAAAGAACACTAAAACAACAGCTTAACGCATTCATGCCATTACACATGCTCAAAAACGTTCAAACTGGCCAAAACAAAAACTTTTCATAACAACAAGCCAAACTCATCAAAAGAACACTAAAACAACAGCTTAACGCATTCATGCCATTACACATGCTCAAAAACGTTCAAACTGGCCAAAACAAAAACTTTTCATAACAACAAGCCAAACTCATCAAAAGAACACTAAAACAACAGCTTAACGCATTCATGCCATTACACATGCTCAAAAACGTTCAAACTCACCAAAACAAACACTTTTCATAACAACAAGCCAAACTCATCAAAAGAACACTAAAACAACAGCTTAACATGGGATTACTAATTCAACATATTCATGCCATTACACATGCTAAAAAACCTTCAAACTGATCAAAACGAACAATGTTCATAACAACAAGCCAAACTCATCAAAAGAACACTAAAACAACAGCTTAACGCATTCATGCCATTACACATGCTCAAAAACGTTCAAACTGGCCAAAACAAAAACTTTTCATAACAACAAGCCAAACTCATCAAAAGAACACTAAAACAACAGCTTAACGCATTCATGCCATTACACATGCTCAAAAACGTTCAAACTCACCAAAACAAACACTTTTCATAACAACAAGCCAAACTCATCAAAAGAACACTAAAACAACAGCTTAACGCATTCATGCCATTACACATGCTCAAAAACGTTCAAACTGGCCAAAACAAAACTTTTCATAACAACAAGCCAAACTCATCAAAAGAACACTAAAACAACAGCTTAACGCATTCATGCCATTACACATGCTCAAAAACGTTCAAACTGGCCAAAACAAAAACTTTTCATAACAAAAAGCCAAACTCATCAAAAGAACACTAAAACAACAGCTTAACACAAGGGATTACTAATTCAACACATTCATGCCATTACACATGCTCAAAAACGTTCAAACTCGCCAAAACAAACACTTTTCATAACAACAAGCCAAACTCATCAAAAGAACACTAAAACAACAGCTTAACGCATTCATGCCATTACACATGCTCAAAAACGTTCAAACTCGCCAAAACAAACACTTTTCATAACAACAAGCCAAACTCATCAAAAGAACACTAAAACAACAGCTTAACGCATTCATGCCATTACACATGCTCAAAAACCTTCAAACTGGCCAAAACGAACAATGTTCATAACAACAAGCCAAACTCATCAAAAGAACACTAAAACAACAGCTTAACGCATTCATGCCATTACACATGCTCAAAAACCTTCAAACTCGCCAAAACAAACACTTTTCATAACAACAAGCCAAACTCATCAAAAGAACACTAAAACAACAGCTTAACGCATTCATGCCATTACACATGCTCAAAAATGTTCAAACTCGCCAAAACAAACACTTTTCATAACAACAAGCCAAACTCATCAAAAGAACACTAAAACAACAGCTTAACAAGGGATTACTAATTCAACATTCATGCCATTACACATGCTAAAAAACCTTCAAACTGGCCAAAACGAACAATGTTCATAACAACAAGCCAAACTCATCAAAAGAACACTAAAACAACAGCTTAACGCATTCATGCCATTACACATGCTCAAAAACGTTCAAACTGGCCAAAACAAAAACTTTTCATAACAACAAGCCAAACTCATCAAAAGAACACTAAAACAACAGCTTAACGCATTCATGCCATTACACATGCTCAAAAACGTTCAAACTGGCCAAAACAAAACTTTTCAAACAAGCCAAACTCATCAAAAGAACACTAAAACAACAGCTTAACGCATTCATGCCATTACACATGCTCAAAAACGTTCAAACTGGCCAAAACAAAAACTTTTCATAACAACAAGCCAAACTCATCAAAAGAACACTAAAACAACAGCTTAACGCATTCATGCCATTACACATGCTCAAAAACGTTCAAACTCACCAAAACAAACACTTTTCATAACAACAAGCCAAACTCATCAAAAGAACACTAAAACAACGGCTTACACAGGGATTACTAATTCAACAATTCATGCCATTACACATGCTAAAAAACGTTCAAACTGCCAAAACGAACAATGTTCATAACAACAAGCCAAACTCATCAAAAGAACACTAAAACAACAGCTTAACGCATTCATGCCATTACACATGCTCAAAAACGTTCAAACTGGCCAAAACAAAACTTTTCATAACAACAAGCCAAACTCATCAAAAGAACACTAAAACAACAGCTTAACGCATTCATGCCATTACACATGCTCAAAAACGTTCAAACTCACCAAAACAAACACTTTTCATAACAACAAGCCAAACTCATCAAAAGAACACTAAAACAACAGCTTAACGCATTCATGCCATTACACATGCTCAAAAACGTTCAAACTGGCCAAAACAAAAACTTTTCATAACAAGCCAAACTCATCAAAAGAACACTAAAACAACAGCTTAACGCATTCATGCCATTACACATGCTCAAAAACGTTCAAACTGGCCAAAACAAAAACTTTTCATAACAAGCCAAACTCATCAAAAGAACACTAAAACAACAGCTTAACACAAGGGATTACTAATTCAACACATTCATGCCATTACACATGCTCAAAAACCGTTCAAACTCGCCAAAACAAACACTTTTCATAACAACAAGCCAAACTCATCAAAAGAACACTAAAACAACAGCTTAACGCATTCATGCCATTACACATGCTCAAAAACGTTCAAACTCGCCAAAACAAACACTTTTCATAACAACAAGCCAAACTCATCAAAAGAACACTAAAACAACAGCTTAACGCATTCATGCCATTACACATGCTCAAAAACCTTCAAACTGGCCAAAACGAACAATGTTCATAACAACAAGCCAAACTCATCAAAAGAACACTAAAACAACAGCTTAACGCATTCATGCCATTACACATGCTCAAAAACCTTCAAACTCGCCAAAACAAACACTTTTCATAACAACAAGCCAAACTCATCAAAAGAACACTAAAACAACAGCTTAACGCATTCATGCCATTACACATGCTCAAAAACGTTCAAACTCGCCAAAACAAACACTTTTCATAACAACAAGCCAAACTCATCAAAAGAACACTAAAACAACAGCTTAACACAAGGGATTACTAATTCAACACATTCATGCCATTACACATGCTCAAAAACGTTCAAACTTGCCAAAACGAACAATGTTCATAACAACAAGCCAAACTCATCAAAAGAACACTAAAACAACAGCTTAACGCATTCATGCCATTACACATGCTCAAAAACCTTCAAACTGGCCAAAACGAACAATGTTCATAACAACAAGCCAAACTCATCAAAAGAACACTAAAACAACAGCTTAACGCATTCATGCCATTACACATGCTCAAAAACGTTCAAACTTGCCAAAACGAACAATGTTCATAACAACAAGCCAAACTCATCAAAAGAACACTAAAACAACAGCTTAACGCATTCATGCCATTACACATGCTCAAAAACCTTCAAACTGGCCAAAACGAACAATGTTCATAACAACAAGCCAAACTCATCAAAAGAACACTAAAACAACAGCTTTACACAAGGGATTACTAATTCAACGCATTCATGCCATTACACATGCTCAAAAACGTTCAAACTGGCCAAAACGAACAATGTTCATAACAACAAGCCAAACTCATCAAAAGAACACTAAAACAACAGCTTAACGCATTCATGCCATTACACATGCTAAAAAACCTTCAAACTGGCCAAAACGAACAATGTTCATAACAACAAGCCAAACTCATCAAAAGAACACTAAAACAACAGCTTAACGCATTCATGCCATTACACATGCTCAAAAACGTTCAAACTCGCCAAAACAAACACTTTTCATAACAACAAGCCAAACTCATCAAAAGAACACTAAAACAACAGCTTAACACAAGTTCAACACATTCATGCCATTACACATGCTCAAAAACCTTCAAACTGGCCAAAACGAACAATGTTCATAACAACAAGCCAAACTCATCAAAAGAACACTAAAACAACAGCTTAACGCATTCATGCCATTACACATGCTCAAAAACGTTCAAACTCGCCAAAACAAACACTTTTCATAACAACAAGCCAAACTCATCAAAAGAACACTAAAACAACAGCTTAACGCATTCATGCCATTACACATGCTCAAAAACGTTCAAACTGGCCAAAACGAACAATGTTCATAACAACAAGCCAAACTCATCAAAAGAACACTAAAACAACAGCTTAACGCATTCATGCCATTACACATGCTCAAAAACGTTCAAACTCGCCAAAACAAACACTTTTCATAACAACAAGCCAAACTCATCAAATGAACACTAAAACAACAGCTTAACGCATTCATGCCATTACACATGCTCAAAAACGTTCAAACTCGCCAAAACAAACACTTTTCATAACAACAAGCCAAACTCATCAAAAGAACACTAAAACAACAGCTTAACGCATTCATGCCATTACACATGCTCAAAAACGTTCAAACTCGCCAATACAAACACTTTTCATAACAACAAGCCAAACTCATCAAAAGAACACTAAAACAACAGCTTAACACAAGGGATTACTAATTCAACACATTCATGCCATTACACATGCTAAAAAACCTTCAAACTGGCCAAAACGAACAATGTTCATAACAACAAGCCAAACTCATCAAAAGAACACTAAAACAACAGCTTAACGCATTCATGCCATTACACATGCTCAAAAACGTTCAAACTCACCAAAACGAACAATGTTCATAACAACAAGCCAAACTCATCAAAAGAACACTAAAACAACAGCTTAACGCATTCATGCCATTACACGTGCTAAAAAAGCTTCAAACTGGCCAAAACGAACAATGTTCATAACAACAAGCCAAACTCATCATAAGAACACTAAAACAACAGCTTAACGCATTCATGCCATTACACATGCCCAAAAACGTTCAAACTCGCCAAAACAAACACTTTTCATAACAACAAGCCAAACTCATCAAAAGAACACTAAAACAACAGCTTAACACAAGGGATTACTAATTCAACACATTCATGCCATTACACATGCTCAAAAACCTTCAAACTGGCCAAAACGAACAATGTTCATAACAACAAGCCAAACTCATCATAAGAACACTAAAACAACAGCTTAACGCATTCATGCCATTACACATGCTCAAAAACGTTCAAACTCGCCAAAACAAACACTTTTCATAACAACAAGCCAAACTCATCAAAAGAACACTAAAACAACAGCTTAACGCATTCATGCCATTACACATGCTCAAAAACGTTCAAACTGGCCAAAACGAACAATGTTCATAACAACAAGCCAAACTCATCAAAAGAACACTAAAACAACAGCTTAACGCATTCATGCCATTACACATGCTCAAAAACGTTCAAACTCGCCAAAACAAACACTTTTCATAACAACAAGCCAAACTCATCAAAAGAACACTAAAACAACAGCTTAACGCATTCATGCCATTACACATGCTCAAAAACGTTCAAACTCGCCAAAACAAACACTTTTCATAACAACAAGCCAAACTCATCAAAAGAACACTAAAACAACAGCTTAACACAAGGGATTACTAATTCAACACATTCATGCCATTACACATGCTAAAAAACCTTCAAACTGGCCAAAACGAACAATGTTCATAACAACAAGCCAAACTCATCAAAAGAACACTAAAACAACAGCTTAACGCATTCATGCCATTACACATGCTCAAAAACGTTCAAACTCGCCAAAACAAACACTTTTCATAACAACAAGCCAAACTCATCAAAAGAACACTAAAACAACAGCTTAACGCATTCATGCCATTACACATGCTCAAAAATGTTCAAACTCGCCAAAACAAACACTTTTCATAACAACAAGCCAAACTCATCAAAAGAACACTAAAACAACAGCTTAACACAAGGGATTACTAATTCAACACATTCATGCCATTACACATGCTAAAAAACCTTCAAACTGGCCAAAACGAACAATGTTCATAACAACAAGCCAAACTCATCAAAAGAACACTAAAACAACAGCTTAACGCATTCATGCCATTACACATGCTCAAAAACGTTCAAACTCGCCAAAACAAACACTTTTCATAACAACAAGCCAAACTCATCAAAAGAACACTAAAACAACAGCTTAACGCATTCATGCCATTACACATGCTCAAAAACGTTCAAACTGGCCAAAACGAACAATGTTCATAACAACAAGCCAAACTCATCAAAAGAACACTAAAACAACAGCTTAACGCATTCATGCCATTACACATGCTCAAAAACGTTCAAACTCGCCAAAACAAACACTTTTCATAACAACAAGCCAAACTCATCAAAAGAACACTAAAACAACAGCTTAACACAAGGGATTACTAATTCAACACATTCATGCCATTACACATGCTCAAAAACCTTCAAACTGGCCAAAACGAACAATGTTCATAACAACAAGCCAAACTCATCAAAAGAACACTAAAACAACAGCTTAACGCATTCATGCCATTACACATGCTCAAAAACGTTCAAACTGGCCAAAACGAACAATGTTCATAACAACAAGCCAAACTCATCAAAAGAACACTAAAACAACAGCTTAACGCATTCATGCCATTACACATGCTCAAAAACCTTCAAACTGGCCAAAACGAACAATGTTCATAACAACAAGCCAAACTCATCAAAAGAACACTAAAACAACAGCTTAACGCATTCATGCCATTACACATGCTCAAAAACGTTCAAACTCGCCAAAACAAAAACTTTTCATAACAACAAGCCAAACTCATCAAAAGAACACTAAAACAACAGCTTAACGCATTCATGCCATTACACATGCTCAAAAACGTTCAAACTGGCCAAAACGAACACTTTTCATAACAACAAGCCAAACTCATCAAAAAACACTAAAACAACAGCTTAACACAAGGGATTACTAATTCAACACATTCATGCCATTACACATGCTCAAAAACCTTCAAACTGGCCAAAACGAACAATGTTCATAACAACAAGCCAAACTCATCAAAAGAACACTAAAACAACAGCTTAACGCATTCATGCCATTACACATGCTCAAAAACGTTCAAACTCGCCAAAACAAACACTTTTCATAACAACAAGCCTAACTCATCAAAAGAACACTAAAACAACAGCTTAACACAAGGGATTACTAATTCAACACATTCATGCCATTACACATGCTCAAAAACCTTCAAACTGGCCAAAACAAACAATGTTCATAACAACAAGCCAAACTCATCAAAAGAACACTAAAACAACAGCTTAACGCATTCATGCCATTTCAAATGCTAAAAAACCTTCAAACTGGCCAAAACGAACAATGTTCATAACAACAAGCCAAACTCATCAAAAGAACACTAAAACAACAGCTTAACGCATTCATGCCATTACACATGCTCAAAAACGTTCAAACTCGCCAAAACAAACACTTTTCATAACAACAAGCCAAACTCATCAAAAGAACACTAAAACAACAGCTTAACACAAGGGATTACTAATTCAACACATTCATGCCATTACACATGCTCAAAAACCTTCAAACTGGCCAAAACGAACAATGTTCATAACAACAAGCCAAACTCATCAAAAGAACACTAAAACAACAGCTTAACGCATTCATGCCATTACACATGCTCAAAAACGTTCAAACTGGCCAAAACGAACAATGTTCATAACAACAAGCCAAACTCATCAAAAGAACACTAAAACAACAGCTTAACGCATTCATGCCATTACACATGCTCAAAAACCTTCAAACTGGCCAAAACGAACAATGTTCATAACAACAAGCCAAACTCATCAAAAGAACACTAAAACAACAGCTTAACGCATTCATGCCATTACACATGCTCAAAAACGTTCAAACTCGCCAAAACCAACAATTTTCATAACAACAAGCCAAACTCATCAAAAGAACACTAAAACAACAGCTTAACGCATTCATGCCATTACACATGCTCAAAAACTTTCAAACTGGCCAAAACAAACACTTTTCATAACAACAAGCCAAACTCATCAAAAGAACACTAAAACAACAGCTTAACGCATTCATGCCATTACACATGCTCAAAAATGTTCAAATTCGCCAAAACAAACACTTTTCATAACAACAAGCCAAACTCATCAAAAGAACACTAAAACAACAGCTTAACACAAGGGATTACTAATTCAACACATTCATGCCATTACACATGCTCAAAAACCTTCAAACTGGCCAAAACGAACAATGTTCATAACAACAAGCCAAACTCATCAAAAGAACACTAAAACAACAGCTTAACGCATTCATGCCATTACACATGCTCAAAAACGTTCAAACTGGCCAAAACGAACAATGTTCATAACAACAAGCCAAACTCATCAAAAGAACACTAAAACAACAGCTTAACGCATTCATGCCATTACACATGCTCAAAAACCTTCAAACTGGCCAAAACTAACACTGTTCATAACAACAAGCCAAACTCATCAAAAGAACACTAAAACAACAGCTTAACGCATTCATGCCATTACACATGCTCAAAAACGTTCAAACTCGCCAAAACAAACACTTTTCATAACAACAAGCCAAACTCATCAAAAGAACACTAAAACAACAGCTTAACGCATTCATGCCATTACACATGCTCAAAAACCGTTCAAACTGGCCAAAACGAACAATGTTCATAACAACAAGCCAAACTCATCAAAAGAACACTAAAACAACAGCTTAACGCATTCATGCCATTACACATGCTCAAAAACCTTCAAACTGGCCAAAACGAACAATGTTCATAACAACAAGCCAAACTCATCAAAAGAACACTAAAACAACAGCTTAACGCATTCATGCCATTACACATGCTCAAAAACGTTCAAACTCGCCAAAACAAACACTTTTCATAACAACAAGCCAAACTCATCAAAAGAACACTAAAACAACAGCTTAACACAAGGGATTACTAATTCAACACATTCATGCCATTACACATGCTAAAAAACCTTCAAACTGGCCAAAACGAACAATGTTCATAACAACAAGCCAAACTCATCAAAAGAACACTAAAACAACAGCTTAACGCATTCATGCCATTACACATGCTCAAAAACCTTCAAACTGGCCAAAACAAACAATGTTCATAACAACAAGCCAAACTCATCAAAAGAACACTAAAACAACAGCTTAACGCATTCATGCCATTACACATGCTCAAAAACCTTCAAACTGGCCAAAACGAACAATGTTCATAACAACAAGCCAAACTCATCAAAAGAACACTAAAACAACAGCTTAACGCATTCATGCCATTACACATGCTCAAAAACCTTCAAACTCGCCAAAACAAACACTTTTCATAACAACAAGCCAAACTCATCAAAAGAACACTAAAACAACAGCTTAACGCATTCATGCCATTACACATGCTCAAAAACGTTCAAACTGGCCAAAACGAACAATGTTCATAACAACAAGCCAAACTCATCAAAAGAACACTAAAACAACAGCTTAACGCATTCATGCCATTACACATGCTCAAAAACGTTCAAACTCGCCAAAACAAACACTTTTCATAACAACAAGCCAAACTCATCAAAAGAACACTAAAACAACAGCTTAACGCATTCATGCCATTACACATGCTCAAAAACGTTCAAACTCGCCAAAACAAACACTTTTCATAACAACAAGCCAAACTCATCAAAAGAACACTAAAACAACAGCTTAACGCATTCATGCCATTACACATGCTCAAAAATGTTCAAACTCGCCAAAACAAACACTTTTCATAACAACAAGCCAAACTCATCAAAAGAACACTAAAACAACAGCTTAACGCATTCATGCCATTACACATGCTCAAAAACCTTCAAACTGGCCAAAACAAACAATTTTCATAACAACAAGCCAAACTCATCAAAAGAACACTAAAACAACAGCTTAACACAAGGGATTACTAATTCAACACATTCATGCCATTACACATGCTCAAAAACCTTCAAACTGGCCAAAACGAACAATGTTCATAACAACAAGCCAAACTCATCAAAAGAACACTAAAACAACAGCTTAACGCATTCATGCCATTACACATGCTCAAAAACGTTCAAACTCGCCAAAACGAACAATGTTCATAACAACAAGCCAAACTCATCAAAAGAACACTAAAACAACAGCTTAACGCATTCATGCCATTACACATGCTCAAAAACCTTCAAACTGGCCAAAACGAACAATGTTCATAACAACAAGCCAAACTCATCAAAAGAACACTAAAACAACGGCTTAACACAAGGGATTACTAATTCAACACATTCATGCCATTACACATGCTCAAAAACCTTCAAACTGGCCAAAACGAACACTGTTCATAACAACAAGCCAAACTCATCAAAAGAACACTAAAACAACAGCTTAACGCATTCATGCCATTACACATGCTCAAAAACGTTCAAACTCGCCAAAACAAACACTTTTCATAACAACAAGCCAAACTCATCAAAAGAACACTAAAACAACAGCTTAACGCATTCATGCCATTACACATGCTCAAAAACCTTCAAACTGGCCAAAACGAACAATGTTCATAACAACAAGCCAAACTCATCAAAAGAACACTAAAACAACAGCTTAACGCATTCATGCCATTACACATGCTCAAAAACGTTCAAACTGGCCAAAACGAACAATGTTCATAACAACAAGCCAAACTCATCAAAAGAACACTAAAACAACAGCTTAACGCATTCATGCCATTACACATGCTCAAAAACGTTCAAACTCGCCAAAAAAAACACTTTTCATAACAACAAGCCAAACTCATCAAAAGAACACTAAAACAACAGCTTAACGCATTCATGCCATTACACATGCTCAAAAACGTTCAAACTCGCCAAAACAAACACTTTTCATAACAACAAGCCAAACTCATCAAAAGAACACTAAAACAACAGCTTAACGCATTCATGCCATTACACATGCTCAAAAAATGTTCAAACTCGCCAAAACAAACACTTTTCATAACAACAAGCCAAACTCATCAAAAGAACACTAAAACAACAGCTTACACAAGGGATTACTAATTCAACACATTCATGCCATTACACATGCTAAAAACCTTCAAACTGGCCAAAACGAACAATGTTCATAACAACAAGCCAAACTCATCAAAAGAACACTAAAACAACAGCTTAACGCATTCATGCCATTACACATGCTCAAAAACGTTCAAACTCGCCAAAACAAACACTTTTCATAACAACAAGCCAAACTCATCAAAAGAACACTAAAACAACAGCTTAACACAAGGGATTACTAATTCAACACATTCATGCCATTACACATGCTCAAAAACCTTCAAACTGGCCAAAACGAACAATGTTCATAACAACAAGCCAAACTCATCAAAAGAACACTAAAACAACAGCTTAACGCATTCATGCCATTACACATGCTCAAAAACCTTCAAACTGGCCAAAACGAACAATGTTCATAACAACAAGCCAAACTCATCAAAAGAACACTAAAACAACAGCTTAACGCATTCATGCCATTACACATGCTCAAAAACCTTCAAACTGGCCAAAACGAACAATGTTCATAACAACAAGCCAAACTCATCAAAAGAACACTAAAACAACAGCTTAACGCATTCATGCCATTACACATGCTCAAAAACGTTCAAACTCGCCAAAACAAACACTTTTCATAACAACAAGCCAAACTCATCAAAAGAACACTAAAACAACAGCTTAACGCATTCATGCCATTACACATGCTCAAAAACGTTCAAACTGGCCAAAACGAACAATGTTCATAACAACAAGCCAAACTCATCAAAAGAACACTAAAACAACAGCTTAACGCATTCATGCCATTACACATGCTCAAAAACCTTCAAACTGGCCAAAACGAACAATGTTCATAACAACAAGCCAAACTCATCATAAGAACACTAAAACAACAGCTTAACGCATTCATGCCATTACACATGCTCAAAAACGTTCAAACTCGCCAAAACAAACACTTTTCATAACAACAAGCCAAACTCATCAAAAGAACACTAAAACAACAGCTTAACGCATTCATGCCATTACACATGCTCAAAAACGTTCAAACTGGCCAAAACGAACAATGTTCATAACAACAAGCCAAACTCATCAAAAGAACACTAAAACAACAGCTTAACGCATTCATGCCATTACACATGCTCAAAAACGTTCAAACTGGCCAAAACGAACACTTTTCATAACAACAAGCCAAACTCATCAAAAGAACACTAAAACAACAGCTTAACGCATTCATGCCATTACACATGCTCAAAAACGTTCAAACTCGCCAAAACAAACACTTTTCATAACAACAAGCCAAACTCATCAAAAGAACACTAAAACAACAGCTTAACGCATTCATGCCATTACACATGCTCAAAAACGTTCAAACTCGCCAAAACAAACACTTTTCATAACAACAAGCCAAACTCATCAAAAGAACACTAAAACAACAGCTTAACGCATTCATGCCATTACACATGCTCAAAAACGTTCAAACTCGCCAAAACAAACACTTTTCATAACAACAAGCCAAACTCATCAAAAGAACACTAAAACAACAGCTTAACGCATTCATGCCATTACACATGCTCAAAAACTTCAAACTCGCCAAAACAAACACTTTTCATAACAACAAGCCAAACTCATCAAAAGAACACTAAAACAACAGCTTAACGCATTCATGCCATTACACATGCTCAAAAACGTTCAAACTCGCCAAAACAAACACTTTTCATAACAACAAGCCAAACTCATCAAAAGAACACTAAAACAACAGCTTAACACAAGGGATTACTAATTCAACACATTCATGCCATTACACATGCTAAAAAACCTTCAAACTGGCCAAAACGAACAATGTTCATAACAACAAGCCAAACTCATCAAAAGAACACTAAAACAACAGCTTAACGCATTCATGCCATTACACATGCTCAAAAACCTTCAAACTCGCCAAAACAAACACTTTTCATAACAACAAGCCAAACTCATCAAAAGAACACTAAAACAACAGCTTAACGCATTCATGCCATTACACATGCTCAAAAACGTTCAAACTGGCCAAAA